ATATAGATGCAATAATGAAATTAAATTCTTCATATATGTGTGTGTGTGTGTGTGTGTGTGTGTGTGTGTGTGTGTAAGAAAATAATTAAAAAAAGAACGGAACAAAATAAAATAAAAATAAAAAGGATAATAAAAAAGAAAAAAAAAACGAATTGACACCGAGCCGCGAGCAACCAGGATGAATTAATTTGTTTTCCAATAATTTATTTTATATCCGATGATAGTTAACACGAAAGCAATTAGGACAATTCGATCAATTGCATTACCGCAAAATCAATGAGCTTTATAAATACTTATAGTAACGAATTTAAAAGGCTTCGAATAATCCGAACGAAGGAACTTTCATTGCTTTTTTTTATATAGAACGACAAATAACATAAGCTGATTTATTACGAAGGAAAAATTTTCAAATAATAAAAAGATATATATATATATATATATATTATTACGTGTGTGTCTCATCAACGACATTAAAGTCAAATATAACGAGTTTCTCTTTTGAGTTAGCAATCGTATGCACGCAGGTAGGTCGCGTGACTGCCTGTGGACGTTCGATTTAATTCTTAAAAGGCCTTTCATTGACGCCCGCACTCCTTTCGTGAACGGCGTGTCGCTTGAGGAGGAGTCCTCGAAGGACCTTGACCGATTTATACATACATACATACATATATACTTAGGTACATACGTATGCGCGTACTTACGAACAAGAAGACGTACCTTCTCGAACACCTGGCCGACTCATTAACACAATTTAAATATTACGCGTATATTGCATGTAAATAAGTTTTACAAAGTTACGCAAGTAATATAATTTTTTTTTTTTTTTTTTTTTTTTTTTTCTTTTTTTTTTTTCTTTTTTTTTTTTTTTCTTTTTTCTTTTGTATATGACCTTTCGTAATATGACCTTCGACGATTTCTCGACACTCTAGTTCCGCATGGAATCGCTAGCGCGCGCGCGCGCGCGCGCGTGTGTGTGTGTGTGTGTGTGTGTGAACTTATGCATGCTGTGAAAAAAAGAGAAAAAAAAAAACAAAATAATATTGATTCATCATTCGTTATCGAACATTGCGTGTTCTCTACATAAGAATAATCATTCGTATAAATAGATCCCCCCACTGGTAATAGCTTTCACGCAATCGTTCACGTTATAATAGTTGGTTACTCGTTTCTACCCGATGATAATATCTTGAATGCGCAGTAAATACATTCGTAATCTTTTCCCGAGGATTAAACCGCCAATGATCGTACAATAATAACAACAACAATAACAACAACAACAGTAACAAGGGCCACAAGTAGTGTCATATACCAGTGAAAGCCCCCCATTGGGATTAAACGTGAATTTCGTGCCTTTCACCGGAAAATCAGTCCAGGTGCAATTACATAATCTCTAATTATCAGAGATCAAAATTCCTCTTGATTACGTTATTAATACTAATTCTGCATACGTCAAAATAATTTCAAGTTACGCCACTTGGAATGTCCCATACTTCGAGCACTTCGAACGACACCTGTCATTCGTACAAAATGAATAATTTTGACCCCCCCCCCCCCCCCCCCCCCCTCAAAAAAAAAAAGAAAAAAAATACTGCATATTTTTTAGTCTTGAAAATAATAATCGGTAGGTTTGAAAATGCATTTCCAATTCTGTCATTAATAAAAAAAAAAAAAAAAAAGAAAAAATCACGGTTATGTTTTAATTATAATCAAAGTTAAAGTCTGTGATGTTCTATATCCCATAGATACAACTAGAGTTAAACGAATAATAGTTAGTAATTGTTAATTTCGTTGTTTACTTGAAAATTTCAAATTTTTTCCTTGTTTCCTGAACAATAGACTACGATAAGAAATGGAACGAAATGAAAAAAAAGAAAAAAAAAAAGAAAAAGAAAGAGAAAAAAGAATTAAACAAATAAATAAATTCATCGGAATTTACTTAAGTGTTAAAACAAAGTCGTGTCTCGTCGTAACGATCTTAATTCAGCGCCCGAAGCGGTAACAGAATCGTGAGGGACAATTAACGGGTTGTTCAAAGTTGTCACGACAAACGTCGTTCCGATTCGTTACGGAATAGATAGGTAACTACGGGTTTAAAAGAGAGACGTTCAGTCGTGAATCGACCATTGAATGGTTTAGATCGTTTTCCTTATATTTCTTTACCGTATATGAATCAGGTACAGTTATTACTGATAAGTAGAAACTGTTCATTTCCTTGGAGTATTTTAGTAGTTCTCTTTCTCTTTATCTCTCTCTCTCTCTCTTTCTCTCCCTCTCTCTCTTTCTCTTTATCTCTATCTCTATGTTCTTCTCTCTTTCATTTTTTCCTCGATGACCTATTACGACTCTACGTAATCTTTAGCGTCGTTAAGTGGTTGCAAGGCGCACAGTGCCAACAAGATCGTGAAAAAAGAGATAGAGAGAGAGAGAGAGAGAGAGAGAGAGAGAGAGAGACTTCATTTCGTATCAAAAGGGAAACTTACCTATGTACTTTCGAACGTCTCGACATGTTTGCGCCAAGGTAGGAAGGTTGCTTTTAATGCAATCGTGCACAGAGCGAATTCGTTGGAATCGCTTGGCTCATTCGCGACTTTAGCTTTTGAGTGATAGAAAGAGAAAGAGAAAGAGAGGGGGGAACATAAGTATGTATGTATGTATGTATGTATGTATGTATGTATGTATGTATGTATGTGTGTATATATATATATACATAGAAACACGTTTCGACCGTTCGAAATTCCAACGCGTCCGATGAAATTCGTTCGGCTTACTACGGAACTTCGTTTGAAAGTGTATTAAGCGGACAAGAGAATGTTCTTCCTATACGTATCTCTTAATACACTATATACGCAGTATTACGAGAGTAAATGCGGTTAAATGTACCTTTCGATCACCGGACGCATTGCTCTCGTAATGTTATTGTAAAAATCGTATAACCGGTTGATCTTTTTTTTTTCTTCTTTTTTCTTTTTTTCTTCTTTTTTTTTTTTTGTACCACCAGTGAACGTATTCGCGTAATAATTTTAAGAATATTTAATATTTAACCCCTTATCGGTCGTTAGCTTTTCATACGTGATTCTCACTAGATTGTTTCTTGTTTCGATCAATATGCGAAACATTTTCAGTATTATAAGAATAACATTTTTGTTAGAAATTATTTATTTTTTGAAGGTATATTATAAATATATGAGTTTTAAATAATTATTTATATGTTTTTAACGTATGATATTTTTTGAAACAATCTCCAACATGAAGGAACGGTTTTCTGTTGCACGTTTCACAGAAGAATACTGTTATTTTTCTTCCTCCAGGCAAAGGAACTAATGTCCGATAATTTACTCAACAAATGTACATATATATATATATATATATATAATATTTATAAAATTATACATTTATTTAAATTATATTAAATTAATTTATTTATTTTATAAATATAATTTTTTTTTTTTTTTTTAATACGTACAACTTCATACATAAATCTTTAATTTTGTGATTGTGAGAATGCAAGTACGGAGTGCAATACGTGTCCAGTGTCTATTGTCATTTCTCGTATTTATTCTATGCATTTGATATCGCATTCATAATTCAAATAGAACTATAACAAATCGATGTTTAATTGTACGCGTCATTATTCCTCGCATAACAATTGAATTTATATTTAAAACATTTCAAATCAAACAAAATGTTTTGTTTCGTTGAATAATAATATATTTAGGAATGGTATTGAACGTGAACAAATATTTCACTGCATATATGTATTTTTTTAATCATCATCATCATCATCGTTATTATTATTATTATTATTATTATCATCATCATCATCATTATTACTATTATATATAAAATATAAAACTCCTAATCAGATTATAAGTAATGCTGTAATTATTAATAATATATACGAGAAATTACACGGTTGTGACGATTTTTCTCTAATTAAAAAAAGGAAAAAAAAAGTATAATCTTCTGATTTAATGTTTTACGAAGATAGTAGAAAAGTTGTTAGAAAAAAATAAATAAATAAATAAAAAATAAGTAAATATATAAAAGAAAATAAAAAAAAAAAAAAAAAAAAAAGAAGATAAAAGTTCACGCGTATCGTACATTTGAGTCGGTAGCATTCCCTCGGGTATAACGTTAAACACCGTTGCGTTTTAAAAGAGACACGCTCCGTTGCACCCTCCACGCGAACCTCGTCGACGCCTTTTTCTTCTTTTTCTTTTCTTCTTCTTCATCTTCTTCTTTTTCTCTTCTTTTTCTTTTTCTTCTTTTTCTTCTTCTTCTTTATCTTCGACGCGAGAATTCGTTCGTCTTTGTAAGTCTAATCGACATTAATTAAGGACATTCGAAGGAGTTCCTTTTTGAGCAAACGATGCTATCCAAGGTAATTTTGTTTATGAGAATAACGGTATTCTACTCGTACGAAATCCTTTTAGTTTTTGAAAAGAAAACGATAAATAATAAAACAGGATCATAAAAAAAAGAAAAAAAATAGGAGGGGAAGGATATTATGAACGACTTTGATCCGGTTTGCATAATCACCATTGGACGTGACTTTTAATCGATCTCTCGTGGCACCCTTAATATTCGTTCGTCGTTAACCTTGACCCATCTGATTCCAAGGCTAATTCGATCGAGCCTCATGAAATAACGTTCCGGTTTATCGAGGGTCCGTTCCTCGTCTTTCGAATCGACAATTAAAATGGGGAGGGTGGGTGGCGGAGAGGGTGAGAGCGGGGGTGGAGGACTTAATTGCAAAATATTTTAAATTGATTTATTAAACAGAAGAAAGTCTCGTTAGAACGTTGTATGAATAATTTTTCTCTTATGCTTTGATCTTAATTCGACCTTTACTCGATCCTTTTGTCTCGAACAGTTGTCCCTCTTCTTTCTTTTAAAATGATTTACGTAAATAAAGATTTTCTTTTCTTTTCTTTTCTTTCTTTTCTTTCTTTTTCTCTTTTTCTTTTTCTTTTTTTTCTTCGGGATGGGATTTTATTAAGTAAAAATTCTTCTAGCTCGTTACGTTTCTCAAATTGGAAGACTCATTTCGAATGTAGTATACATAATAATAATGTGAAAATAATCGTTTGACGAGGACCAAACGAAGATAATTTAGTTGCCGTTCGGGTGTAAATGAGTTTTGAAGAGAACGCTTCGATAAACAATTTTAATAACGTCCCATGTATTTTTAAGGATAGCAAAGTAAAAAAGAAAAGAGAGAGAGAGAGAGAATTTGAAAGTGTAATACACTTTACTTTATACTTACAGAATATCCATAACGCGTCGCATCAACGACGGTACTCTCGAAGAGAGACTGAAAATTTGTCGTTCTCTTTACGCTCCGAATATTTCAAACCCCTTTCTTCTGTCACCCCAAGTATTCCGTTCATCCATTTTCTCCGCTTTACGAATCCGCACATCGTCGTCGTCGTCGTCGTCGTCATCGTCGTCGTCGTCGTCGTCGTCGTCGTCGTCATCATCGTCGGAACATCCTGCTACTTTCCTTTACCATGTAAAGTGAAGAAAGATACGTATGAAAAATTACAACGAATCTTTTTGAACCTTTAAGAATCCAAAGAAATTAAACTTATACATGTAATCGGTATTCATGAGAACAATAAATTGACTTACAATTATAGTTGTAAAATAAAACTAGATAAGGAAACTCTTAAAAATAAAACTAGATAAGGAAAGAGATAGGAAGATAGCAAAGTAAATCAAAATTCAAGCCATTTTCGTCTTCGTTTCAGAAAAAAAAAAAAAAATAGAGAGACAACTTTTCTCCGCGTTTTCTAATTGTCTAATTTATCCTTTTGGGAAGAAACAAACAAACGAAGAAAAAAAAATAATAAATAAACAAAGAAAGTCGCGAAAAGTCGCGCTTAATTTTCTTTTCACTATTAGCAACAAGTCCTATTTTTTTTCTTCTACTTTTTTTTTTTTTTTCTTCTTCTTCATTTGTTTGTAAGAATAGTTCCTAAAGAGACAAATGCTAACCTACATAGTTCCCAGGGAAAGTTTTATATATATATATATATATATATGCATATCTATCTAGCGATATTCGTTCTCCATGAGAATCTACTCTTAAGGATGAAGAGAAGTAAAGGGAGAGAAAGGGGAGTTAGGAACAACAAAGAAGAAGAAAAGAAAAAAAAAAGAAGAAGAAGAAGAAGAAAGAAGAGAATGGGTTACACTCGAGCGCATCTGTGTTTAAGACGAGAAGAAGGGTCAGAGGAGAAGCTTTGAATCCGGATCGATACTGGGCTTCCTCAGTCAAAAGGGATGGTTCTTTTGTATTCCGAAAATCAACGTCGAAATATCTCTTTCTCTCTCTCTCTCTTTTTTCAAGAGAGAGAGAGAGAGAGAAAGAAACTCACTCACTCTCGAAGAATTCCTGTACTCATGACAATTCGTACACGAATAGTAGAAGCGTCTCTCTCCATTATCATCGTCCATCGTCCATCATCTCTCTCTCTTTCACTCTCTCTCTCTCTCTTTCTCTCTCTCTCTTTATTTCTTTGGTTCGTCCTTCAAAGTAGGTTAACGACTCGAATGGTGCAAAATTGAACAAGATGTAGCGTAATATTCCAAGATTGTTATTACGTGGCCTAATTAAACGCGAAGCATGCCAATATTACAAGCGTAAAGGAGAATTATAATCGTACTCGCGTGCAGATATACGTTTCTAGAGCAGATAATAATAACGGGTTTTGGCGATACATTTATTTTAATTGATCAGATTAGAAGAGGCATTAAAGGCACGTACGTCTAGTAAATAAGTGGATTATATGAAACGTTAAACAAGAATCTATTTGAAAGTCTTTTTTTTTTTTTTTTTTTTTTTTTTCTCCTGAGATTTTCATTTCTTTTATAATCGCGAGAATTTTACGAATGTCATTTGACATTTGAAAATTTGAAAAGAATATAAAAATTGCACGGTCTATGGGATACGAGCCAATTTTTGTTAAATCTTCTCGTCAACTCGAGGGATTATTAATATTTTAGTCTAAACTATTTCTATTGTACTTTTTTTTTTTTTTTCTTTTTTTCTTTTTTTACGAACATCGATGTAAAAACAAGCGAACTATTCTTTACATTTATGTCAATCCATGACTACCGGAGTATATTTCACTGTCCTAGATATCTCGTATCAAGTATATCATTGATTATCGAAGAATCGTTGTTTACAATCGCGAACGATTTTTCAAATATCCCGCCAGATATCTACGCGCATGTACGTATATGTACATACGTATATGTGTGTATGTACGTGTGTATGCATGCGTGTGCGTGTATATCTCCTTTATTAGAGATCAAGAATTTTTTTCGAAAATTCTTTCCTTTTTCAGTTCTCAAATTCAAAATAAACGGACTGTTTTTCAATATGAAAATTTCGAAGTATGTATTTATCTTGAAATCTCTTTGCTTTTCCATGAAACGAGAAATAGTCGGACAAATGCGTTTATTGAAAGTCGGTTTCCGTATACCGGAATATATCGAGGCCGAGTCAACCCAGATTTCGAGTGTAAATTCGCGAACGCAGTTGCTTTCGCCAATAAGTACGGAACAGTCATATCTCATGGATTTGCTGTTATGCTTGCCGTTGGTCCCGACATTTGCGTACGACAGTTCGTCGTTCGACAATGTTTCATTGTCATATGCAGATGTCTGATGGTCTGTGAAATCGTACAGTAGACCAGAAATAATTGTCCCACCCTTTCTCTGCCATTGTTCGAACTAATTGATTTTACTTTCTTGTTTATATAGTTCGTTTGATTACTTCGAGGAACTTTATTTATGTTTTCCAATAACGAATCTTGTGATTGTTATAAACCAACTCTTTCCATCAGAAAAAGTTTCACTTTTTTTTTTTTTTTTTTTTTTTTTTTTTTTTTTTTTTTTTTTTTTTTTTTTTTTTTTTTTGTAAGTATGAACAATGTAGTCCCATCATTGTAACGATTTTCTCTCTGTGGAATAGCTACAGTCGTTTTACTTGTTTCACTTCTATGGTTTAGACACGATTGTCGCTGTATCATAATTTAACGTTAATATAGGTATAATTTTGAAAATAATTGAAATAATTTATTTATTTGAAATTTTACGTAAATTATATTCACGTTTAACTTGAAGTATTTTTGTAAGATTTCAATTAAATCGGTTCTAATATATCGTTCAGTTTTTAATGTTAAATGTTTATTCGAACATGATGTCTATAATTAAAGAAATTGATATTTAAAAGATTTTTCAAACGATCACTACGAAATTTTATGCTAAAATTTTTTCGATGGAATACACGAACCGTATGTAATATTTTGTTATATTAATTTCAACGATCTTATAATTGACAAACAAAAATGGTTTATGCACGTTTACACGGTTTATAAAATGTCGTAATTCGTGCGAAATTTCAAAGAGAATAAAAAAAAAAAAAATTCTATTTCTATCTTATCTAAAGCAGATATCGAGATAATCGTTTTTCGTGATTATTAATTTAACGCGTTGAATTAATTCCTTAAGCAGAATTAAATATTATTTTTCTGTTCGCATCTAATGAAGCAATTATCGTTTCAATTAAATCGTGATTGACTCAACTGCATCAAAGCTATGATTTATACTGTTGGCCGTTGTGTTTCGGTTAAAACAATCTCGTTCAAGAAGAATTTTGCTAAAGCACTAGAGTAACATCTTAATAGGTGTCTTACATCTTCTTGAGGTGGTTCTCCAGTCTCTTGACCCGAAGCAAACGGTTCAAAGACTTACCATTAGACCTAGAAGATGTCTTATAAAGACGCAAGATAGTACATGAACGTGCAACGACCTGAAAAGCTTGTTGACGCAAAAAAAAAAAAAAGCTCATTTCCTTGGACAATCGTGGCTTCAAAACTCTTTTTGATGAACCTTGGACAAGTAGAGCATATTTGAAGAAAGAAAGAAAAACCAGCCTGGAACGACGTATCAAGAAACCCGATTGTGAACGAACGAATTAAATAAAAATAAGAGCTTTCTTTTTTCTTTTTTTGTTTTTTTTTTCTTTTTTTATTTTTTTTTTTTTTCCTTTTTTTCTTTTTTTAAGATAAAAATCGATCAAAGGAGAATTTATCAATTTAAAATTTATTTTACATTCGTTTCCCTCTCGTATATAAGATGTGCGAATATAACAATTTTATTTGGGTTAATTAAGATTCGTCAACATTGATAAATCCGAGCACGTCGGTAAATAATTTCGAATATAGGACGAAAACGACAGTAATGTGTATATAACCTTGGCACGATAAAGGAGAATTACCGTCTATATATGTTACGTACGCGTGTAAATTATTTTAGAGTCCCTCGTTCGATTTAACAATTTCTTCCAAAGCGAAAATACAACGATGTTTTCCTTTCCTAACTTGGCATGGCGTTTCATTTAAGGAATATCTGTTCCCTTTTAACCAGGCCAACTTCTCAGCATTGTTCCGTTGAGTATTAGCCCTGGCACAATTTCCTATCGAGAGAAAGATTTCAAATCTCCTTCCATGTCGATGTCCGTCTTCGAAGGCTCGATAAATCGTCGAAGAACATAAAATTTTAATATTTTATCGATTAGACAATAACTGATCGAATTATTATTATTTTTTTTAAATCCCTTTTGATACTTCTTCGAAATGGGGGTGGGAGTGGTAGTGGGAGTGGACAAGAAGAGGGATACGGGGAAGAGGAAGCGCGCATAAATTCTTTTCAATTTGTCGAAGATAATTATAACATGAATTCTTTACCATTATCCTACTTATCGTTCTGTGTTACAGTGAGAGAGAATATTTGTGTGAAACGTCGACAAATAATCGACCGTTGAAATTAGTAAAGTTTCTTTATTTTGTTTTTTGTTTTTTTTGTTTTTTTTTTACCTAATCAGTAAAGCGAAGATATCTATTCGACTTAATTCTTTGAGGCACACGATTTTAGAGAAAATAAAAACTCAGGTTGTACAAAATTTTGTTTGTTATAAAAAAAAAAAAAAAAAGAAAAATTGAAAAAAAAAGTTCGTCAAAATTTTCTTTTTTTCCCTTTTTTTTTTAGTAACTTCAATTTTTCCAGATAGATTAAAATATGTCCCGGTATGCATAAAAAGCTGAACAAAAGGTGGGACAATTTTTAATCCACTTAATCTTAAAAAGTTAAAGAAAATCAAGATAATCGTTAACAGATAGAAATATTTGAAATCATTATCATTAATTTTATAATCATTCGTTAAAAATTGATATCACGATACGTTCACGTTTATAGTATCGTATAAAAGAAAAATGAAAGAACAAAGTTATGTTCGAAGGTCGAATGAACTCGCTCACGAGTCATTTTCGTTGTATCAATATCTACGTACGTGTATATAACTTACTTATATAATATAATTCCCAAGAACATAATTAGCTATAAAGGGATATAAAAATAACTTGTTTATATTAAATACATCGTACATTGTCCGCTTTAGTTACAAATCAATGTACTCACTCCACCTTTCTACTCGCAGAATGTCTCTTCTATTACTGTGACGTTAGTCATGTTTATTTACGACACCCTTTATCTTATCAACGACATGACCTCTCTCTTTCTCGTTCACGTGTACAGACACACATAAACACAGACACACACACATGTATATACAGATAGTTATACAATACACGTATGCGCGCGCATCGTTACTCGATCCAGAATGATTTAAGGCTTATCAGAGAATAGTCAACGTGATGTCACCGTTAACAAGATATTTAGAAAAATGCAAACAATCAAAAAACGCTGCTGTATTTAACGTTCCGCAAACTTTAATACCAGCGATTTGTTATCAATCGACATGACTGATATCTCATTCCTTTTTTCTCTCTCTCTCTCTCTCTCCCTCTCCCTCTCTCTATCTCTTTGTCTCTCTTTTTCTCTCTTTATGTTTTTCCTTTTTTTTTTCTTTTTTTTTTTTTTCTTTTTTTTTTCTCTCCCCCATTACATGTCTCCGTTATTAACATAATTCATTGGTCAACAAGTAACCTTTTTCAATATATCGCCGAACGATTTGTAAAAATTCATTTATGTCAATATTAGCCTAAAAATCTACATTCGTTTTGAAATAATTAAGGAATAATGTCATATGACGCTATCGCTTATCATTATTTTGCCGATAATTTGCGATAAGTTTTCATAGAAACGAATGATGATCGCGAAGGAAAGAAGGAAAGAGTAAAAAAACAAAAAAAAAAGAAAAAGAAAAAGAAAAAGAAAAAAAAGAAAAGAAAAAGGTAAAATAAAGTTAATCCAACTTGTATCGGCGAGTCACGGCGCCAAACGAGATTGTTCTTTTGCTTGTATGTACACATAATGTATATGTATATAGATATACGTAAACGTACGATAGCCAATTCTGAGTTTATCCTGCCGGCCAGTGGAACGACATTCCACGATCGAGATCGAGCTCTCCGTTCATTCCTAGGACATTGAAAGGCGTGACGGAAAGAATCGTCATCGTCGTTGAGAGTTGCCTATTCCCTACTTTGAGTGTTAGTTTTGAGTGAATTGGCTTGGGTGTATTCGTTTTATCGTTTTAAAGAAAATTAAATAATAATAATAATAAAAAAAAAAAAAAAAAAAAAAAAAAAGAAAAAGAACAAGAATCAATTGTTACGTTCTATAAATAACATTTCTCTCTCTCTCTGTCTCTCTCCCTCTCTCTCTCTCTTCTGATTATCGAGAGATAATGACGATCACATATGTGTATATATAAGTACGTAATCGTTATTAAATATATTTTCATTGAAATCAAAAGAGAAAACTAAGTGTTAATTATAAGCGATAATGAATATAATGACAACATAGGGGTTTAAGGGAGAAAAAAAAAAAAGGAAACAGTTGACCTAACCGGAATTTCCGGAGAACAAAAATCGAAATCCTTGATCCGACCTTCTTCTGAAAGAGTTGATTGTTGCTCATCTTCCGGCCTGCACGACGACATTCCACAACGACTCATACCCAGGACCGTTTCTCGTCTATTTCTTCTCCTCCTCCTCCTTCTCCTCTTCCTGTTTCTACTACTTTTATCGTTTCGTTCACCGACGAGGACAATCGTTAGTTCCATTTCGCGTCTCCAACACAGCACGCTAATTAGTTTTTTAAGTAGTTCATCCAACACTACGGCCATTTCCTAGGCCATTTCCTAGCCATTTCCTTTTATTTCTTTTCTTTTTTCTTTTTCTTCTTTTTATCTTTTTATCTTTTTATCTTTTGCTTCTTTTTTTTTCTTTTTTTTTTTTTTTTGCCTTCTTTTTTTCCCTTTTTTCTTGTCTGGAAATTATCAAGCAACTTCTCGCGTATAAATCTCAAACAGGTCATTGAACATTTTAGCTTTAAAGGTTTATTATTGGATCGATGATTAGTCCAACAGTGTCGTTCCTTTCTATCGTCGATATCAAGTCTAACTATGTAACATTATGTAACGTTTTTAACAACAAATATACAAGAAAGAAAAATAAAGAAAAATGTTAATTCCTCTTTAACGATTATTACATCTTTCCTACGATTATTTTGACTTTTAACAATTGATTCATTTTGCATTTATCGTTTGCATCGATAGCGAATATAATACCTGTATATCTATGTTGTTCACCAAGGATACCATTTAATTAAATCGTCGCACGGTCATTAAAAGAAGTGATTAACAAAGTTTTGTATAGAATAAAATTAGCGTACAACAACAATATGCGTCATCGTGTTGTACAATGAATTTTTTTTTCTGTGTGAAACATCAACATTTTATGCAAATAAATGGAATACTGATAATCCAAGTTCTTTTACTATACCGTCATTGCAAGCATGATTTCCATCTTAGAACGTAGTTCTTTAATGATATTAGTTGATAAGATAAACATGACGTATGTATATGTTAAATAAAAAAGAGAAAATATTGAATTTAAATTGAATTAAAAATAAATATAAATTTTATTATTTTTCTCGTGAAAATATTACGATTGTATTTTTTTATTACGTTTAAATGAATATCTAGATCGTTCTGACGATGAGAACGACGAATGAGAACCACTGGCTTTAAAGGACCACGATCCAACGTTCATTATCTCTTACGTATCACGCGCGTAATAGCTTGTCGGCTGCTTATGAAAATATTTGATCGATTCAGCTCCTACTAACGTCAGAAAAATTTCGATCAGAGTTTCGAACAAATTTAAGAGGTTCGACGATTTACGAAGATCGATCTTTTAATTGATCTATATTTTATTTATCTTTTGTCTTCTCATTTTCTTTCAAATCTAAATATAATTAAATTGACATCATATATTAACACATCTATAATATATATATATATATATATATATATATATATATATATATAATACACACATACACACACAGAGAGAGAGGTACCAAAGAGGTCAAAGCACCCTGCTAGCAATTTCAAGAGGAGTGATTAAAGCATATTAAACAGCAGTAGAGCTATCGAAGTGTTAAATTATCTCCATAATTCGATGAGTTCATTAATTAGGTCAACAGGTTACCATCGTCATCAAATTACTCGTCTTCGCATTCTTCTTTGACCAATATATATATATACACGCACATACACATACACATTCTTCTTTTCTTTTTTCTTCTCGATTTGTATGACAAATTCATATATATATATGAATAAGTATATATATATACTTTCTTCTTTTCTTTTCTCTTCTCAATTTGTGTGACAAATTCAAAAAGATGGAATATTACTATGTATTTTCAATATAAAAAGAAGAACTCTCTTTTTTTTTCTTTTTTTTTTTTTTTTTTTTTTTGCAGTAGGAAAAAAGAGAGAGAAATACGATGAGTAAGTCGGATTTTATGATAAAAGATCGATGAAGTAGAGCAAATACGAGGTCAAACAACGAGGCGATAGTTTAGTTTCAATTACCCTATCTTTCACGGAAGTTGAAAGCGGAGAATCGAGGGAATAATCTTTCAATTTCTTTTCCTTATTTCTTCTTTCTTTTTCTATTTCTACTTCTTCTACTTCTACTACTACTACTACTACTACTACTTCTTCTTCTTCTTCTTTTTCTTCTTCTTCTTCTTCTTCTTCCAATACTCAAAAGTATCCTATAATCCATGGAACGGCGAACATTGAATTCTTAAATTTCATTCTCTTACACACTCTCGTAAAAGGCTCTTTTACTTAACGTATAATATAGTCGTTCAATTGGCAAAGAGCAAAGGAATTTCAAAAGATAGAATAAAAATTTCCTTCGGCCAATAGAATTCATTTAATATAGAATCGTCTGATAGTATCATTCTTTATCTATTTTAATGAATATATCTCATTGATATAGAAAGCATAAACAAACGTATATAAGTAATACGATAGAAGAAACATAATTTGCATAGAAAAGAAAAAGATATGATCGAGAATGTATCTTGAAAAGTTATCGAACGTAATCGTCTATTTTGACTTGATTGATCATCGTATATATAATGTCATACGTGCATGACTTCGTAACAATAAACAAAATTATAATTTTATATCATTTGATTTCTCAATCACACGGATTCATTGTAGCATACATCGTACGTAAATAATATATATATATATATATATATATATATATATATATATATATATTTTATTATTACGTTGCATTATTTTGTATTTGTTTGAAAAACATTCATCACATAAACGAGTTATAAATTTTTGTAACGTTAAAATAAAAAGCGTTGATTCTTTGATGAAAAAAAAAGAGTGGGAGAAGGGGGGGTGGAGGGGAGAGACTACTCGGATTTATAATGGCTTCGCAAATCGGGCCAATCGATGATCCAGACCAACTCATAATCCAATTACGTCGACTCTAGTCAACTTGAATATGTACGATACATTAGTAGAAATAGACATGACGTTCATCTTCGATCTTTCGAGTAACGTTTCCTCCGTATTACATTTAATACGCTATTCGATAAATCAGAGAGAGAGAGAGAGAGAAATGTTTACATGTTACATTAATTATATTAATCGATAATATACGTTTATTATAAATAAACATGATTCGTTTAAGTTAAATAAAAATTATGAATAAACATTGAAATAATGTTCTCCGTGATATAAGGGAATGATTGATAAAAAAGAAAAAAAAATTTCTGTTTCAGCTGAGAGGAATTTCTCGATTTAGATTAGGATGTCACACCACAGCGACGATAACATGCTTATAGCAACGTCCGATTCTTTCTGGGAGCCGGGCAATTACAAAAGAACGACTAAAAGGATCGAGGATGGTCACAAGCTATGCGATAGTTTAATAGCATTGGTTCAGGAAAGAGCGGAAATTGAAAAAAGTTACGCGAAGGCGTTGAAGAATTGGTCAAAAAATTGGAACGACAAGATTGAAAAGGGCCCAGAATATGGGACCACTGAAGCTGCGTGGAAGGGTGTACTGGTCGAATCCGATAGGTTGTGCGACCTTCATCTTAGGGTTAAGGAGAACCTTTGCAACGATATTATTCAACAAGTGAAGACATGGCAAAAGGATACCTATCACAAGGTAAGAAGAACAATTATAACACAAATATAACGAATCTGATACAAAGAAAATATTGTTTTTCACGATGAAAATTTATCATCTATTTTGACCTTCCCTTTTTTTTTTTTTTTTTTTTCCTAACGATCGATAATGGATTTTACGATCGACGAAGGGTAACAAAAGTTACAGGTGATTTATTTTCGTATAGGTATGCGTTATTATTCGTAATATCTCGCCGATGTTGTATTGCAGTCGATGATGACCCTCAAAGAGCGGAAGGAAATGGAAGATGCTTTTAAAAAAGCGCAAAAGCCCTGGGCGAAACTATTACAGAAAGTCGAGAAAGCCAAAGCGGAATATCACAACAGCTGCAAAACTGAACGAACTGCGGCTAATATGGAGAGGAACGCTTCCGCTGATAGTTCTCTTTCACCCGATCAGGTAATATTTCCTCATTATTATTACATACATATATTCGTTCTTATCTTTTACTATACTCGCGTCACGACGATCAACTATTCACATCAACGTGTTATCTATTTTAGTAGAGTTATCACATGCATATGTAATTTTTCTTCGACGTATAATATACAACCGTAACCCATGTCCGCTTTTAAAGGAAACGAAGAATCTAGGCCGTCGATGAACGGGCTTGATGAATCGATATGATTAATTATTTCGTTTGTAATATCGTTCGTTCAATGATAAAAATACGAAAAGAAAGAAAAGAAAAAAAATAAATAAATAGCAATCGTCGAAGGATATAATTGATATTAATTGTCAATTAATTATTTTACCGATGTGGGTACCAGTATTGAAATAATACACGATAAACGTGTTATTAAATGAAAATCTTTTTAAAAGCGATCGTGTCCTCTCGGAAATAATATAAGAAACGTACCATAATAATCTTCTTGCATTAGAAAAAAAAAAAAAAAAAAAAAGAAAAGAAAAGAAATTGAATAGTTTCAATGACATTTTATAGGGAAAATTAGATGTTAGAATATCCTAGCACTAATTCTACACCACTGTAGATTCCTAAATATGTACGACTATAAATATGTCATTGTAAAGTCTCAATCAATTCTATTTATTTATTACAATTAGATCGTTTAAGTCAATTAAAAATTCTAATGGTGTTTCTTTCAAAATGGATACAAATATTGCCTAGCGTGCATCACAATTATACGCACTCGTGAAAATATGTATATTACAGTAGTAGTTTCGATTGTTCTTTAGCAATAATTATTTTCAGATGGCCCGAGGCTCTGAAAACGTATGTCAAACCCTTTATTAACAGAATTGCATGCAGCCACTGTTGTGTTTTAAAAAAATTTTTGCTGTTAAACGTTTCTGATTGCCTTAAAAAATAATTACAATACAATTGAATCGTTGTATATCCTATTTCATTAGTAATTCCTATAAATTTTGTTGAGAAATTTTTTCTTTTTCTTATTTATTTTTTTTCTTATTTTTTTTTTTTTTTTTTGCTTTTTTTTTCTTATTTTTTTTCCCCCCGAATGAAAGTAGATACTCGAGTGGATTATTTGTCAAAGATATTATCTTTATTTTTTTTCAACGATGACGCGAAGATCGATATGCACTTTTATTTATATACGTTCAGCATGCACAATGTTCCGAATAAAAGAAATAATTCCGTCACCGGTCACATTGCCACATGCAAATTTTCCTGATGATATTTTGAAAGAAATAAAAAAAGAAACTATTTCGTACTACAATCAATAGAAACGATTTATAAATCGTGGACGAAAATAGAAAGTTTTGACACCTTGAAAAAAGCTAACAACGTTTTTAGATGACTGAGTGTGGATGTGGTGCATGGGGCATCAGAATACAAGAGTGCCTTAGGAATTCTAAAATAGGCGACGTTCAGCTTGTATGTATATGATGTTGCATGCGGCATGATTATTAATCCATGTTTCTCTCGTTTTTTCTCATTACAGAAAGCCCTGTTGGTAAGCAATATCGATTCTTGAGATTCCCTTTACTTTAGTAATCCGCTTTGCCAGATTCCTGATCGATTAGAATATCTTCTTTAGTAGTATTTCTATTTAATAGTATTTCCGTGTATTTCTATTTAATCCGATCGAGAAAATGCGGCGTACATGAAAGAAAGGCATTATATATATATATATATATCTTTTTATGCCATTTCTTTCGTTCACTTCTCTTTTTCTGTTGACCTCCATTAAACCTAGATCATAAATACTTGTAATAATCTTTACGTAAATTTGATGATTCCTTCCACATTCTTTTTTCTTTTTTTCTCTTCTTTTCTTTTTCTTTTTTGCTATCGACTTATCATGCACATATCTGTCTCTTCTCTTATCTTGTAAGACAAGACTCTGCTCACTTTATAGCTACATTTGTAATCGCACAAAATATGCACATTCATGAACGTAGTAGTGGTAATTAGTATCGGCTTACTTATTCATATCACTGTTAATTTAATTAGCAATTTCATGGTATATATACGTACGTATATACAACGAGCGATATTTTTTCTTAGATTCGCTGGCTGGCACTCGTAACGATAGTTCGTAAATGTTTAGAAATTCACTGAAATTTTTAAAACGATAACTCGAAAAGACATTTTTACGGCTTTGTTTATGATACAAAGAAGTTGAAAGGTAAAGAATTAGTAGTAGATTGATGAAGATGAGTTGTATTCGCGGAAACATATTATTTGATAAGAATGTAAATTATTATCAAAGAACCAACATACTTCTGCTAAGATCTTTACCTTTGATTTATCTTAAAAGTTATAAAACGTATAAATGATCGACTTTAGTAATAATTATTATGTTTTCTACAGGTAAAGAAAATGCAAGACAGAGTACAGAAGACGAAAGAGGAGGTACAAAAGGCGAAAGAAAAATATGAAGCTGCACTTCAAGAAATTAATCAGTATAATCCAAAATACATGGAGGATATGTCGCAAGTATTTGATAAGTGTCAAGAAATGGAAGCGCAACGACTTCAATTCTTTAAAAAAGTTCTATTTGGTATTCACAAGTGCCTCAATATATCACAGGATCCAGTGTAAGTGTTCTTCATGTTCTTTATTTTCTTTTCTTTTGTTTTTCTTCTTTTTTTTTTTTCTTTTCTTTTCTTTATGAAAATATTATCGCTATGTGTTATTTCTTTCATGATTTGTTTTCTTTTTATTTATTTTCTCCTTTTTTTTTTTCTTCTTTTTTTCTTTTAGGCTTCCACAAATATACGAAGAATTCTACCATACTATTAACAATGCAGATCACGAGAAGGATCTTAAATGGTGGTCTAATAATCATGGTGTAAATATGGCTATGAATTGGCCACAATTTGAGGTAATTTATCGATTCTCTATGTATATAAAAGAGACACTAATGCATGCAAATTTCTGCTCGTAATTGGAAATCTGCCATTAGAGAACGCATAGCCGTAGCGTGGGTTTTATATATCACTCTATTACTCTTCTTTATACATATATAATCGTTTATGTTATAAATTGTGTCAATTTTTTATTACCTTAATATATCATAATGAGATGAAGCATTTGTTGACAGGATTTTTTAACGATCCATGTCTATTTTCTATAAATATCTAATGATAAATATTATGAATTGATATCAAGTAAAATTTTTCTGGAAAGTAATAGGGCGGAAACGAAAGAATAATATTGCTCTCAATAAACGTCTATGACCTTTCATCGTCTAAATTTTTATGGATGTCGTATTATCGTGTATCAATTTATGTGTCAACATATGACAGCATTGAATACGCTTTTGTCAAATTTTTTGCAAGCTTAACAAAATGATTTTATGTTTATTTTTCTTTTTCTTTTTTTTTTGTTTGTTTATTTATATATTGATTTTTTTTTTTGATATATTAAACTTTTATCTTAATCATCAACCAGCTTATGAAAAATGCAGTCTCTCTTATACAATACTGATATAAAGAAAATATAATGCTCGTTGATGGTTATAAATTTATTATATTTTTTTTCTTTGTTTTGGTTTTTGACTAATATTTGTGCCGTTAAATGCTTATTCCCTGTTCCCATACAAGCAATTCATTGACGTTAAAGGTCAATAACGTTGAGAGAGTAAAAACGTAATGCTTTGAAAAGCCCAGTCCCTTTTACCCGTCCACTTAAATATATTACAATCGATTTCTATTTTATCAAATCTTAGCTACGACGAAGATCTTTTAAGCTTAGATAGAAACCCACAAAGACTTTCCGGAATGCATGCATGTGATTGTTTGGGCGTTGCTATTATTATGCAGGACTACACAGAGGAATTCCGTGACATCACCAAGGGTTCGAAGTCAAAGGAGGCACTTCCAGCTGGATCCATCACTCTCATCAATCAGCGACCGGTCGGCGAGGATCTGCATGTAAAGTTTTGTTTAAGTTTACATGAGAACCTATCGTCTTTTTCTTGTTAACTGTAATGAGACACGTGCAGATATATATATATATCGTGTATCTAGTAGTAAAACATGCACATTTAAACCTCGCCTTAACGGAGGAATGATAGCGCGCTCGGAGGCACGAAATCTTTCACAAGTTGAACTTACGACGCGTGTAAAACCGCAACATACAAGCGGTGGATGGCGGAGGCGCATGAGCTCTCACCAAAAATAGGCTTTCTTTTTCTATTTTTCTTAGCTTCTCGCTCTGCTAATTCGATTCACTATAAGTTTACTTATAATATGCTTCATGCTTACTCACGAAATAACTCTTCTTAAATCGATCGCAGGTACACTTAAGTACAACCTTTGAAACCATTGAAATAGAGGTGATTTTAATATGACAGGTCTACTACTATATATATATATAGTCATCAAGCTCAAGGTATCTCTTTAAATTCTTTAGAGAGTCAGTACTAAAATCATCTCTACGTTGTTGTTTAGATTGTGTACGTTTTGCTTTCTTTTTTTTTTTTTTTTTTTTTTTTTTTTCCATAATATGTTTACGATATTGCAAGATTTATTTATTTTCAATTCATATTATCAATTCTCTTATATGTATACACATATGTTATATTATCGTATACTTTTGTATATATTATATATAACTTTCTATAAGAATTTTTTCTTAAATGCATTTTGTATACTATTATTGGGCTGTGCAATCATATATTCATAACTCCAAATCATTCTAACATCTTTGTTTCACATTTTGTACGATCAAATTTTCAAAACAGATATGTATGTAAATATACATTTGTCACAGAGCTATATGAATGATATAAGATTATTTAATACATGCTAAATACTTGGTTGTACGCACAAATACACATACACGAGCAAATATGTTTATATTTTTGGAGGCACATCTATTCTATAAAAAAAAAAAAAAAAAAAAAAAAAAAAATGAAAGTGAATATGAATTTTATTTTTATTTCTTACTATTTCTTCATCAATATAGGAATTCCCTCCAGTCAATCATAAATCAAAGTCAAAGTCTGCTGGTCGTGTTATAACAACAGATGGACTCCATGGGGATAGTAAAACAGATACTATTAGTTCGAGCAAACAATCTTCTGAAAAAATTAATCACGAAAGTAGTGGAGTTAATAGAAGTTCAACGATTACGTAAGTTAAACAAATTATTTATTAATATAAAGAGTTCAATGTATGTGTTACAAATATCATAAAAAAGTGTAATGATTTAATCTGAATGTTATGTTCTTTGTGTTACATTTTTAGGAATGGTACCAATACAAAGCAGGAATCAAATCCATTTGAAGAAGAAGAATGGGATGAAGATGGTGGTGAACCATTAGTAGATAGTGGAGAGCCAGGGGTTCCAGTTAAAGCTTTGTATAATTATGAGGGAGCAGAAGCTGATGAACTCAGTTTTAAACAAGGTACATATTGCATACTGCGACAACAGCTCATAAGCTGCATTAATTTAAGATTATTAGAATTTCACTGCTATTAGCTTTGCTAATAATAATAAAATTTCATATAATTTACTTTTTTACAAACTGTAAATGAATTCATCATTGAACATTTCTTATTAATTAAAGGTGATATATTTGAGAAATTGGAAGACGAAGATGAGCAGGGATGGTGTAAAGGAAGGAAAGATGGTAGAGTTGGTCTTTATCCTGCAAATTATGTAGAGTTATTATCTCAATAGTTTATGCAAAGTTAAATTTTCTAAAATTTTTTCTTGGTTACTTAACAAGTAAAATTATGAAGAACAAAATCTAGTTATTTTGTTGTTTTCTGTTTTTATTTTTCGGTGATGCAATGTCATCACAAAAGTTTATTTTTGTTAGAAAAAAAAAAAACACTTACATATTTTTCGTGTATGACACGATGATTTGCATAAGCTGAAAATTTCACAAAAATTGTGAATACAAAGACAGTGACGTTATGTGACTGTTTTTCTGTTTTTATATCAAAGATAGTTCAATGAAATGAGTTCTTTAAAAAGATCTCAGACAAAACATCTCCAATTGCAGTTAATACGTTTTTTTTAGATAGATAAGTTAGTAAAATTCATTGTTAGTATTAACAATTAAAATGAATAACATGTATGCAAATCTTAGATCTTCGAGTAATGTACAGTCATTCATTTTGTAACGCATTATTACTGTTACAATTAAGAATCTTTTGGCTGAAGACAAAAATTTTATTTAATTTATTGTTATTAAAAAAGTACCTTTGAAACCTTACACTTATCTAAATGGTGTCATTGTACATAATAGAATTAAGAGCTTAGTAATATTTGAAGTTATTAGATAAAATGTCACAGTGTATGCGACAAAGTATATTAGGATACTTTAAAAATATACTTAAATTAAATATATACTATAAATAACAAAAATTCGGGACCCAAGAATATTCTTTTCTTATTAAAATATCATTTAAAAAAAAAAAAGAAGAAAAAAAGAAAAAACAAAAAAAAACAATGATTCTAGCATTGTTCTTAAAAGAGTATTGGTCATTTTTTCTTGCATAAATTTAAGCATTTTAAATATCTAACGTTTAACACACTATCACTTCCATATATATATATATATATATACATATATACATATATATATATATATATATAAAATATGCTTTGTACATATATAATGTCTTTTTATATAAAAATAATAAGACTAGAATATTATTTTCAAAGTAAAATAATTTTGTTTCTAAAATACAAATTTTGTATATTTCTTATTAAGAATATACACTTTCATGAAAATATATGTCACCTTACATTTATGTGTTTTCATCGAAAAATTGAAACGTAAGCACAAGCGAAGTGAATTATAGCATGTGTGTCCTTCATTGTAAAGTATAAATATATAAGTTATTTGACATTATAACAAACACATTATTAAAGGACCAATGTGTTATGTACACTTATAACGCAATTTCCTTTAAATCATTATTAGATGTTTATTTTTGACAGTTGCATTGGAAAATTTTATAGAAAACATAATTTTCCTAAAATATACAGAAGCCATGCATTATAATTTATTATAATTACCATATAATTTTCAAAATATTTAATACAAGTCGAAAACTGATTTTGACTGAAATATGTATTTTGATTTTTAAAATTATTAATTTACATGTAATAATTAGATATACGACGTATGTTAACGAAAATAAAAATTAAGTATGAATAAAACCTGTGTCTCTGTACACGATATTTATGTAAATAAAGTAGAATATAGTAAGGTTTTCAATTCAGCCTATGACTGATTATTGTAATCAATTACTTTTTAATCCTTCAAATCATGTTTTATGAAGAATATCCATAACTTCATAAATTGTTATGTAGAATTTACCTTCTGTATAAAATTTACTATGTATATCTAATAAACGTCCTATGTATAAAATATATACTATATTTTTAATAATGCTTTTATTTTAGGGGCAATAATTAAAAGATAGAAATAATACATCAATAACTATATTTGTTTTTCCATAAGTGTTTTGGTACATTTTGCAGTATTAATATTCACAATTTATATTAAGTAGCAATTAACAAAATATTACCATATGCAATCCTTTATTTTATTTTTCACCTCTTTTCTAATCATAATTATTTAAAAAATATTTTTAATATTAAATGTAATTATGTTGCGTATTCTTAATCGCACGCAATCATATTGTAGCAAAAAATCAGAGCTGTATTTAAAACTAATATATATATATACAAGTAAAATGATTACATTCATTTACATCAATTCACATCAATACATCAACCAAAAATATTGGTTCTACATATTTATATATTTATGTATTTATGTAAAAATGAATTAACATTTTACTATTAATAAACATGCACACATATTTCTGTTTTCTTTCAAAAATCAAAATATAAGTTTAATTACACAAATATATATTTACAAAATATTTGTATTCAGAAAAAATCTGTACATACAAGTAAAATATTGAATTCACAAAATGCAAAGTAATATATATTTTATCTTAATATTAAAAATGTACTATAATTTGTATTTTAATATCATTTAAATTCTATACTTTTTAAGTTAATTAATTTATACCTTAAATTTAAACAAACTAGATCCTAATATAAAACTTTTAAACTCGAAATATGCATATATGTATATTTTATAAAATATGTATATGAAGATTAAACAACTGTATCAATCATATAATTAATTGATATTTTAAAAATGATCATATATGTGTGGATGTGTAAATACATCTATATATATATGTAATTCTATTATATAGTATTTTTCTTTAACTTTCTATTCATCTATGACATTAATATAATTATTTTTGTTAATATTTTTATTGTTACGTAATGTTATAAAAAAAAAAAAAAAAAAAAAAAAAAAAAAAAAAAAAAAATTGAAATTTTTAATTATATGTTGTTACATTAGACAAACATTATAATATATATTAATAACTATTTATTATATTAAAAGTAAAGTTGATGTGCATATTTACATCAATGCGTTGCAACATGCTGTTGTAAATGTAAAAGTGTTGGAAATGGTTTCTCACATAATTGGCATACATGTGCATTACCATTATGTACATCCAGATGCTCAGATAATTCTTCTTCAGTCTCAAAAAGATCATCACAGATCATACATTGATATTCATATGCCTTCATTCCTTGCTTCTCCCATTCTGCTATTGCAGCTTCTTCTTCATGCGCTTGTGTATGCATTTCCAATAACATCTCCGAATTAAATATTTCTGCACATTGTACACATTGATAAGATGACTCTTTTGTTTTTTCATTCTCAGTTCCTATTGTAATAAGATTAGGATTGTCATCTTCGTCATCAAAAAGATGTTTTTCTACATGAACTCCAAGTGCATCCTCAGATTCCATGGAATCACCACAAATAGCACATTGATATTGTTCTTTTCCTATACTTTGCTCATCTTCACTAATATCATCACAATGTTTTTGTAAATGATCTTTGAGTATCTCTTCGTCTGTAAAAATTTTATCACATACAAAACAAGTATAAGTTTTTTTAGGTCTTTCAATACTTTTAATTCCATCTAATTTTGCACTTTTAGAAGTTAATGTATTTTCTAATGTAGTGTTTTCTACTGCTTTTATTTGAGTACCTACGATAGATTTTTTAATTTGATCTTTCACAGTAGTAACAAGTATTGAAGAATTTCGATTACTCGTATCTAATAATTTTTTAGAATCTATTTTTGCTATATTTTCTATATTAAATTCGGATTGATCATGACTTTCTAAATGATGCGCTAATATTTTTTCTGTTCTAAATACAACATTACATACATAACATTTATGTACTTGCTTTACTGAACGACATACATGTGATTTTACGAATCGAGCCTCCACAATTTCATGACATCTTTTACAACGCATCATTTTATGTTTGTTATGTCGTGGAATAGTATTTTCCATTTTATGTGATTTCATATGTACCTCAATCTCTGAACGATCATTGAAAGACAAATTACAAACACCACAAATATGTTTTGCACTTATTGATAATTCTGGATTCGTTATATTGCTACGATTTTCTATACTTTTTTGAAATCCAACAGTAGATTTCTTTGCTACAGATGTTGATGTCATTAAAATACTATGTTTTGAAGTTTTTTCAAACGATTGTTTTCTCACTCCAGGTTCTCTTTTAATAGATGATGCATATACTTTTTGAGTAGATAATAACTTGTGTGATATAGTTTCTTCTGAACCATTAGAATCAGAGTCCATAGTAGATGTATTATAATCATTGTACTTTCTAGATGGCACTCTTCTTCGTTTATGAGGTAAAATTTCAAGAGAATTATTAATTTTATTTATAGGTTTATGCTGATCAAGAATATGTAAATTATTAATTCTATGATATTTACTTTCCTGTATTAGATCTAATACCTTTAATACAACCGTAGGTTGAAATTTTTTTGAGATCATTGCTGTTTTTACAAACTCTGCTGAAACAGTTCTAGACTGTTGATTAGAAAATTCGAATGATTTAAATGACGCTTCAATATTTTTCTTTATTGTCTTTTCTATTATATTTTTTAATTTCTGATCTAATGCCTGATAAGAAGAACTATAGAAATTTTGTAATTCTTCATTCTTTATATCATTGCTATTTATCCCAAATAATTTATATTTCACCTCTTTTTCAATAAAGGTAGCCAATTCAAGCTGAATTTGTTTTAATACCTCTAATTCTGTTCCCTCTACTTCTATGTTCAAACATTTTTCAATTAACCTTTTATCATTTGAATCACTTATCGTAGGATGAATTCTACGCAATTGTACAGCATCGATAATATCTGTATTTTTTTCTTGACTATTTTCATCTACATTTAAGCTCTTAGATTCTTTAGGTAAATTATTTAAATGTGTTTTGTTTGTATATTCTGGTTCTGTTAATGCCAATGTCGATGTTACAACATACCTTACATCGCCGATTTCTAATTCTGATTTTACTGAATGCGGCAAAAATGCTTTTTTATCATTATGCAACTTAATTTTTGTAACAGATTCGTCAGTAATATCATACTCTGGAATATCAGTAGGAGAATTTTCTTTTTCTAAAACATTTTGTATATATGATTTGTTTTGTTTCAATTCATCTTGCATACCATCTTCCTTCAATGATATACTTTTATTCTCATTTGACAAAACATCATTATTGAGCAATGTTTGAGATCTTGTTTTTCTTGTATCAGAATCTGTTTCTACAATTACATTATCACTGTCATTTTTAATATTATATTTACCACTCATATTAGTTTCTAAATTTTTTAATGCTTTAGCTAATCTCTTTTGTCTCTCAGCTTCTTTATCTGCATTTGTTTTTGCTCTTGCTTTCTGTACAGGTGATAATTGTGCATCATCAGAAACTACAGAATCAGTATCTGAAGCATGCTCTCCAGTTGCTGCTAAAAGAGCTTTTTTCCTAGCTACCCAACGTTTTGTAGAAGCTTTTCTTCTTTCTATTGTTCTACCCCTTTTACCACTTAAAGATTTAACCCTCATTGGAACTAAAGATGGTTTTATTTGGGTATTGCCTTCATTATCATTTGCTCCTTCAAATTTATTGGTATTAATGTCATTTGTTTTCTGAGATGAATCTTTTGAAGAGGCAGGATCATCCTCTGATATGTACATTTCTTTTAGTGTATTTTGATCAGCAACACAATCTACACTTGCAAATTCCAATGGTATTAATGGAGGAACCTCTGATTTTGACTTTTTCTAAAATAATTATAAATTAAGGGATATTATTTAAAAAAAAATATTTCAAAAAGAATACTTATAAAATTATATATATGATTCATAAAATTTAACAATTGTTTATATTCCATACCTTTTCATTGGTATCAGATAAACTGTCATCACTACTCTGCTGCAATTCTGCAAGCTTTCTTTTAAATTGTGATATCTAGAACATGTTGATTTTAATTTTTTAGATTTAATTTTTACATTTACAATTATTATTATAATAAGTAAGGAATTGAAAAAGAAAGAATATCATAAAATAAAAGGACAATATTGAAAAAACCTAATGTAAGTCAGAGTTATTATAATAATAATTAAACAATTGAAAAAGAAACAATATCATAAAATAAAGAACGATATTTAAAAACCTAATATAAATCATCTAAACAAATTTATATAGTTAAATATCTATTCTCTTAAATTATCTATGGGATTATAATAAATTGAATGATTAATGAAAAGGCGTGTTAAGAAAAACCAAACAAGTACAACTCATTCAATGAACTTTTGTAACAGAAAGTTAATGCTTACATATCACCAAATAAGTATATGTTGATAATATAAATTGAATATTTCTATACATACCGTATTATCAGATGCTTCTGATATTTCCAAATGATTTAACAATAATTCATTAGATTGTATAAATTGTTCCTTGAATTCACTCCACATATTCAATTTATATAAGCAAACATGACAAATGATATTCGGTAGACCCTTTTCATCTTTTATCTAAATAAAACATAATACGGTTATTAAAAACAGATGAAAAAGATTGATAAAATAATGAAAGATTATAAACAACTTACATCAATGGAGGTACACTTGCTAAGGTCATTGATTTGAAATTGCAGCTTATCGTCGAATAAATTACTCATACAACCATTTTCGGTAAGACAAATACGACACCTGCTATGTAGATTAGGTAATTTCCGTTTTCTCGGCATTTTTTATAACTACGTATGAAAAAACGATATTATAACGTTTGTAGATCAAATGGTATCGAGAAACTTGAAGTATGCAGTGAATACGATGTGGCGGGTGTGCAAGATTATGACTTGATAAGACTATCGATACAATTCATTTGTCCTTACTTCAGACTTATTATTTATGAAAATTAAAACAATCGTATGGCGGTTCTACAAAGTTTCTATTTAAAAAAAAAACTTTCCCGAAGAATAATATTTTCACTTTTTTGTTATATAATTAATTTAATTAGATAATTGTTTATACTTCTACGTATGTACAATATAATAATTGTTATCTAATTACTTTGTATTAATCGAAACGACATAAAATAATAAAAATATAATACAACAAGTTTTCAAATGATAATTAATAGATTTCTTTTTACAAAATATAAATTAATTATTTTATTGATTAATTTGATAATGTTAAATAGTAAAATAAATAATGATGTAGCATATTTATGATATAAATTAAATTAAAAATTATATGTTCTGTATTTTAAATTGAAAAACAATGATTATCGAGTATTTAATCACAAAGTTTACGAGATTGTTAATATATTGATATCGAAAAATAATCGAAAGAAGAAGTTAATCGAAGTGGCGAGAACTATCGATTCAAATACTCGCAAACTAAACTTCGACTTTTATACTTTTCTAGTAAGTTCTATAAGATTTATTCAAACCACGACTGCGGTAATTCCACAAGCGTGATAAAAGTTATTTTTCTAGAATCATCCACTGAACATTGAATGATTTTAATCTGTTCAATAGAAATTATTCTTAACGTTAGAATATTTTATTAATTTAAAACAATGTAAGTACGATTTAATATTATCATATGTATTCTTAAATATATGTAAATGATTTTAATATACATCGTCATTGCCATTTTATTTATATAAAATATACAGAATATATTTTTTTTACAAATCTTTTGATTTTATTTTTATTTATATTTGGTTTTATCTAATATTTAATTCTTTTTCACACACTATAATAGTCGACATTTACAAATGTTTAAATGTAATTACTATTCCATATAATTGAATATAATTAACAATTAATAATTACGTTTGAAAAAAGATAGTTAATAGTATTACATCCTGAAGAAAATATTGTTATATATATATATATATATATATATATTTACTATATTCCAATTTATCATATATTTGTAATTATTAATATGATACATGTATCATCTTTTAGCATGGCTGCTGTAGATATTTCTCCTGCAAAAAATGGTGGTATTCTTAAAGAAATCCTTAAAGAAGGTGTTGGTGATGAACTTCCAATAACAGGTGGAAAAGTAACAGTACATTATACTGGAACATTGTTAGATGGAACTAAATTTGACTCTAGCAGAGATCGCAATGAACCATTCAAATTTAATTTGGGTATGTCAAATGTTATTAAGGCTTGGGATATTGGTGTAGCTACAATGAAAAAAGGTGAAATCGCAATGTTAACATGTGCTCCTGAATATGCATATGGAGAAACTGGTAGTCCTCCAAAAATTCAACCTAATACAACTCTTAAGTTTGAGGTAAAAAAAAAACTTTTCAATATGAAAGTATATAAAAATAAAATATTTATAAGTATAATATATCTAATTAGTTTATAAATTTTATATCAATTATCAGATAGAAATGATTGATTGGTCAGGAGAGGATTTAAGTCCTGATAAAGATGGAAGCATTGAAAGACTTCAAATTACTCCAGGGAAAGATTATGTTACTCCTCGTGATAGATCATTAGTAAACAGTATGTATGATATTAAATTATTATATAATATTTGCATATGTATATATATATATATATATGTATATAACCTTTTTCATTTATAGTACATTTGACTGGAATGTACAAGGATGAAGTTTTTGAAGATAGAGATGTACAATTTTGTCTTGGAGAAGGAGAAGATGTAGGAATTGTAAGGGGTGTAGAAAAAGCCCTTGAAAGTTTCAAAAGTGGAGAAAAATCTAAACTTAAAATAAAAAGTAAATATGCATTTAAGAAGGAAGGTAAACCTGAATTTAACATTCCACCAAATGCAGATGTGGAATATATTGTAGAATTAAAAAGCTTTGAAAAGGTAATAACCTGAATATAATATTATTAAATATTTTCTATTGTATTTTTTATTCTAATTATATTAAAAAAATTTAATATAGGCTGTTGAAAGTTGGTCTTTAAATGGATCTCAAAAAATAGAGCAAGCCAAACTTTTGAAAGATAAAGGAACGAATTACTTCAAAAATGGAAAATACAATCTAGCTATTAAAATGTACAAAAAAGTGTTGGATTTTTTATGCTATGATAAAAATTTTGAAAACGAACTTAAAGCAGAGAGCGACAGTCTTCTTTTATCCACACATTTGAATCTTGCATTGTGCTATTTAAAAACTGATCAAAATGTTGAAGCTAAAGATGCATGCTTAGAAGCTTTAAAGTTAGATCCACATAATGAAAAAGCATATTTTAGAAGAGGACAAGCTTATCTTGCACTTGCATCACCTGAAATAGCAATTAATGATTTTGAAAAAGTATTAAAAATAGAACCAAAAAATATAGCTGCTTCAAAACAAATTATAGTTTGTAATAATCTTATTAAGAAACAACTGGCAAAAGAAAAGAAACTTTATGCAAATATGTTTGATAAATTTGCACAAGAAGACAAACAGGTTTGTGAAAAACAATAGTATATAATACAGATATTTTTTTCGTGCGAACTTCATTTTCTTCTGTGTAAAAGTAAAATTTGCTTCCATTTATGTTCATCTCAAATATTGCAAAAAAAAATTGAATATTTTAAATTAGATTCATTATTTATAAATAATGTATAAAGATCTTGGTAAACATTGAATTTCTTTAAGTTTTAATATATGATTTGAATTATATTTTGTCATCAAAATTTTATCATAAAATGAATTTTTAAAATATTTATGATATTGTAGTATTTATATTGTTTTAATATTTAGGGGTAATTTTAAAATGTAATATTAAAGTGTAATATTAATACCTATATATTAATAATAGCAATGAAAACATTTTTGTGACTTGATTTTAATCATAGAAAATAATCATGTATTTTCTAATTATTCATGATTTTGTTATTAATTATTAATTGTTTTGTTACTTTTGACCATAAACTATTAGTAATGTCGCAGAAGGAGGAGGAGAAGCTGCGACAACAACCCGATGTAATGCGTGGAGCTCTGGGTGAATGGGGACAAGAAGAAAGGCCTGGAGGTAGAGATGCAACTGCCTTTGAAAAGGAAAATCCAAATATTCTCATGCTTAATGCTAACGGCACAGGAGAATTTCAAAATATGTAAGCAGTTGCTGCACTCTTTCAGTACACTGCTCTATTTGACTGCCAACAATGTTAAATTTTAATATTCGATATTTTATGATGCCGTTAAGTAGTACTGGGCATAAAAAAAGTCATAAAGGCTTTTCACATTAAGAGGCAGAGTAAATCTCTATAATCAATTTGATACATATAATATATACCTAGTCAATTGTATTTTTCATCATTTTAATAACTTTATGTTTCAAATGATCAAATAGATTTGGAAATGTAATTGTGGATATATTGATTAGGAATATTCTGTATTATTCATTTTGAAGTGAATATTGAGAATTCATTAATAAAACGATGTTGGACGAGAAGTTATTTAATTATAACACAATTTTCTTTATCATTGTCTATCAGCAATTTTAAATATAACATAAGACATTTCGTTCATAATAAAATATATTTTACATTGTTTAAGATTTTAAGAATTTATTACACATATTGTCTATGCACAATGATGTAACTGTAAAAGTTACGAATAAACAATGTACAAAAAATAAGTGGAATAACCTTATTCAAATTATTATTTATTATCTTCCATACAAATATTTTTTAATTATAGATTACAATTCGTTGGTAAGTACATTGAATGTAATTGATTTATATAAACAAATTCATCTTAAATCACATAAGTAAAAAATGACCGTTAGAAAAATAATTATTCAATTCAAACATAGCCTTAAAGTATAACATAAGAATTCAATTAACAATTTAAATTAGATTTTAAGCCAATCATAAATCTGAATAAAAGTATACAGTTACGCTGATTCGTCTGTTTACACTATGAATGGACAATTCAACTGTTATAGAAATTATGCTTTATAGTTAGTATCCGTGCGCATGTGTATATTGCGCATTGTGGTATTGACGTTGTCAAATTATAATTGACATTTCACAGGAATCTAAAAGGTTAAAAAAAGGGGTGTTAACGTAAGTAATTCTTAACAATAAATATTAATACGTGTTAATATTTCTGAGTCGCAAAACGGCATTAAAGGATACTTTAAAGAATATCTCTTCTATAATTTCAACAATAATATTATAATAAATCATATACTTTCATTTTTGATTGTATTAATACTTTTATGTAATTAAAATTGTTTACTTTATTTATAAACATATAATTTTCTTTAATAACGATTAATCTTCATAATTTGTCATGTGCTCAAATCTAACCTATGATATTAAGTTTTATAAAGATATATGTTTTTTATTAACATAAAACATATAATTGCAGGCATTAAAAAGGTTAAATTAAAAAATATATACTATATATATTTATTAGTTTAATTAAGTTGTACATAATTTTATGATACAAGATATGAAAATTATTTAATCTATTGAAGATTTCTTTCTATATATATTCTATATATATTTCTATTATTTAAAGTTTATAGCATAAATATCATTAAGATTACCATAAGAATATAATCTTCATAACGGACAATGTATATTCAGTCAGTTAGATTATCATGGATGCTTTTGGTGACAATTTTGTAAACGATACGGAAGTAGATCCTGCCGCAGAATTTCTAGCAAGAGAACAAGATCAATTAGCAGGATTAGAAGATGAAATTCCTCCTGTCTCTATGGCTATCCCAGCTACAGCTACTAATGGAGAAGGTAAAGGAATAAATATCGTTTTATTTTTTTATTTATTGATTATAGAATTGACGAATAATAACAATCATGAATATTAAATAATATAAAATTGTTCTTAATAATTAAACGATAAATTAATTATATTTTATATTTGACTTCAGAAGTGTTCTGTATTCTTAATAATTTTATATGTAGCATATTATAATTAAATTTATTTTCAGTAGAGGATTTATCTGGAAATTTTGGCAGTTTAAAAATTGGTCCAGGTAGTGATGTTGAAGGTAGTTTCGAAATCATAGATACGATTGGACAGACCACTGAATCTCAAACACTACCTGCTCTAGGTAAGATATATATTCATAAGAATTTGATAAAAATATAATAATTTAACAAAAAAAAAATCTACCTGTAGATACAGTAGTATCAGCACCACCAGTAAAAGAAGAACCAGAAAAGATACGAAAATGGAGAGAAGAACAGAAAACACGTCTTGAAGAAAAAGGTATGTATGATAATTAGATTAAACTATAAGTTAACATTTAATTAATCTTAGAAATTATATATTTATTAGATGCTGAAGAAGAAAAGAAAAAAGAAGAATGGAGAGAAGCTGCAAAGAAAGAATTAGAAGAATGGTATAAGCATCATGCAGAGGCAATTAGCAAAACCAAAACAACTAACAGGTAAATTTTATATTTTTATATATTTGATATATATTCTTTAGTTAAAATTTAACATTTGTTCTATTTATAAGTAATTACAGACACTAAAAAAGTTCTATTTAGTATAAATTACTTATATTTTTATCAAATTTAATTTAACTTTATATTAATGCAAAACAGAACTACAGGTATATAACTTAAACGTTGTAATAATATTGTTCTTACTCTTTGATGCATTCAGTTACTATATTTTTAATTACATTTATTTATAGTAGTTGAATATTATCATATACTTAATTTTAGGCTATCTGAATAAGTATGATATATAGATATATACATACATTATTTTTTTATTCTGCTTCTTAGGGAATCAGCCAAGTAAGTTACAATCTGTTTAATTGCATGTATATTGCATTATTGATTACATATAGTTGCAATGCATATTGCATTAAATTGCTATACAACGTCGCTTTGCTTAGGCAGGTATAGAAAGTTTAAAAATAATATATACATTAAAAATAATAGATAATAATAGATATATAAATAAAATTCTAGGATTTTTAATTCTATAATTTTTTTGTAATATTATAAAGAAAGTATTGCATATCATATATTTATATATAATGCACAAAATCTGCCAATATATTTTATTATCTTTTTTAATGTTAAAATTTATTATAATTGATATATGTTTACTAAAAAATTTGTAATTGCATTTTCAAATGCATGTATACTGGCATCCACTTCGTAAAAGATAAAAATAATGCCTGCACATAAAATAGATAATGGAATTATGCTTGAATTGTATATAAAAAGAACATGAATTAATGAAAACTCTTATAAAATAAATGATATGTGATTAGATATTATAAATAATTTGGCGTTCTTATTAATAGGAATGCAGAGAAGCAATTCGTTGCAGAAGCAGACGAAGTGGAGCCTGGTACAGAGTGGGAACGTATCGCGAAGCTATGTGATTTCAATCCTAAATCATCTCGTACTTCCAAAGATGTATCTCGAATGCGTTCAATTATTTTGCAATTAAAGCAGACACCACCTGCTCCTGTTAATGTTTGATAGAATCAAAAGCTCTTACCTTACAAATTATAGGTATTATAAATAACAACATTAATAACAAATAATGAGGAAAGATGTATGCAGATTCCGATCATATTATTAAAACAATAAGTTGGAAGTGTTCTGTTAATAAAAGATGTACTATTATTGTGAATAAAAGTTATTAATAATAAGTGAAAAGTGCAATGAAAAAATATTTTCATAAACTTATATTAAAAGCAATCAAAAATTCAAATTTCTTTTATTTTAACTCAATTATCATTTACTTTGAAAGTAAGTATACATTTGAAAATAATCATTTACTTAGTAAAAATGATATGAATCATTACTTGTTATATTTAATATCAATAGTTTATTAATTTATTAATTATCTTGACATTATTGTTTACAGAGTTAATCATAGAAATTATTGTTTTATTTATTGATATTTCTTTGTTTCAAAAAAATAGCTTTTTTACAATAAAAGTATAAAATGTATAACCTATTTAAATTCATAACTATATACATTATTGCTTCCAAATCTTAGAAAGATATAACTTTGATAGAATTTTTCTTTTATTTTTTAGAAATATTTATTTTGTATTCTTTTTTTTATATATGAAATGGAAATTGTCATGCGTATTACATATATTTCTTACACCACACAATCGTATTACCATCGACTCACGGATCAGCTGTAGGGTGTAGATTTAACGGCACGTAAGTCGTAATGTAAAACTGTCAGGGAACAATTGCAATGGAAATAAAACTATAAAATTTTAAATATTTCAATTGTCTTCCTCAAAAAATATATAAATCGATTTGTTGAATGTATCAACGATTATAACCTATACGAATGTAAATCTAAAATTGAATTGCTTACTATAATATACTCCAGGTATCTTGGTCTGGACAAAGCACTTTTGTGGAATTTTATATGATAAGTACATAGTCACCTGAAGTTAATATTCAAAACAGAGTAATTATTACACAGAATTAAATATCAGAACAAATTAAACCTTATTCCTTGGGCTCTTCTTGAAATGAAAATAGCTAAATCAACCGTGGCTCTTCTAATCTTTGTATTAATGTTATCAATTTTTGTGGCAAATGTTGCCGATCTAATTAATGTTGATTCTCATATATCAGATAATACCTTATCATGCAAAGGCATAGAACCTGTATGGCTACAACCAAAGTTATATCAAATTAGGGAATCACCGGATCATTTAATATGGTTTATTCAGGTTAGTTATAAGTCAACAATAAATTGTAAATATTATGATATTTAATTTTAAAAGTAAACTCTTTTTATTTTAATCAGATTTACATCATTTTAGATATAACATGTAGATGTAACATCATTTAAATGTAACATCATTTTAGATGTAGATTTACATCATTAATTATTTCAGATAACAGACATACATATAAGCATATTTCAAGATCCTGGAAGAATAATAGAATTAGAAGAATTTTGCAATATAACAGTAAAATCTATTATGCCTTCGGTTGTCCTTGCATCAGGTAATTTTTATTGTAATAGACATAATTTATATTATGAGCTATCTTGTTATTAATAACATTATAATAGAATCTGTAATATAGGTGATTTAACTGATGCAAAAAGTAAAGATAGAATGGGTTCTAATCAAATATTGCAAGAGTGGAAATATTACAGGAACATATTAGAAAACACAAATGTTACAGAAAAAACATTATGGCTAGATGTTAGAGGAAATCATGGTAAGAATTTTAGTAAAAAATGAATAAAAAAATACGATAAGCGTATCAACTAATATAAATAATAATCTAACTAAATTTTAATTTTAGATAATTTTAATGTTGTTAGTCTTGAATCAAAAAATAATTATTATTCAAACTATTCTATCCAAGGGAAAAAATATCCAAAATCATATATATATAAAGTGACTGTTGGCTCTGAAACATACTCATTTATTGCTATTGATGCTTGTTTGAAACCTGGCCCAAAGAGACCATTTAATTTTGTTGGTGTTTTGGATGAACAAGAATTAAAAAAGATACAAGAATTAGTAAATATATCCAAAGAAAATAATGCAGATTATATTGTTTGGTTTGGACATTATCCAACCTCATGTATATTATCTCAATCTGATACAAGTATCAGAAATATTATAGGTATGTTAGTATAATCTGATTTCTTTTACTATGAATCTGTATTTTTTTACTAATAATGCATATTGTATTATAGGCAAATATAAAGAAAGCATGGTATATTTATGTGGACACTATCATACTCTTGGTGGTTCAGTTCCAAATATGTACACAACACAACAAGCAGGATTTCTTGAACTAGAATTGGCAGATTGGAAAGACAATAGAATGTATAATTTTATATTCTATATTTTTATACGTTATTGAAAAGTTTAGGTTTACTTTGTGTCTATATATGTTATTAGGTATCGCCTTGCAGCAATAGACCATGGACAGTTTTCATTTATTGATATGAAACATCAAGATTGGCCTGTAGTATTGATTACCAATCCAAAGCATGCTCTGTATATGATGCCACGAAAAGAAAATGTAAATTCTATTATTAAATCTACACATATAAGGTAATTTTTTAAATCATGACAAATAGTATATAGAAATATCAAAGAACGTATAAAAATTAATATATTAATACATTATAATAATATTTTTATAGAATATTAGCATTTTCAACAGTACCAATAAAAAGTGTAGAAGTTCAGTTAAATAATAAATCTTGGTTACGATGTAAGAACGTAAAAGGACCACTGTATGCTGTAAAATGGAATGCTTCAGAATATAGCAATGGAATTCATCATATTCAAGTTCAGTATAAAATTTATAAAAATCAATATTATATTGTATTTGATAAAAATTTGATATTACTGCTTATGATTATATATTTGATTATATATTATTATGATTATATATTACTTATATGTTACAGGTTCGCGTAATAGATGAAAAAGGGAGAGAAAAAATTATTATGCAACCTTTTTCACTTGATGGATCACGATTATCTTTTGGTTTTCTACCTAGACTGATTCTTATGTCTAATGTCAGTCGTATTGTAAGTTATTATTTAAAATTATATTATTAGAATAATTCTTATTATAAAAATGTATTTATCACTTAAATATTTATTATAATTATATTGAAATATTATAATGGTGATACTTCAATTTGCTAATTTCTAATACTAATCTAATTAAAACAATTAAAATATTTATAATTGACTTAATCAAATAATTACTATATCTGTTTCCGTAAATTATTTAGTTTCAGTTCCTGTTTGGAAGTGTACTTGTATTAATAGTAGCACCTTTGTGTGTTTTTCGGTTTCTTCATATACTTTGTGAAGGTAAATAGAATAATTATTTTTCATAATATTTTTATATGCCTGTACGAATTAAAATAGTTCTTTATTATCTACTTTTATGATTAGCAAAGCGTATGTCACGTCCAAGGATACGTGTAAAATTTTTCCGCTGGTGGATTAGGAAATTATGGATATTATCTACCATTGATCGTTTATTTTTCCCTTTGGTCCTTTATGCTTTATATTTAATTGTTGGTAAGTTATATATATCTTTCATTATATTTGTTTAATAACAGTGTGAAATATTAATGTACACAATATATAAATTACAATACAATATACAATACATAAAATACAAAAATACAATATATAAACAAAATAATCTACAAAAGTATTTATTATATATATGTATAATATTACATTCTATGTAGGTCCATGGGCGATTGGTGAGGTGATAGAAAATCATATAGGCATAATATTTGCATGGGGTACATTTGTTGGAAATTCATTTTTGCCTGGTGCTTTTACTTATGCATATGGATTTTTCCAATTATTTTCTTTTCATTTACCTCTTATGTTACTTTTGGCTCATCAAGCAGATAAAAGGTAAAATAAGACAATAAAAGGAAATTATTTGAATAAAGTATTTTATATAATATTAAATAATTTTACAGATTGCAAAACACGGAAAGAACATATAAAAAATCATCTAAATTTTATTTGGTTTTACAAAATGTACCAATTATACTTTTGATTATAATGCAAGTAAATATGGCTTACTTTTTCTGGCTAGCATATGGAACACTTGCCACTATTTTATGTCCTTTGCGCACATGGAGTGTTTTATTAGCATTAATACTATGGTATCAAGTCAATGCAATGCCTCAAGCATGTTTTAGGTTTGTAAAATATCATAATATCGTTTAAATTACATTAAAACGTTATATATTTTATGTTCTTTTTTATATCATTTAGATCAGCATTATCGATATGGTCTGGCCATGCTTAATTTGTACAAAAAATTCTTATGAAATGTAAGTACAGAAAATAATAACAAATGAAGGAATTTATCCTTTGCAATATTATACAATTTACTATTTACGTTATTATTTACTATGAGATTAATAAGCATTACTCGCAATGCGAGATAAGTATAATTTAAAAAACAATACAAATGGTATGTTATCATTTGTGTCTCAATTGTGAATTGAAGAATTTAATTAGGATTAACTTATCCATTCAATCACTTGTTATGCATTTGTAATTTTTCATAAATACTTCTATTTATTTCTAAATATTTCATAAATACTTCTAGTTATTCGTACAAATAATATAAACTATCTATTTACAATTAATTAAAATATTAAATCTTTAAATGCAATAAATATAGACACAATATTCTTATTTATATATTTGATATGTGATATGGTTTAGAAAAAGGATAAATTATTCTAGGAATTATATCCACCGTTCTTCTCTTATTACCTCTAAATAATATGTAATTGATGCAATTATCAAGTATGTAATTGCAAATCCTGAATATCATTATTCCATTTAATGCAAGACAAATCATCTTCCTTAAAAAACAATCTTAATTAATACTATATATTTTTCTACATGTAATTGTATATTATTATATAATATACTATGTATCATTATTTTTTTTTCTAAATTATAGAACTTAGAATATAATATATAATTATTCTATATGTTAATGTAGAATATGTGAAGTGCCATCAATGATATTACTAGAATTATCTGTGTCATATATTTATTATAATATATAAATAAGTAGCATGATGTATAAACAATTTAAGGATAATATCTATATTCTAAGATAGTATATAGATTTATTTGAAATATATTTAGTATTAATTTTATGTTAACAAGTACTATCATATTATTATTATTATTACAACTGATGGTACTTTTCATATAACAACTAAAAAAGATTGCTGTGCTATGTAAAAAGAAATATTGCTACAGATGTGCCAATAAATGTTGTAGATACAATAACAATTATAATTTCTCTTTATTTTATATTTTAACATACACATATTCATAAAATAAAATAATATAATATTTATACGATAATGAATTAAACAAATATATACCAAGTAAGAAAATAAGAATAATAGAAGTTTAATAATTTTATAATTCAAAATTATATTGAAATTTATAATTAATAATCGAGTATTTCAATAAAAAGTTAAATTGATCTATCGATATTTTCGATATTGTACCACATTATAGTGTGAACGTTCGTTTGATTTAGTTCCGATAGAGTGTATTACTAGTAAGTACTTAGGATAAACTTTTAAAGTTTATTAGTTTTCCGTTGACTATTTTAAACAACATATTTTACAAAAATGAGCACTAATCCTAACATTCAATGGGCCTTGGATATACTTACAACTGATCCTGATTATAAACCTTCTTTTTGGGAAAAATATGGAATGTTAATTGGAACGCCAATGATATTGGTTGCAGGAGCATGTCTCCGAAATTCATTTTTGAAAAGACCCATACATGCAGGTAATTAAATTATCATTTATAAATGTATAAATTATTTGCATAAATATTATACTTGAATTTATGTATTTGAAACAAAAATATCAATTAATAATAGACACGATCCTAACCTTAATTTTTATATATGTCGATTATGCAACATAGAGATATTGCTATGACTTGGTATCAGTAGCTTTAATTATTTTAATATAGTTTTAGTTAGTAATCATAGTAATAGATATATGTACATATTGTAAATTATTATATAGTATATTCCATCACTTTTGTATTTTATACATTTATGCTATCAAAATTATAATTTTTCGTTCATTCATATAACAATTATAAATTTAATAAGTAAAATGTACATATACATTGTAATAAAAATGTGGAAATATATAACTTTAATTTTATATATTGCAATATATTTTCTTGTAATCGTTATAATTATATTAATCAAATTTGTTTACAGGTCTTCAGTTACATATTGCACTAACAGTAATAGGTCTTGCAGCAGGATATAAAATGCATGAGTTAGCTAATGAACACTTTGCAAAAAGAGATCAGTTGCTTCGTCATTATGTTATGTTGCATCCAGAAGATTTTCCTCCGCCTGGTAATATGAAATAGTCTTACAATAAATTTAATTTTCTTGATCTTTCACTGCTAAACATTTTAATGAAATAATATTTCTTTAATTCTTTCAGAACGTAAAAAGTGGGGTGAAGTGTTTGAACCTTGGAATCCAATTCGTTAAATAATATAGTTATTTAAACTATATTGTACTAGATCAGTGAGTTATAATTGTAGCTGTAATATCTTTTACATATATATATTTTTTTTTTTTTTGAATATATTGTATAAAAAATAATTAATACATAAGATATTTACCTTATCTTGTGTCATTATGTTCTTAGTAACACAATAAATAAATTAATCTGATATGACTTATATAAATCCATAAAAATTACAGAATAGATAAAATAAAGTAGACCTTAACATACAAATTAATTGAACAAATAGTATTTTATTAGTTTAAGTGAGAATTAAATTAGGAAAAATTCATGAGAATTATAGGAATGTGGAGTATTTAATTATATATTTTAATCTAGTCTATCAAAATGACTTGCAATAAAAAGAATCATATATTTATTAAAAATGAAATTTTTGAAAAAATATGTGCAAAGAAAAAAGGTTAAGATATATAACCTTATATGATTTTTATACGGTTCATAACTAATTAATGAAATATAGATATTTCTTAACAGGAATATTTCTTGATAAATTTTGGCATTTCTTTAGATAGATATATGATAGTATTTCCTTGAAATAAACTATATTATTTATAGGTATTCAGAATTTGTAGACATTCTTTACCAACGAATCAATGACCTTTATCACATATAGCAACCATTTTGATGATAACAATAAACAAAATGTAACTTAACTGACAATCATAATATTACACCTAATTTATTTAGCAATACAAATTTACTTTTTTTCAGGATTATAATTATCGTTGTATAATCCAGTACCTTTTGCGTCTCCCAACCAGGGGTATTTATAAGGACATTCTCTACATGTTTCCAAATACCTGTAAAATTATTATATTACACGTAAATGTTTATTAATATTGAATGTATGCTTAAATATTTATGCTTAAATTAACTTATAAATAAAATCAATCTTTTCTCTTTAATTTACCTAGTTGTAGTGAAGTTGGATTCTGGAGGCTTAAAGTCCAAAGCACATTTATTTGGATTATTACAAGGTGGACCAGGAATATTTTCTTTTTTTTTACATGACCAACCTTCAAAATTATTTAAAGATTTAACTGGTTTTGGATCAGTTATCCAAGTTAATGCTTGTGTGGCAGTTACAAAGTAAACATCTGGTCTGTAAAAAAAAAAGCATTTTATTAAGATATGGTGAGCTTTAATTATTTATAAATTGTTAATTTTTGAATATCTAAATCTCAGAGAATTTGAATTTAATAGAAACTCAAGTGTTTTATAAAAAATATGCTGATTATAAATTAGCATGAAATATGGCCAATAATCGTAGATTTTAATTTATTATTACAATCTGAATATTGATATTTTTACGTTGTATACACAGCATTTTTTTATATCAATATTACATTTCCATTCAAATATTACATATAAATAATTTTATACTCACAATGTCACTGCCCAATCAAGAAATTTAGAAAGTCCTCTTTCAAGTTCCTTTATTTGAAACCAATTAGTATGAAATGGCATCATATACGGTGCTCTATTTTGTTCATAATATCTGTTGAAGTCTTCTTGCAACCAATCAAATACTTCTTCAGGATCATGATTATGTAAGACACATTGATCTAGATAAGGACAATGTCCACCTTCATAACTCTCAACATAATGTGCATTAAGAGGTAATTCCCATACTCCTATAATATAAATGACATGTCTTTATTGACTTTTTGATGCATATAATAAATTCTTCATTGTTTTGTAGTAATTAAAGTAATTTTTACCTGGAAATGATTTAGTGGGACAAGTACCAGCTTTACATTCATGAGGTATTTTATAATCGAGAGTATATGGCCATATAGGTGTTTTTAGAGGTGAAATTCCAATACTACTATCATATATATAACCAAAATCTTCTAATACTTTATATTGAGTATTTCGACCAGGTTTCAAATAAGGTCCTCTCATACCAACAATTTCATTTGCTGAAATATTACTAAAATGCTTTAGGATTTCTCGCATTCCAATCATTTCACCGACCCATTCTTCGTAACCTTTATCTTCTAATCCTTTTTGAAGTCTAAAAATAATTGATTTTAAAATTTCATTGGAAAAACAAAGACAATCATTCGTTGATCATCCGCATACTCACGATATTGTTTCCGTAGCTATTTCATGACCATCATGCGCTAGACTTTGTACCATATTATAATTACAATATTCATGAGAGATGAAAAAGGTACCTTTCAATGGACAATTGTTTGGATTTAATCGATCTTGTGTAAAAATCTTTTGATAATGATCAAAATTATTATGATTTATCGCTCCATCAAATGTCATTATTATCATTTGTGGCGTCTGTAATAAATAACATATATTGAGTCAATTTGAAAATGTCTAATATCAATGAGTTACTTAACTCTGATGAGTTTCGATAAAATATAAAAAATTAAATTTGAGACATTATACCTCCTCCGGTTGAAGACCACCGGGTATAAGCGTTCCATCGCGTGAACAGAAGCAGTATGGAAGCTGACAATTTGCTGTATCACATCTCTCTGCAAGATCCGTTGGAGGATCCGTTACCGGAGGTGGAGCTGTAAATAATATTTTTTTTCATTAATCTATAATGAGAAGAATAAATACGACGTTCATATGGAAAAAGATCTATAAGAATAATAAATTAGAAGCGATACTGAAATTAACTTACTCGCAGCAATAGGTCCACAACGGGCTTCATTTTTGAAGGTGCAAAATTTGCTAATATCATCAAAGTGTAATCCCGAAGGACATCTATTTAAATACGGATATCCATCTACACACTGTACAAATACAAATAATAACAGAGTCAATATTTTATTTATATATATATATTTTTTTGTAACGAATTAAATAATATTTAATTATTTAAAATGCAAATATTAAAATAAAATTACCTGATAAAATCTTCTACAGGTTGCAGGATCAGCGAAATTTCCATTTCCCTGACCTTCCGGGCATGTGAATTCTTCGTCTTTTTTATCTTCATCCTTTTTATTTTTTTGACATTGTACTGCAGCAAAAAGTTAAGAAAAACATTTTAGCCTTGATGACAAAAAAAAAAAAGAAGAAGAAGAAAATGGCACCTTTCTGTGGTTTACGAAGAGTGCGAAGATTTGTCATTATTGAGAGATTGAAAATTAAATTGAAAGTAGTCGTATTGGCGAAATGTCAAGGTTGAAGATTTAACATTACTTACAGGATGAATAACATAACTGCCTATATGTTCCACTTTTACTAGATTCTTTTTATTTATAGTCTTACAACTTCATTACTAAGTTAATCATGTGACTTAACAAGTGGAATTAATTTCTGCATAAAGAATGCTATGAATATATGCAACGTCAGGTATGTACAATCTATCGGTAATTATTTTATTATGAACCTTCACAATTTACATTATCTAAACGATTTTATTACCAATGAAGAAGAGTCGTTGAACTCTCAACGGCATATCATTGGCATTAGATTAGCTTCGTTATCAACGGCATCATCTATTATAAAAGATAATTATACTTGATTCTAAGAATCGTTTAAAGCAATTCGAATTATGTTTATGTTTTCATCATAAAGACTGTAATATGATAGCGTCTATAACGTTAAATGTTTCGAAAGAATAATAGTCGGTTTATTTCGTAATGAACTGACTAACAATAGGAGGATGCGAATCTATCAACCTGCACGCGATTATACGTGAATTATTCCATTTCACAGTATTTTTCTTTCTTTCTTTCTTTCTCTTTCTTTCTTTTTTCTTTTTCTTTTTTTTTTCATCTTCTCTTTTAAATATTCTTCGAAGATAATATCTCAGAATACTTTTATTTCTTTATGAGAACACAACAACAGACATTCATCGATGAAGATGAAAGTTACAGTGTGTTCAAGGAAACTTGCAGACAAGCGAAGTAAATGGGTGAGAGAAATTCCAAAGCTATCAGAAAAGAGGCTTGAGAAAGCGATGAAGAACACGATTGTGACATACCATTATATACATCGAATACACGAGTAAACATATTAACAAAATTCGTCACTAAATCGAATTATCTCGACGATCGTAAATTTTTGGAAATTTTTTTTTCGCCATTGAATTTACCTTTACGACACAGTTAAACGATACGATATGGAATTTGACAATGAATATCATTTGTCTCGAGAAGAATTTCGATCCTTAATTATATTTATACTGGAAATGTTATATGTTAATACGAGAAAGTAAATTCTTGACTAATTCCTAATTAATTTCTTTGATATTATTTTCTAAATAAATATCCAGAATATGATATTTCTTTTTATATTAATTTACAGGCGTTCGATTTGTTAATTTATATAAATCTATTATGAATGATCACAAAATGAACGCAATAGGCGTTTATATTTCTTTGTTCGAATTTTTTTTTGTATATATATATATATCTATATATTTATATATATATAGATATCATTCATTATTGTGAATATTCAATTAGTTTTTTTATTTTCTTTTACGGGACGAAAAATGATTTAAAACGTATAAAATGATATATCATTGAAGATTTTTATACAAGGAATATATTATACCTATCAAATGAAAATAAATACATTTCGATATATTCCAACGAAATCGTTATTCGAACGTGTTAAAATCATATGCGTGTACGCAGGCAAGAGAAAGTGGCCATCAAGGAAGAGTCTTATGCCTGATTTTATGATTGTTAAACCAACCTGATCTTAATCCTTGCACTGTTGTAAAACAATTTGATGATATTCCCACGAAACTATGAATATTATAATTACTTTTAAATTTGAATGAATAACATTTGATCAAAAGATTTTTCAAAATTTTTATCGATTTAATGATCGATTCAATGATAAATTTTTATATATACACGATTAGAATTTTTGTCGGTAATTTTTATTTCACCATTGAAAAATAATGAATACGCATAATTTTTTTTTTTTTAGGAAAAATAATCGAGTGATAAATCGTACGCGTAGATGTCAAAACGATACGTTTACTTGTAAAGTGAAAAGTGAAGGTACCAGTGTGGCAATGACGTTGTACCTAGCAAAGCGTTCAGGTGCAACGTTTCTATTCGTGTGTGTATATGTATATGCACGTACACGTGTTTATCGTTCTTCTTGAATCCCGCTATAATGCCATATGTGTAAGTAGTGGTGTACTTATGTAAATATGAGTGAAACCACTGAGGATTCTGTTTTACCAAAATAGCAAATGTTTTTCTAACTGGATAAATGAAAATCATCTAACACGGAAGAGACAGTTATTCTTGATCACGATCATTTTTTTTTCTTTTTTTTTTTCCCTTTTTTTTTCTTTAGGATCGAAACAAAAATATTTTTTCTTTTTTTTTTTTCTTTTTTTCTTTTTTCTTTTTTTTCTTTTTCTCTTTTATAAAAATTTCATTTCTTCTTTATAGGCACTTTCGTTAACGGCAATTCAAGTTCCAAGAAATAATTCAATGGTTATAGGTAAAGCAAGAAAAAGCGTGGAATTCCGATAATAAGAACGATTCGAATGGATAGTGAAATACACTGGAGATAGAAAGATAAGAAAAATAACTCTTTTATTGTAATGAACGTAATGGAGAACGTATAGATTGGTAGCCGAGCGAAAGAAACGAAGGTACAAAGCGTTAGGCATTGATCGTACGCATCTGCGAAGGAGTGTCATCGATAAGAAAGCTTGATGAATCTCGATCGTTCGTCTAGTTTCGCAATTTTCGAAAGGGATTCGTGATGTTTTACGAATTCAGACGACAAGGACGACTGGATCTCGTTTTATATACAAGTCGAAGCAATATTTCTCTCTCTCTCTCTCTCTCTCTCTCTTTCTCTTTGTTTCTTTCTTTCTCTGTCTTTTTCTTTCACCGTTACCGCCTGTGTCTCTTTCTTATGTACAGTAGGATCAAAAATATGAATTAAAAAAGATGATTAATGTTCCAAGTATTTTTCTTTTTTTTTGTTCTTTTTTTTTCTTTCGATAAAAAGTAAAAAATAAAAATTAAGTTAAATAATTAATCGAATAACAATAGGGATGAAGCGCGTCAGCGAAGAAACATGTATCTTCCTACCTGTGACGATAATCAAGATGACGCATAAAAGCGTCTTTTGTCGAAACGACATTTCTTCCTCTCTTAGTTCGATCGTCCTCGTCCGTATTTACTTTCTTATTTTTTTCTTTCTTCTTGAATAAAATCAAATTATATCTAATATTGCCGTATTGCCGTATCGTTCGTAGTCCTTCCCGAATGTCCTTTATGTATCAATGACTAACCACTGGACTAAGCACAGCTCCACGACACTGCCAAGAGATGATAAATCGAACCGGTATTGCCCTCCGCCACGCTACTGAGAAAACCCACTTCTTCGATAGGGAACAGTATTCTTCTCAGCTCATTGGTTGACCACTTTCTACGAGCGTTCGCTGAGAAATGTTGCCTTTTAAATGAGATGGGCTGCTAAATATCGTATGATTTTCAATCAACGACCATCTTCTTAATGACTTTCCTTCATTAAATTTTAATAAATATTGATAATAATAAAGTGTCTTTTAATCTTAGATATGTATATTATCATTGGGCAATGAGAGAATATCAGAGATAATTATAAATAAAAGGTTGTACTTTTATTTTTATTAACAAACAATTGTCTAAGTCCGTTCTTTGCATAATTGTATTTTTATTTGACGTGCCTTTTATAAAATGGATTTACTGGACTTGGCATAGGGCTAGCTTTTAAAACACCAACTAAAGGTTTTTTATTAGCATCAAAAGGGATAGCTGGACTTTTCCGAATTTGTTGAATATAATCAGATGTATGTTGGGCAGTGTTACGTTGTAAGACGATCTTTACGCGTTTCTTCAATCCTGAATCATTAACAGATTTATTTTGTTCTTGGATGTGTTCAGTTGATCCCTGTAAATAATAATTTATTCGATTTACTTAATACGCTATTTACTTAATAGGTCTATTATTAATAATAGTTTTATCTGTTCTTAATAGCGCTATTTTCTTAATAAGCTATTATTTAATAATTAACTTATCGCTCAAACAAAACTAATTTAGTATATTTTTTAAGAAACTTACTATAGATTTTTTTAATGTAGGCCTCAACCATTCTATCTGTTTATCGAATGTTACATCACTTGTATCGCTTGATATCGATGTATTAAATTCTCCATTACATACATTATTAATTTTACTTTCATTGTCATTAGTGGGATTCAAAGGAATGGGTGAAACATTATCCGAAACATCCCATTGTCCACACATATTATTCTTCAATTTTTTCAATTTATGTATAATTATATTTTTAGTTGTATTTTTTTCATTAATTAAAGTTGATTTCATTTTCACTACTTTTTGTTTATTTACTTTATTAGATATAACTGTATCTATGTCGTTTTTCTTATGTTTTAAAATTTCACTTTCAAGTTGATCTCGTTTTTTTTGTTTATTTTTAGAACGATCAATAATCAATGCTGATACTTTAGTCATCTTCGAATCTTTTAAACATGATGATTCTATTGTTTCATTGGATTCATGTAAACTATATTTTAAATCTTGATTAACTCTTTTCTTTTTATTTAATTCTTTATTTGATTCTAAAGTAATACCCTCGTCCGTGACATTTTCTTGTGATTCATTAATTAAATTTTCATCTAATTGTTCATTTTTCTTCCTCTTTCGTTTACTTCTGTGACTATCTGAATATAATTCCTCATCAAATTTTAATAAACGTAATGCAGCTTTTTTCGGATCCATTTTTGATCTATCTTTGTTTATAACTGCTATTTCCTTTATACCAAGAGGCATTCTACCTTCCGAAACCTCTGTAAATCTAAAAATAATAATGTTATAGAGAAGAGGATATATATTACATATTATATTGCATTATAAAATACATTGTAATACCTACTCTTCTATAAGACGCGCGATTTGTCTTCGTGACTTTGTTGTTGATAATGGATGAAACTTATATTGTTTAATTAACTCAACTATTTTTTTAGCATTAAAACTTATTTGTGGCAACTCAACGTCCACTCTACCAGCCCTTGGGTCTAAAGCTTTTTCCGTGGTCTCTGTTAATTCTTTCTTAGAAAGTATTTTTGTATCTTCATCGCTGTCTTCATCAGATTCTTCTATTTTTTGCATAACTTCAATATTGCCACATGGGAATCCAGCCTGTTAAAAAATATAAGTTTATTAAATAAGGATTATAGAATATTAAACAAATAATTGTTTAAATCTACTATTTTATTTCATTTACTTGTTTCCATGCTTCAAATTTTTCTTTATAATCTATTCCAATATTGGATTGAAAGATGAGATATCTGAAAATATGTCTCATGATGTGCTTAATTAATCTTTCTTCTTCTATTGTAGCCAAATAGGCAATAAATGGTTTAATAAGCATTGTAACAACATCTTCTGGTAAATTTCCACAGCTGACCTTTATAAAAATAGAAATAATTGTATCTTTTTTCTTTAAATATTTTATGAATTTTTTACCTTTGCAATTTCTTCCCAATACAACTCTGTTACATGCATTTTAAAACCTAAACAAAATTTTTTGTCTAATAAAAGTTGTTCTAAAATTTCCATTAGACCTTGTACCCATTCAATATTCCAGTTTTTATCATGGCATATTTTAAAAGTTTGTCGTAATATTCTTCTTACCAACTGTAATTATGTAAAATAATATATATTTTTTGCATTATTATACATTTATTATCATTATTATTATGTAACCATAAATAGGAATACATTCTATAAACTTACTTACCATTGCAAATTTATCCAATCTATATTGATCTATACCAAACCATTCTATTGCTAAAGTTTGTAAAGTACTTTTAGTATACAACATTATGTTTGACATAGAATCCAGACAATGTACAATTTTACTAAGAGATTCAGCTAACTCTTCTTGAGCTAATGGTTTATCTGACATCCACATGCAATAAAATAAACCTTTCCATAATCTCATAAAGTCTGCTTCTGTTAATTCTGAAATAAAAAAAAAAAAATTAATTAAAAGTATTATTTTATTATGGATTTAAATATATGCCTCAATGTGATTCAAAAGTATTATTCTTAAAAATAAAATGGCAAACTTATGGCAAACTTACCAAATGAACTTTTCGAACGTACTGTTAGCCATTTTTTGACGCTTTTCAGAACCTTGTCTCTTATTTTTTTATCATTGCATGCCAATAACCGTGCAAATTTAATTTCTTGTGCAATAATCAAGGCTTTCTTATCCTTCACTTTTATTTTCTTTTCTTGTTTTTGTTTCTCAATATTTTTAAATGAACCTCGTATACCTTTTTGCATTGCACGTGCATGCCGTTGAGTTTTCTTTATAGCCATTTTTTAAATAAAAAATCAACAAAACACTTTAATGGTAATTATGTTGAATCTTAAACTATTTTTAAATTAATACAATTCTTGAAAATATTATTAAAATCTTGATTTTTTTTACGATTTTTTCAATATATAAATTGCTATTCTAACCTATAAAATTCACCATTCTTACTATATACACCACAACGATAAATGTGCGTATAAAGTGGTTGCAGTACTACCAACATATATTGTATATTATATTATATTTAAGTAATAAAAAGTTGGATTAATTAATTATTTGGTGAAATATATTTCCAAATTGTTTTTTTAATTGGAACAATTTTTTAAATTAGAAAAAATTATTATATTGTAATATTTTAAAGAATTTTTTGCAAATAAATAGATTTAAATAAAAATTGTTAGATTATAATTCTGTTAATAATAAAACTTAACCAATCAGATAAATGTAATAAGACAAGTGGTTATTAATTGAATTAAAAAGTTATCTAACATACCAATCACAGTTAAGATTCGTGATTTTTTTAAATATGTTTTATTGGTCGATAGAAAGAATATGATTTTATCATTGACAATATACTTAAGGCATATATGTATTATTATATTATCAGTTAGGATCGGAAATATTGACAATATTATAGCACTGATAACATCATATTTATTCATTATGTGCATTCGTGACAATTCTCTCAATAAAATCAGGAATATTAACTCACGTGTTATAACAAGCTGTTTGAAGGTTAAAGCAGTAAGAAATTTATTAATTTAATATATTCTTAAAAATAGAAGACAATTTTTTTATTCTATTATTAAAATATATTATAGTCTTTTTTATGAAAATCCCTAAATTGTTCTATTTATGTTAAACCGTTTCAATGAAAAAAATCAAAAACTGAAAATATTTCATTACATATTGATAAGTGTATAAGAAATAGTTATATTATTAAACTGACTGATTTTTAAAAAATAATAGAATATTTTTATATTTATTGATTTATTACTTTCATACAAAAAATTTCATTTTATGTAGTACATTTTTGATATTATTAATCCATATGGTACCATAAATGAGGATTGACACATTTTATTACTTACATATAAATAATAACAATAAGTATAACAAAATATATATGATTTGATAACAAAAATATTAAAATAAATTTCTATTTTGAAGTTAAGTTATTTTTATAGTATAAATGAAATTATTAAATATAATTTGTCACATTTCTTACAAACGTTTTTCTTTCGAGTGTATTTTCCTCATACATATTTTTTACAAGTATTTTACAAATGATGGTAATCTTATTATTATTACAGTACTCCTATTTGACATCATTTGTGTAAACAAAGTGAACTATTTGATATTTTTTGAACATTAACTTCTTATAATTCCATCCCTGGTTTTACATTTTCAACTGCATTTTCAGTGGCAAGTTCATCTGCTAGTTGAAACATAAAATATTTTCTAGATATCTTTTTAGCTGTTATTTCCTTATATAAGATCCAGGCATTTATGCCAGATAAATCTAAAATGTTGAAAAATACTTGAAATGGTTATTTTTTTAATCCTGATTTGACGCTATATTACTTTATCATTTGATCTACAATTTTTTCGTTAAATTTAGTTTTATAAAATTTAACCATTTCAGATAAGCGCTTCTTAGTTTTTCCAATTCTGATAGATTTATGTTTCGAACTTAATACAAAAACTTTTTTTTTCTGCATTAATAAATTATAAGACTAATTCCATTTGATCTATAAAATAGCGATAAAAAAAGACTCATAGTATCCTTTGTTTTAGAAATTTTTAATAGTTCCCTTTTGTTTCTGCATATAGCGCTAATCACTGTGGTTCTTTTTGATAATAATTTAGATGCCAGCGATAAGCTTATAAAAAAATTGTCAATTATGTTTCTTTCCTTCATATTATACGGTTCTGTAAGTTTGAGTATGACAATTTCATTTAGAGGTTATGATGTTACTCGTGTTTCATACCTTTCTAAATAAGGAAATTCATTTACAATAATACTTAATTCGAACATCAGATGCCAACCAAAATTTAATATCAAATTTGTCGGGTTTATACGGTAAATATTGAGTAAATCTTGATCTGGCTTTAGATGGAAAGAATTGTTTGTCAATTATAATATTTGCTCTTGATTTATAATAATTCTGACTATTTTTAATAAACCTATTTCATATAGCTAATATAAATTTATCACTTTGTAAACATTGATTTCTATCACTTTTTTTTTATCAGAGCGAATAAATTTCTATATTTTTCTATATATTTCTGTCCCATAAATATGAAAATTTTCAATTTTTTCGTATGCTCCTCGTGCAAGAATGAAAGCTTTTAATTTTGTTTTTATTAAGGTTCATTTTTCAAAAAGCTTCAAATTCCACGCAAGATATGTTTAAGTATATGGTCGTCAATTATTATAATTAAAATGCACTATTTACTTTACTTATCATAATATTTTTGTTGCCATATTTTGTAGGACCAGATATGTTTCTGAAAATATTATGAAGTGGTTATCTTTCAGGAGTAGATTCTTCTTGTATTTTTTCCCAACTGGTCTTATCTGCGACAATTTCATTTTGATGATCTTGTAGTTTCATTTTCATCTTCAGAACTTGAAAGCACCGATTCACATCTTCTTTTATGTAAATACAAAATATTTTCAAATTCATTTTCTAAAGACTACATACATTTTCTTCGTCTATAATCTAATTATTACTTTTCTCACTATCAAAAAGTCTATCGTGAATATACCATTGTCCAATTTCATTTTCTTTTGGTTCACTTTGAGTTATAGAATTCATTATCCTCGATATCAGAGTATTCCATTGATATATTGTTAAGTTATTGCTATAATTCTGAGGTTTTCAATCATTTTGCTATTTTCAAAACTTATGAAATATTATTGTATAAAACAACAGTGGTCTTAATCCAATGGTTGTAGTATACATAGAGTGACCACGTGCAATGGCAAGCTCAATTGCTCCATCTGGTGGCTGTATTTATGACTATGTATGATGACTATGTGGCGCGAAATATGGTATGCGATAAATTTTAATAGTAAAATATTCATAACAAAAATTTCAATTCACATTCTACGTCTCCAGATCTAAATGAACGAGTAAAGATATTTTTGAATGTATCCATTATTTTTGCATTAGCATCATAATCAATCTAGAATTTTCCTGATCACCATTATATTGAATGATACACATTAAAAATTCTAAAAATGAGAAAATTGATTAATTCGAGTTCGTTAAACAGATTGTAAGACTCCTTGTAAGACGTTTTGACGAATACCAGTCATTTTGATTGGTGTGGTAGTTATAACGTTAATATTATATAATATAAATATTTTTTATACACTTATTTTAATAAATGACAATAATGTATTAATAATGTAATATAATCAATGAAAGTAATTAAATGTTCGTGAATATTTAGCATAAACGATGATATATTACATATTTATTAATCAATAATCATTGTAGACTATTAGTACTTATTAATGACTATTATCAAATTTATTGTCATTTTTATATTCCTTTTTATATGCATTTCAATAATAAAATGTCAATTATATTTGATAATCTTATTATCTTTATTTTTTTTTATTATTATACTAATAGGTAATGTAATATGTAACATATTCTTATAAAGAAATATAATTTTATAGAATTTAATTTTTATTTTTAATTTTATATTATATGAATATCACTTTACTATTTTTATTAAACTTCTTTACTATTACTTATTTATTATTAACGAATTATCTCCAAGATTGTTTTCTTATTTAATATATTTGTTGATCATAAAAAAACATTTGTAAATGAGTGGAAGTTATAATTTTATTTATATGTTGTATTCTATTTTTATGTATGTCTACAATAATTGTATAATTCAATTTTATATTTAACCGCCTGCGCATAACACTTTGCGCATAATGGGCAAAGTAAATTCTTTTATTTCACTGTATCGATGATGAAGTCTTCTTTTCACTTATGAGGGCTAACAATATAGTAGTATTATATATATCATAGATGGACAACTTCTCCACCGCGGGTCGCACAATCCCCACCATCAATGAATTCGTTCCCCACCACTTAAGTTCACTTATCATCATTCCATTACTCTATGCTTAAAAACAAAAGCCGTGGAACTCATGAGATATGGCGGTGTCAAATAGTGGGGGCCATCTTCTCCCACCTTACCAAAGCAAATGAGTAAGAACAAGGGCCATATGCGGCTTGCAGGCCGGCGGTTGCTTATGTATAATATATATATGATTAAGCTCGATCAAGCTCGATCAAGCTCGATTAATATTAATCAATGATTAATTCGATTTACAGTGTAGCAAACAGTAAAACTTTTTACTGTATGTCATTCTTAACCTATATTTTCGTTCTTAACCTTAACATCAATAACCGTTTAAAGATTTTATATATATTATGGAACAAATAAAATATTAATTAAAATAAATTAAGAGAATATGTGTATATATATATATATTTGCATTTTCATACTATGTATATAATTTTTAAATAATTATTTATATCACGAAAATATAGGTTAAAAACAATATATAGTTAAAAGTTTTACTGTTTGCTACACTGCTGATCGAGTCAATCGTTGATTAAAGTTAATCCAGCTTGGTCAAAGTGTAAATAAGTTTTTATTTTATTTTATGAAAGGTAAATTATTTAAATAAAACTTATTGTTTTTTCAATTTTAATTGTTCTTTCAGAAATGCCATTCTAACAGTCCATCCATGCTTTAAAATATTCACAATATACGTGGATGAAAGGTAATTTTTTGACAGGAAATTGTCATTTGCAAAAATTTTTCAACTGATCAGTTAATATAAATCATCTACTAACATGCCAAATATAATAAATGATATAAAATTAGACTTTAAAGATGTTCTGTTACGACCAAAAAGGAGTACATTAAAAAGCAGATCAGATGTAAGTTTGAAATTGCATTAAAAATATTTCTATAGTACAATATAGTTGTATATTATTATAAGACTTTTACTATTTCTTTTATATTAGTAGTATTATTCATAAAAAATCTAAAGATATTACAGAATGATGGAAAAGACATTAATATAGTAGGATATAGTTTATCTTATTTAGATCTGCAGATTTTTAGTTTCTATATGTTATATTTTTTTTTCTTTTTGCAGTAAATATATTTTAACATTTATATTTCAGGTTGATCTTTATAGAGAAATTACATTTCGTAATTCGAAGCAAACTTATAGAGGCATACCTGTAATGGCTTCAAATATGGATACAGTAGGAACATTTGAGATGGCAAGAGCCTTATCTAAGGTTTAATTAATTTATTTTATATATAAAATATTATTATAGCGTTAGATTTTAATGTTGGCTATTCTCTAAATTCAGAATCAAACAAAGTATTCTTCTTATAAAGGAGAATCATAGACATAAAAGATTCCAATATTATTAGTTTCATATGATCACAAAGATATATAATCATATAGTTATTTTTTATATTAACGTTTCAGAACTAATAAAATATAAGAAAACAGAAAATATTACTGAAAGAAATTGAAGCAAGTTCTATTTACTTGTATTATTCAAAATGGATTTTATACACTCTTAGGAAAGTCCAATTAAAGTTACACTATGTGTGAAAGTTATTAAAAGTTATTAACACATTTATGAAGCTTTGAAAAGTAGTTAGTATGTTAGTATGTAATTTATAAATTAAAAAATTGTAAATTTATTTTATAAATTATCATAATCGCAATATTTAATTTTATAAAATTATATCCAACATTAATCACAAAACAACTGATTATATTTAATTACAATTTAACGTCTATTAATTAATGTTAATTTTTTTTTTTTTGTATTTGTAGCATGGGCTTTTTACCACTATTCATAAATATTATACAGCAGATGAATGGAAAGATTTTGCTGCAGAAAACCCTGAATGTTTAAAAAATGTTGCTGCTAGTTCTGGTACAGGGAATGAAGATTTTGGAAGACTTTCAAGTATAATAGCTGCTGTACCACAACTTTCATTTATATGTTTAGATGTTGCTAATGGATATTCACAACATTTTGTTGAGTATGTGAGAAAAGTGCGATCTGAATATCCAAACCATACTATAATTGTAAGTATTCAATAAAATACATAAAAGATTAACTTTAATTAATAAGTTGCTAATTTGTAATTAGAAGCAAATATATTAGAATATATGTGAAAATGTATTTAAATAATTCTATTACAGGCAGGGAATGTTGTAACAGGAGAAATGGTGGAAGAATTAATACTTTCGGGAGCTGATGTTATTAAAGTAGGAATAGGTCCAGGTTCTGTGTGTACTACAAGAATGAAAACAGGTGTTGGATATCCTCAGTTAAGTGCTGTGATTGAATGTGCGGATGCTGCACATGGTTTAAAAGGACATATAATCTCTGTAAGTAAATGACATTAGTTGAGTATATACAAGCTAATGTTGATATGGATGGTTATTAAATTATACAATTCAATAGACAATAAGAAATTTTTATTATATTTTAGGATGGAGGTTGTACTTGTCCAGGTGATTTAGCAAAAGCTTTTGGCGCTGGTGCCGATTTTGTCATGGCTGGTGGTATGTTTGCTGGTCATGATGAATGTGAAGGTGAAATCATAAACAAAAATGGAAAAAAATATAAATTATTTTATGGTATGGCTTCTAGTACAGCTATGAAAAAACATGCTGGTGGTGTTGCTGAATATAGGTACAAATAATTACAATTTTTTAATTTTAATATATATATATATATATATATATATATATATATATATATATATATAAATAATATAATACTTTTTTAATTGTATATTTATTAACGCTTTTAGGTCCTCGGAAGGAAAGACTGTGGAAGTACCCTATAAGGGTTTAGTAGAAAATACAGTTTTAGATATGTTAGGAGGTTTGCGGTCTGCATGCGCGTATACAGGTGCAGAAAGATTACGTGAATTACCGAGACGTGCTACGTTCATTCGCTGTACGCAACAATTAAATCCTATGTATGGTCCACCATGAGAAATGTAAAAATATTTCTTAAAGAATGTGTTGTAGTATAATTATAGGCAAGAAGGCTTTTTGATTATTAATTTTTGCAATTACCATGCATTATCTTTTTGCTGGCAAATAATTTATACATAATATATATATATATAAACTTTAATTTAAGTATTATATTATGAGCCTTTTATTAAACTTATATTGTTTATTATGCTTAAATGAATCAGATAATAACATGTCTATGCACAAATAAACATTTTTTTGCATGTATAATTTTTTTCAGAATACTTAATTTTCCTACCCATTTACAAATTTGATTTAGAATGATTATATGAATATTTATATTAAGTCAATATTAGAAATAACTTTCAATTTTTAAATATCTTACGATACATATCTATTTTACATGGGTATTGTACATCAAGTATGGGAATTGTATACTAAAATATTTTGTTAAACATAAATATCTTTATTAAACATTTATATATCTACATATAAACAGAAATAATCATAAGCAATTAAAAAATCTACTGCTGTATAAATATACAAACCTTCACTTTAATAGCTGCTTCAAGATATTGGAGACAATATATATTTACAAAGTAATTAATACATGCACATCTACTACGTGTTGCTTCTTATCAGGGATACTGGATAAATTTGTAGAGACCTTGTCCCTGAAACACTTTCATTAATTTGAATTGAGTAATACACTATAAAATAATTACATAAGAAATAGTAATTAGCATGATCTATAAAGAGAAGCATCAGATGATAATATAATATATGCTTAATGAAATGCAACATACAATTGCAAAAATTGGGAATTTATATAAATTGGTATCATAATAAAGATATTAATTGTAAAAGAAATAAATAATTTTCGATTAAGTTTAAAGTTATAACTTTTTTACAAATTGCAATTAAATTAGAGCTTTTGTGTAATAAGTTTTACAATAACATATTTTATTATGGTTTGAGCAAAACATATCTAAAATATACCTTTTTGTTTTTTAAAAGTACAAAAGTAATTGATATAAATATTGTTAATATTATAAATCAACATGTAAAATGAAAAATAACATGCAGTATGTATTATAAGGAGAATAACAATTTCATGGTAATAAATGGAACTACTTAAAAATTAAAAATATAAGTGAAATATTATTAATTTAAATAGATATTACATATAAAATACAGCTTACATTTATGTAATTCATTTTAATTTTCAAGTTTACTGATTTACAAACATATTAAAAGAGTTATATTGAAATTTTAATTATTCTGTTACATTAAATTTTTCAAGTAGAGATCTCTTGATAAAAGGAAATATAGATTACTCTAAATAAAATATTAGAGTTTGATTTTTCATTTTCTTTATGATAATGATTAAGAATTGTTTGTGCAAGTTATATAAATTTTATTTATATAACTTACAATATTTTTAATTAATTGCAAATTAATATAAGATAATTCTGTAATTGATGGTAAATTTCAATAGTTTCAGTATAAAAAAAAAATAAACATACAAATTACACATTTAAACCATTATTATAACATATAATAAATCAATTATTGATAATAATTATATAATTAAATATTGCATGATATCAAAATGCATTCCTCACAGGAAATGATAAATGAATTTAAAACCTGATACTAAGCTTACCAATAAATGAATTATAAATTTAAAAATAATAAAATTTGCATTGACAAATATTTTAAGTATATAAAATTGCAAATACCTAATGGAAATTAAATCTTATTGCTAGGCGATTCATAATCAATTATAAAGTAACATAATAAAAAACAAGAATCTTTCAGAATATTTTAAACACTACACATTTGAAGATATTGGTTTATCATCTATTTTGTATATATCATCCACTAATCTCCAATTGTTTTGCAGGTCCTGTTTTCATTAAAGTTCAACATATAAGATTATGCTGGTAAGAGATTTTATGTCATGGATCCCAATGTTGTTGTTTACCCTGCAATGAGCAAGCATCTCTCTAATTGCCTGTTCAGCTCCAAAAAATCTAAAAATAGTTGTGGTGTTTGACGAGAAAGAGCAGAGAAATAAAGGTAATGTTGTATTTAGCATTGTTATAATAGCATATGTATATAGAGCATCATATATATCATAGTTCTTTGAATACATATTATCAATAAATGATGAGTAATAAAAATAAAGTTTAGCTGTCTCTTTACAACCTTGTTATTGTATAGAGGTTTGTAAATTTGATGAAAGAAATATTCTATGAATGAATCTGCGAGACATAAATAATGATCTATTGTGGTAGATACTTAAATATTTTGTAGTAACGCATTCGAAAGTATAATTTTCAACAATTTTAATGAAACATGGGTGCAGTAATATGGTTAATGTTGGCGATCCCCCGTTCCTCTTTCAGACCTGCTGCTGCACCTGCTAGTTTTAACTTATATTACAGTTATATGTTATGAAGTAAGTGTACATACAGTAGCGTAATTAAAACACAGATGTGGACATCATATTGATATTACATTATACTATTAACTTCAATATTCAATAACTAATGTTTCTTATATCTTACATCTAAAATGATGCATATCCTACAATATATATATATATATATGTATACATGTGTTTATGTATGTATATAAAAAAACCATAAATTGTAATATAGTATTAATAGAATATAATTGTATCTAACGGTGCTTTTAGATAATAATGATTTTATAAAGCGAGCAATTGCAGTAATTTTTTTATAAACATATGAAGGTACAGCAGGCATTAACCACATCCCGATGGAAAGCTATTTGAAAACTATCTGAAATAAACAAATAATTATAATAAAAGAGATGACCCTATTATAAAGGGAAATAGAAATTCAAAGGTGTAAAATATTTAGTTGTCAATATTATTGAGCACACATTGTATGGAGTTAAGATACTATAGTATATTTTGTATAGACGTACGTGTGTATATATATATATATGTATATATATGCCCCTGAAAGTATCAATAACATTGATTGTGTATATAATGTATCTTCCTTTTTTTCTTACACCATTGATTTTAATTCATTTTAAATAATACATCAATAAATATTAAATTAATATAAGTCAAAGTGATTAGAAGTAGTGCTATAAATATAATTTTGATTTATTTATAGAATAAAATAAGTATTTATAATAACTTGAAAATTTAGATTTTTTTTTCTTTTTATATAAAAAATATACAATAACTTAAATTTTTTAAACCATATTTATACACTGTATTTATTTTATATATTCCAATATTAAATATTTTATATTTTAAAATACAATTACATTTTTTTACAGCACTTTATTTCACAATGACTTAAAAACGTAACAATTAAAACTATATCCAAGGAAAGTTGTATGATATTTTAATTAAAATTAAATTACTTTCGAAAAATTGCCGGTTATTATTTTTTATAAAGCGATAATACTATAATTTACAATAACAATGTTATTACGTTATTATTATTATTGCTATAAAATGTAAAATATAATAATTGAATATTTATAAACCACTTTTTATATAATTGATGTATTTTATACGCACGAGAAGATCTTACAACTTTCCACTTTGAAAATGTTTGTAAAAATAAAAAATATTTACTTACAGCTTATATTTTCCTCTGGAAGTTTAATTATCAGAACTGGACTGCGAGTAAGGATAGTTTTGATAATTAGCAGGAAAAGTTGGATTTTGTTGTCCCGATTGTGGTTGACTTGTAGACCCTGCACCTGCTGCATAATAACCAGTCGGAGCTGAGCCTGCATTCATTCCTGGATAACTACCATAAGCTTGTGGAAATGTGTTTGGTGTACTACCAGGTGGTCCAGCCGATTGATTCTGCATAGCTGGTTGCATTTGAGGTTGTGTCATTTGATTCCCTTGTATTCCCAACTATAATAATAAAAATGAATTTATATGTAAATCACATTTCTATGCTTAATACCTAATATATTCAATAATAAGCACATAAGATATAGAAAGTTCAAATTGTAGATAGACACATATACGAATATTTTCGAGTATTACATACCTTGCCTGCTTTCATTTGTGCTTCTATTGCTTCAGCTTCTTTTATTTTACCGATACTTCTATAATATTCAGCCCATTGAGCACTATAATCAGCTTGACCTCCATTTTGAGAAGCACCCGTTTGCTGCTGTTGTGTTTGTTGTTGTTGTTGACCAGGCGTAGAAGCTGTTGCCGTTGCAGGATTCGATTGATTTTGCGAACTTCCTAAAATACAAAATATTATTAAATTTCTTTTGTCATTAACGATGACTTTGTAAATTTAATAAAAAAATTTACCTGCTTGTTGATTATGATCTTGTTTTCCTTGCTTTGCTTGTTGTTCTATCATATCTGCTTCTCTATGCATACCAAGAGACCGATAATATTCTGCCCATTGTGCGCTATAATCGGGCTGACCTGTTTGTGGATTAACTTGAACAGGTGCTTGACTAGCATTACCTATTAAAATAATGATTTGGTAGATTACAAAATATTCTTTTCTGTTTCATTGATATCTTACCTGCATCACTAGATTGAGGTTGACTGGGCCATGCTTGATATCCTGTTCCAGCATTCCAACTGGGGTTATAACCAATTGCTCCTTGTGCACCTGTGAAAGAAGTACCAGTTGGTCCCTATAATTAAAAGAAAAATATTTAACTTCTTTATTTCCAAAATACTTTTTATTTTCATTTGAAAGAGTATAAAAAATAGTATTCATACCATTCCTAATTTTTCACTAAATATCCTTTTAGCATGCTCTACTTGTTCAGGATTGCCACGAATTATAAAAATTTTTTCACTTTCATTACTTTGATTCCGCCTATCTAATTCACAATGAGCCCCTGTCTGTTGATTTATCTGCTTAATGGTTTCACCACCTAATAAAAGTTATTTAAAATCAATTTAAATAGAATATCATTTAAATGATCAATTTAAATAGAATCTATTACGACTGTATTTAATTTACCTTTTCCAATTATAATGCCACATTTTGAAGAAGGTACAGTAAACGTGGTTTCTATTTTATCCTGCATAGGACCACCTTGACGTCTGTCCCAAGTACCATATTCAGTTGGATTTCTACCGGTTCCAAATCCATTTCCCCTTGGGCCACTTCTGGTACCCATATTACTTCTCCCATCATCTCTTCTCTGCAGTAATATAAGTTAAATATAAACATTATAAATAAAAGTACAATATATACAAATTATATGAAATTTACCATTACACTATCTATAAGTTCTTGGATACGCTGACGCGCTTGTTCTACAGCTTGGTGTTTCCCAGATAAGAGACATTTTCTATCTCCTGGGCCATCCTCTCTACCTTGCTGAAATTGAACTCGTGCTCCCGTTTCTGCTTGAATCTTTTTTATCATATCGCCTCCTTTGCCAATAACGACGCCTACCGCAGCTCTCGGAACTAATACCTAAATCAGTAAATAATTGTATAGCAATTTATATTTTATTAATTAATGATACTTCCATTTTTTAATCAAACAAAAAAAATAACCAATAAATAAATTCAAGAATTATTTAATTTCTGTATAGAAAGGATTATTATACCTCAACTCCATCATTACTAGTAGAGGCATGACTAAAATTACTATCACTAGTATAATTTCCTCCCCTGTCGCCACCTCTTGCACCTCTGTGAAACATTTGCATTTCCTTTTCGGCTATAAGCTCATAGACTAATTGCTTGGCATATTCTACTTTCTGGGGATCCCCAGTTATTCTGTTAGAATTAATAACATACAATATTCAATTCTTCTTATAGAAATAATGATAATGCATCAATGTGAAACTGATTTTAATATTAACATTACCTTAGAGGTTTTTCTTGTTCTTGTGAAGGCCCTTCTTGAATAACAACCATTTTTGCTCCTGATTTTTCTTGCAGTTGTTTTATTGTTTCTCCTCCTTTTCCAATTATCAATCCAACTTTTGGACCCGGAATCATAATTTCTACAAAACCGGGATGTCCTATCATTCCTCCACTACTCCCACTCATATTTATATCTCCAATTCCTTCTGTTCTACTTCTTTGGTTCACAATTGAAAGCACCAATTCTTTCGCTCGACTGAAACAAATGTAAGTTAAAAGTGCAATACAATCGCGGATTCTTTCTTATATCGAAATTCTCTAATACTATACAGCAATATAATTTGTTTGCAACACATAAAATGTCTACTATGTGATGAAATATGATAAACCATAATTGGTTTTGCTTTCATTTTCAGGTTTATGTTTAAACTTTTCATAGAAATGTACAATAAAATCAAACTTCAGATATAAATATTATAACCACAGATATAAGCAGTTTTTTAAATAAATAAAAATTCAATTTTCTTCCAGTTGCGAACAACACGTCCCCATGCATATCCTATCCTCCTTCCTTCCTTCTCTCCATACCCTATTGAAAGCAAAAAACTATTAGTAAATACAAAAGCATTAAACCAAAATCCACAACTCATGGATCACTTTCTATGACTGAAATTCTGATGCATGTGCAAAGTCGAATCTGTGCCCATTATTCACATCCTGGAGCTATATAATGGTTCTGTAAAACACTTGGTAACTTTAATATGCAAAAGCGTAAGTTGTACAATTATAAAATGCATGTCAGCATGAAGTGATAGCATACCATAGTAAAATAAATACATACAAACTATATATCATCAGATTAAATTATGCTTAGAGCACATGTTCTAGTACAATCAGTATAAAACCTTGAAATTTTCTAATATTATGGTTATATTAAGAATTTGTTTTCCATAAATATTTTATAAAAGTAGGTGATAATTTCAGGTATATTTAGGAAGTTGCATAAAAAGGGGGATAGGTGAAACATTCCTAGTTTAATCATAGAATTATATGATTTCAACTTGAATATAAAAATTCAGGAGGATAGCAGATTTGCTTGGCTTCATTATAAATATCTTAAAATTTCTTTCACCAGCTGTAATTATGCTGCAGGAGCATTTTCTTTTCTTTTCCTTTTTTCTTTTTTTTTTAAATGTGTTATATGTGCAATATATAGCATTTAACTACACTAAAGGTTTGTAAATGTAACTCAATATGATTAATGGTGATAGACCCTTTTCCGTTGTGTCAAGATATAATAACAAAATGGGATTGCATTGCATACAAAATAGATGAAAAATAATGAAATAAGAAGGGAAAAACAAGTTACTTGACAGCTTCTCGTGAACCAGTTAGTGTGCAAACTCGTTCAGGTAGTCCACCTTCTGGAGCCATTTGTATTTTACATCCTGTCTCACTTTGTAATCTGGTTATTTGCTCTCCACCTCTGCCAATTACTGTAAAAATAGTACTATGAATTATGGATTTAACTTAAGGGTAATATGTGAAAAAGCAAAGTGATTAAACATGTTACAAATACATTCATTTCTTTAAAAAATAGTGATCTCCTTCAAATAATTATCATATTGATATGTTACTTACTTAAACCAACCATTTTATCTGGAACTCTGATATCTTCATTGCAAATACCTCCCATACCACCTATTGGAGTAGATGAAGATGTTTGTGATCCTACTTTAGTTGTTGCTTGATTAGATCCTTCCCCAATGGAACTATTACTTGTAGGTCCACCACGAAGTCCTATTAATGGATCTGCTACTAATGCTGCCATTTTCTTTGCTTCAGGTTCTGTTTTATACATTTTATTATAACAAATGTATATATATTAAAACAAAAAATTAATCATATGTCCTATAATCATTGTATGATTTTTCAATAATAATAATATTAATTTTCAATTGTTTAAAAATGTTGTTAGAAAATACCAAAATTGGACATTACCTGTACTATCTTCAAGAGGACGTTTTAACTTAGAATCTTGAATATTTTGCAGACTAACAGGATTAATTTTTGCTGCTATCTATAAAGAAAAATTATAAAAAAATAACTTTTAAAAATTCATCTTTATTTTTCTCTTATTTAAAAACAAAATGTACGACTCAATACAAATGAACTTTAGGATAAAGCAGGTAGTATCAATTATATATATTTCAACATGGAAGAAAAATATATATAACGATATTTGTAATAATATTGATATACTTACATTAGTAATGATCAGAGTAATTAATATAACATTTACGAGAATATAATAGAATTTTTTTAATATAATAAACATACATAGATGTAACGTTGGAATGTTTGGTGAAATATTAAATTTTCCAAATTCAATAAAATTAATTATATATATATGATAGATTAAAATAATATTAAAATTAATATTTACCTGCTTTGCTCGTTGCAAAGCTGCCGCAAATGCGGAGCTTTGGCTGAAATTTTGAGGCGGAGCGACCGCTGAATAATCACTCATTGTGAAACATGAAGTTGTCGAACGTTATACTAAAATAAATAATTTCTACGAGTGAATTGTCTCTAACAAAATTGAGCAATTCACTCCCTTAACATTTAGTTTTATATATAAATTGAACTATTACAAATATTTGACTAAAATTCTTTTCACGGTATACAATGCTACAAAACGAAGGTTTAAGGGTGAAAGAACTGTACTTTTTCGGGAAACGACAGAGCGCAAGCGTCAGTCATTAAACAGATAAAAATATATAGATGGTAATACGCTTTTGTAAATTGTGAGAGAAAATTATAATGAAAACGAGTCATTATACATATGTACGAATGAAAAATTAATATTTTTCAAATTATTTGAAACTATTTAATTTTGTCATTAATCATAAAATTTAATCTCTTTCTTTTCTAAACGTACATTCGATAATATTCTTCTGATATTTAAATTAAATTATTGGTGATCTATTGAATTTACAAAGATACATTTTTATCTCACTTTGAATTTCTTAAATTTCTTAATTGTATTTACATGTTGCACATATTATATATTTATTTTAAATAAATTATTGGAATGGATTAGTTTCATATTTTCGAAATTAACTTTAGGACCATGCACAACTATATGTATTTTCTAGATCTTAGAAAAAAGTTTTCTCTTTTTCGTAATATTGATGTCCGAAGTGATTGGCTTACTACAACCCATTTTTAAATTAAAGAATTTTGTCCCTCTAATGTTAATTTCTTAAACTTTTTATTCGCCATTATAATTTGAATATCATATCATTATTCATTTTATGAACTTACTACACTTATTTTATTTATTTTACATCATGTTTAACGTTAAGATGTTTTAACTAAAATTAGATGTCATTTTAAATAACACCTTAGTAATAATATTTGATCAACTGATTGAAATTTGGAAAAACAAACATTTTTACATTTCGCGAAAGTGTTTTATAAAATTTCAATAGAATCAGTTTAGATATTTCATTAATTTTAGCTTCTAAAGAAAATTAAGTATTAAATCATAAAATAAAAAAATTATATTTTAAAAATAATATCAATTTGTTTAAAATTATAAATAAAATATTTTACAAAAGTATACTGTACAATTTAGACAGTATTAATTTGATCATTACATTAAAATTTTTACATAAAAGTGTTTATAGTCAAATAGGCGCCATATTCAAGATTTGTAAACAATCGATTTGAAATTTTAAACAGCACTTTGCGTATAGTATACCATCTATAGACGTAACATTTTGTAAACATATATACGGATACATACATATACATTAGAAAATGTTATGATTCGTGCAGAACTACAAATAAACTTGAACAATTATATTTTTATCAAAATGTATAACGATAGAATGTTTTTCGTTATGATAATCGCATAAAATATTTCTCCGATCATATCTATAAAATAAATGGTTAATTTTTATTAGGTTAGAATTTGTATATTATCATGTGATGCTGTGCTCCGTTACTATTTGTAATTGGTTGAATTGATCTTTATTTGTATAATTTTTATCTCATGGAATGTTGCGCAATATTGCCATATCACAGAATGGTTCTTTAAAGTTATTATTGATTTTGAATTTATTGATAGTTATTATTTAAAATCACAGTAATTGTGATTCATGCATTTTTAAATAATGTGTTGAATATTGATTTTTATATATATTTTATAATTTTTGTTGTGATTTTATCAAACTATAATGAGTACATTCCAGTTACAACCTTGTATAGATCTTAATCTTTCAAGGAAAGAGTTGCAAGATCTTATAGATAAAGCCAAAGATTGGGCAATAATGCACGGTATGTATTCTTAGAAAAAAAAATAATTACAATACTTATTATTACAAGATTTTTGAATATTTCAGGTATTAACATGAGATCAAAGGAAAATTTTAATAAAAGTCAAGTACAAATTGCACCTTTTGCTCTATTACCTTCAAGCTTTCCAAAGAAGTGCTTTGAAAGAGCAAAAAATATACAAGTATTATTAAATGAAATTATGCATAAAGTAGCACATGATGATAATTTTATTAGACATACTTTAAAAGGGTAAGTGATATTATAATTGTATAAAGCTTTGAGTTTATATTTGCCAATTCATTATTTACTAAAAATACATGTGTGTGTGTGTGTGTGTACATATATATATATATATGTACATGTGTTGTATATATATATACATACATATATATGTTTCAGAACAATTGAAGTTGATGATTTTACTGCACGGTTATTCAATATATATGAAACAGTTTATAAGGAAGGATTTGCACAAGTAAAAAAAATTATATATAGTGTTTATTAAATAGTATAACGATTTTTCAAATATAAAATATTTTTCTTGTATTTTATTAACAATTATTAATGATTTCTTTTTGCAGGATATTAGTCTTGGATTGTTTAGATCTGATTATTTATTACATAATGGTATTGATAAAGAGATTAAACAAGTGGAATTAAATACAATTGCGTCTAGCTTTGCTGGTTTGTCCACGATTATTACGGAATATCATAGGTATTTTATGTCATTATAGAATATTTTTATATTTTATAAAAAATAGATATTTATATAACTTGTTTTATTTATTTATTTTTTTAGATATATTTTAATGGAATTAGGATATGCAGATAAATTAGAATTTGTAAGTGTGTCTTCTTTAAAAGAAAATTATAATAATAATTATATCATAGATCATATTATGGTTAATTATGTATTATTAATTTAATTATTTTGTTTTGGTTTAAAGCTACCATTGAATAATCCTGTTATTGGACTTTGTAAAGGATTAACTCAAGCATGGTCATTATACAATGACAATAGGTAAGTGTATATCCTGTTTTTTTTATATGATATTTATAATTGTTGTATATAAACAATAATATTAATAAATGTATATTATCGGTTAATTTCAGGGCTGTGATATTGATTGTTGTTGAAGATATTACCTATAATATAAGTGATCAAAGATTTCATGAATTTGAAATACGGAAGCTAAATCCTGCTATTAAGGTTATCAGAAGAAGTTTAAACACTCTGGTACTTGATGCACAATTAGGATCTAATAAAGAATTAATTGTGTGAGTATATATTTATTTTACTATTTAATCAATTTTAATTTACATATTAAAGACAAATATCAATTTCGTACAAATTAATATTTAAAAATATTTTTAGAGATAATCTAGTAGTTGCTGTAGTATACTTTAGATCTGGTTACGAACTTCAGGCATATCCTACTGAGAAGGAATGGGCTGTACGTTTACTTATAGAACGCTCTAAAGCTATAAAATGTCCCTCAATACAATATCATTTAGTAGGAACTAAAAAAGTGTGTTAAATTTTTAATTAAAAGTTTTATTGTGGTTATATATTTTTAGTATTGAATTTTAAAAAAATTCTTTTTTTAATTTTTACAGATTCAACAAGCTTTAGTTGAACCAAATGTATTAAAAATGTTTATAAAGGAACCTTCTTCTGTGGCAAAACTTCAAGAAATATTCACTGGTTTATATTCATTGGACTTTGTAAGTATGTGTATTATATGTATATACAATAATAATTGTATTATTATATGTAATCGCATAATACTTATAACTTTTTTATTTTTAAAAATATAAATTATATGTTAACATAACAGAATGTAGAAGCAGAGGAAATCATAACAAAAGCTATACAGGAACCTGAAAAGTATGTTCTTAAGCCACAACGTGAAGGTGGTGGTAACAATCTATACAATGAAAACGTCAAAACATATTTAACAAAAATGAGAAATTCAAAGGAGCGCACTGCATGGATTCTTATGGACCGTATTAATCCTCCTTCACAAAAGAATTATCTTATCAGTCCAAATGATATAAACTATCAGTTATCTGATGTTATATCAGAGCTCGGTATATATGGAGTAATTATAGGGTAAGTTTATGTAATATTTATTTATTAGTTTTCTTTTTGTTATTGATGTAATGCATTGATTAATATTACTTTTTATTTATATATTTTTAGAAATCATACAGATATATTATATAATGAAGAAACTGGTCATATTCTAAGAACTAAGATGTCAACTGAAAATGAAGGAGGCATTATTGCAGGTGTTGGAGTTTTAGATAGTCCTTATTTAGTAACATAATATAAAAGCAATAATTATAGATATCATTGAGTTATAAATGTTACAGAAAAGAATTTTTTAGTTTTATTAATTAATTTAGTCATAAATGTTTGCTAAATGCATATACAAAATATTTCTATTTGTTTAAGAAAATCCATATAATATATATACGTAAATAATATATGAAATTAAATAAAAGAGATATGTTTATAATTTATGAAATTAAATAAAAAAATATATTGTTTAAGCAGGTGTTGGGTGTTAAGAAGAATGATAAAAAGATATATATATATATATTTAGATTTTATTTACTTTTGATCTTATTAGTTTATATATATTTTATGTAATAATAATCAATAAATTTAATTTGAATTAATGTGAAATGACGAGATATTAACATTTGTCGTTTTCTGGTAAAAATTACTGTTAGACGTTAGCAGATTTAAGAAAATTTCTTGACTTTAATAATAAGTATATTTTATATCTATATATTTACATATTGAATGTCATGTGGAGCATTATTGAAAATTGATTAAAATAAGTATTTTTTTTACCTAAATTTTTTATTTAAACAATATTAAATATCGTAGAAAGTATAGGCTGAATAAAAAAATTTTACAAAGATTTTAGATTTCCATTAAAAAAAAATTAAGTTGATCTTGAGACTTTAAGACATTCATCGAATAAGAAATAAATAATGCTGTTATGTTTACCTTCTTAAACCAAACAATTTTTGATTCAAACTTTTTTTTCACAAATGCGTTATTTTTGAAATATTTAGGTGTCAATTTAATAATAAATATTCTATATATTATTGAATATAATAATCCATATATGTATATATATAAATAAATTAGGAATCATGAAAATATGAACATTATTATACATATATATAATATAAATAAATAAATATATATATATATATATATATATATATATATATATATATATATAATTTAATTTAATTGAATATTATTTAACATTTAATAAGTTACTTTTCGTATATGATAGAAAAAGAGATACTTTATAATCTGATTATTCATTTGACAACTTATATTATTAATGTTTAAATATTGTTTCATTCATAGATATTCATTTCAAAAATAATTCTTAATAAATTTTTCTTGGCAAGTAAGGAATTACAAGATAAGAATGACTGTACGATTGCATTTTTTAAATACATTTTATCTGTTATATCGGTGACACTTACATAATTTCTTAGATAACAGAAATGAGACATGGTATGAGTTGTGACCTTTTTTTACATAGATATCTTTTACTGTAAACGTATAAATATTTCGTCGGAGGAAAAAATAGTTATTTTATCAGAGATATTCTCACTCAAGTTATATTTATTTTTTTAACGTTTTCTTATGATTCATAATTTAAATGAATAATTTAGATAAATAAATTCTTCATGCGTGAAAAAAAATTTAATATTGTATTTGTGTGATAATTAAAAGAAAGCGTTAAAAAATATTGGTATGATAGAAGAGAAAAATTTACAGAGAAAAAATAAAGAAAGATTAAAATAAGAAAAATATTTTTGTTTTGGGAAATCAACTTTGCATCTCTCTGTTGCAAGATACAATAAGATTAATTGTGAGATATATAAAAATGGAAATTTTATCAAATGAAAAGTAAACGCACGTACCATTCTGTTTTAATTAAAATTTAATTAAATATTAGACATAGTGATCAGAGGCGTAACTTTTTTTTGATACGTCACTGATTAATCAAGTTTCTTAAAAGTGATATTAGGAGGCGCTTCGATCAATTCAGATTTTTTTTCAAGTTAAAACGATTTCCCTTAATAAAATAAGATATTGTTTAATATGAAATATTAGAAAAAGTCATAGCTATTATGAGAATATAAATGTTTCCAAAAGTATTTGAGAGATAATTTATATTATATGTTGTAATATAACGATAATTATAGGTACGTTAGAAAAGAGAAAAATTTCTTTATTTTATAGTCATCTTGATTCACGAAAAAATTATTCAATTAAATATGTCGATTGTTAATCATTTCAGTTTCGATAAAATGGATCCGATTTATAAAAATAATCAAATCCGATCTAAAAGAGGTTATTATTCCGAAATTGTTACGGGTCAGTAAATGATACTTATGATATAATCAATATCTAATTATTATATCAATAAATAATTAATAATATCAATTACTAATTAATAATTATATCAATTTTTTAATTATGATTTAAATAATTTATAGGTACGTTAGAATGTCCTTTAAATCCAGCATTACATCTTCTTCCTACTGTACCAAGAAGAACTAAACTTACTTGGCAAATATTTACTGAGGAACATGGTGCTATTGTAAAAAATCTTATACCTACAAAGTCGAAATATTTTTTGGGTGCGGCTGAAAGATGGATGACATTTCCTGAAGACAAATCGATCGTAATTGAATACGTGTATTTTCGTTTAATGATTGTGTTAATGATCATGTTAATGTTTCATAAAATATTATATATATTTAATATAATATTTTAAAATAATTAATATATTATAATTTTATAATATATTTTATATTTTATAAAATTTTTTATAAAATATAAAAACTTGACATTATGACATTTCGAATAATGGTACTTATCGATAAAGATATTTCCGGCTGAGACATTCGCACCGAAGGTTCAAATGGAATATAACGTGGAATCCAAACGATTGCCACGAAATGTTGAAATGGAAAGGCTACGTAGATTGTATAGAAATCAAAATTTGGATGAGGCGTTAAAGGAAGAGGGAGTTTTACCATGTAATATTTTACCTCCAAAAGTAATTTTATCATTGTCATCCGAGGAAGAAAAGTACGGGTTATATTCCAAGATAAATTACTTGCCTCTTGAGATATTTGACGACGAGGAATTTGACTGTCGGTAAAAAATATCTCGTATAAATTTTTATTCCATTAGAAATCATTTTAATTTGCGACAAAAGCGTTTTAATGTGTTCATATGTTCGTACGTATCACAGAACGTCGAAAGATTGGATAAATTTGGGTCTTATTGATGGCGTTCGACATCCGTTACCTGCTATGTCTTTTGTAGAAAAAGTTAGAATCAATGAACGAAATAATTATTTGTCCGATGTACAATTAAATAATTTATATGGATGGCATCTTTCTGCAGTAACTGATTATGATAGCTGCAAAAAATTGTGGACTGTCTTCACATTGGACGGTTATAAAAGAACTTTTTTATTACCTAGGATATATGTCCGATTTATTGCCGAGGATCCTAAAGTTTTTGCGAGACGGGTTGCAGCTGCAGTGAAAGAAAGACAAATAGTCGAAACGCATATTAGGTCAATAAATTGAATATAGTTAATTTTCTTATTAAATTAACTGTTTTATTTAATTATGTATTTAGTATAATTAATCAGTTTCAATTATACTAAATATTAATTACATAGATTTCTTCACTTTATTTATATTGCGTTATTATAGATATAATTTTTATTTGGATTGTATGGAAGTAGAAGATATACCGACATTGAATAAAAAGGAAAAGGAAACTATTATTCGGCTTTGTACAAGGCAACATTTTGTTCATTACAAAATTCAGAATATTATCGCTGTATGTACAAATTTCTCATTTTCGCGGAAAATTATTGTTATATTATATTATATTATATTATATTATATTATATTATATTATATTATATTATATTATATTATATTATATTATATTATATTATATTATGTCGTTACTCATAAATTATTCAGCTAATGGACGAAATAGACCGTGATTATCGTCGAACTATGTGCGATCTTATGTGGAGAAAAGTAATAAAGCATTCTCCAAATATATTTAAATTTTTGCAAATAGAATTCTATACGGACGAAACTGTGGTACCACAAACGGGAAAAATTTGTACGGGGATGAAAAATTTTAACGTAATACATTTAAAATAATCTATTTTGCTTGAGAATTTTACTGTATAAAAATGTTTGAAATGAATTCTGTATTATACGCATATGTAATATGAAACATTTGAAAAATTCATATAATAATTTTAGGAAATTAAAGATTACTTTCATTGGTTTACATTATACGTATTGCCAGAAGTTTATGAAGTTGTGCGTTGTGTGGTCTACGAATGTGCTTACGTATCAGGGATGAATTTATTTGTATCGAATTATGGAAAATCAATATCACTGATCGAATTCGAAAACCAACAAAATCAAACTACGACAATGGTGATGAAATATCTGAAAGAACCATGGTTAGAAAAAATAACGCAATCAGTTAGAATATATTTGAGGGATGTAGGAAAAGGATGGTTTAATCTCGATCAAAAGTTTGCTGAAATATATAACGTTATGAAATTGAAACGTCTTATGGATCTCATTGTTTGCCATATGCAAGTCTGTATTTAATAAAATAAATAATAATTAAATATTAATAAATATATATATTATTTTCTTTACAGAATGCTTTGCGAAATCTTGTAGAAAATTCTGTTTCTTTGTACATCGAAATGTTAGAAGGTCCAGGAATTTGTATAGTTGATGTTGACGATGATTTTATTTGGGGAGATGATCTAGTGAATACCCAGTATAGTTGTACTACTCCTCCCATTTTTCAAGTAAATCTTATGATGAATAACGAAGGAGCATATTATTCTACCAAGCTTGAAGCTTTCAAAGTAATCATATATAAAATATTAATTTTTGAAGTTAAAAAATTTTCTATCATTTATTTATTTACTTTTTACAATTTTAGGAATCTATTATATTTATTTTTGATAATTCGTTGACACTGTGCCATCAAATAAGACAAGTACATCCATTTCTGCTTACTTTTCTTAAATTTCCAACGAACCTTTTTCTTAGTTCAGTCGGTTTATATGATGAAAGGATATGCGACATTAGAAATCGTTTATTGAACATATACGAAAAGGCAATCATACCTTTAAAAGCTTATGCCAAAGAATATTATAAATATCTCGAATTTTTCGAAATGGATATTGAAAAATATATCGAGTAAGTTAAGACAGTATTTTTATTGAAATCAACAGTAGATTAATTGTTTAATTTGCAAATATTTATTACTTGAATATTTGAAAATATTATATTCTTAGGAACTTCAAAAATGAAGAACATACCGCTATCGAAATTACAGATGAAATATCATTTCATCGTAAAATAAAAAAGAATCTTGAAACTACTCTACCAAAAAATATTTTCATTGGTCCGTTTAATGTAAATGTACAACCTTTGAAAGAATTTTTAATGACGAAGCGTGAAAATTGTTCTACGCAATTACTCATTATGTTTACGGACAAACTTCGTTACAAAATTAATGAAATTTTGGACGAATATATAGAAATAAATGTAAAATTGAAAGAAGAATCGAAGAATGTAGAACATTTATTTGATAAAAAAGAATGGATGGAAACGATTCCGTTGACAGTGAAGGGTATCGATGAAAATATGCAGAAAGTGAAAATTGAATTTGACATTTTAGAACATTTTCGTTGGAATTTATCAGATGAAGATTTTAATGCAAAATGGGAAGCAATTGGTTATCCTCATAAAATAGAACAACTGGTAAAGAATTCTCTATTGAGATCTTATTTCTACGAATGGCATATATAAAAATATTAATTATAAATACAATTGTAGATCGCTGAAGCCGAGGAATGTTTTATGGCAGAACAGGATAAATTCTTGAAAAATCAATTACAAGATGAGATAATGTTGCAAGAGAAAATAGATACGCTTGTAGGAAGCGTTGCTAATATTGCATTACAAACGAATATTAATATGGTACACGAGATTGCTATTGATATTAAAAGAGTTTGGAAATCGATGAAGGAATCTCAGGAAACTGGAATAATGTTAAATGAGCGTCAAAAATTACTTGGACTTCCTGTTGTACCATTCGAGAGTCTTATCAAACTTATGAAAGATTTCGAGCCATATCAAACGCTTTGGACAATAGCATCAGGTATTTATATAGTTTACAAATTTACGAGAATTCGAAAAAGATAATTCATTTTCATTTTAGATTGGCTGAAATGGCATGAAATATGGATGGAAAATCCTTTAATAACGATTGATGGCACCAATATCGACAATTATGTAAATGAAATGTACAAGGCAATGTCCCGAAGCATAAAGATTTTCAAAGAATTTCCAAGTATTAAATTTAAGAGTCTATTAAACTGAGTATTCACGATTCGAATTAGTATTTAAGGTACTTTTATTTTGATCAGAGGTTGTCGCTGTAGCCGAGAATATAAGGGATCAGATAGAAGACTTTAAGCCTCACATAGGAATGATACAATCTCTTAGGAATCCAGGCATGAAACCTCGACATTTCGATGAACTCAGCGTTATCACTGGCATACAAATGGCACTAACACCAACATTAACATTCAAAGAATTGATTCTTCTTGGTATTATGGAATACGAAGAAGTTGTAATGAAAGTTGCTGATGAAGCGGAAAAAGAATATTCGATAGAAGGGATTTTGGATAAAATGATCAACGCGTGGGATACTATAACAATGGATGTTATTGCTTATAAAAATACAGGTTTGGATTTTATTAAGATCAATGATTAAAATTTTATTTTATACAAATTCTAAGTATTATCATTATCTATCAGGTACATATATCATGAAAATTGCCGATGAAACTTTAATGCTCTTAGATGATCATATTCTAAATGCGCAACAAATTAGTTTTAGTCCTTTTAAATTTGCATTTGAGGATCGATTCGAAGAGTGGGATAAAAAATTTAAATTATCACAAGAAGTTATATCTTTATGGATAGAGGTACAAAAGTAAGTTATATAGATAAATTTATTTTGAGCATGCTTTCATTTATATTTTTTCCACGTTCACAAGACATTGGATGTACTTGGAACCAATCTTTACTTCAGAAGATATTAGTCGACAATTACCGGTGGAAACAAGAAAGTTCAATACCATGGATCGTACTTGGAGACGAATAATGAAAGCAGCCTACGACTGTCCTTACGTAATTAATAGTATTTTTCATATTTTTCAAGACTTAACATTATTTTCATATTTCTCTGAAGAAGTTACACCATTAATGATTTTCTTTTTATTATTATTGTGATAATAATAATTTTTTTTTTTATGATTGACATTTATAGATAATGAAAATCTGTCCAGATAATGTACTCTTAGAAAGTTTGAAGGAATGCATAACCCTGTTAGAAGTCGTGCAAAAGGGTTTGGCTGATTATTTAGAAACTAAACGGATGGTTTTCCCACGATTTTTCTTCCTTAGTGACGATGAGCTGCTCGAAATAGTTGCTCAAACAAAAAATGTGCAAGCCGTACAACCTCATCTTAAAAAGTGTTTTGAAAATATGAGAGAATTGAGATTCGAAGAAGATCTAGCTATTACGAGAATGTATTCAGCCGAATATGAAGAAGTTGTGTTAAGACCACCAATCTATCCCATAGGTAACGTTGAGAATTGGTTGGGATTGGTAGAAGCAGCTATGCGTAATACTTTAAGAGAAATTATCGGCGAGGCTCTTCAAATCGTTGAGGAAACAAGTAGAAAGGAGTGGGTGTATATGTGGCCTGGTCAAGTTGTTCTTTGTGGTGGTCAAACTTATTGGACAGCTCACGTTGAAGATGCCATAAAAAATAACGCACTGCGCTCTTTTTATGAAGTGATGTTATCGCAAGTAAATATAGTGAAATTAAGTTAATTATTATTTTTTTTTTTTTTAATTAAATATATTATAAGTTACCGTTTTTAATGCTTCATAGTTGGATGATCTGCGGGAACTTATAAGAAATCCACTTACTGAAATCCAAAGATTAATGCTCGAGGCTGTAATTATTATCGAAGTACATGCAAGAGATGTTTTATATAAACTAATCGAAGAAAATGTAATGAATGTTAACGATTTTGATTGGATATCACAGCTACGATATTATTGGGTTGATGATAGCGAATTAAAAGTTCGCGCGGTAAATGCGGAGTTTTCATATGGGTAAATTATATTTAATATAATATGTAGTGTTATATATTATTAAGATTTAGGAAAAAAGCTTAGAATTTTCTTTTTAATTAATTACTTTTCAGTTACGAGTACTTAGGTAACAACGGTAGATTGGTTATCACTCCTTTAACGGATCGATGTTATTTAACTCTCACTGGCGCTCTTCACTTGAAATTTGGTGGAGCACCTGCTGGACCAGCTGGAACTGGAAAAACTGAAACGACAAAAGATTTAGCTAAAGCATTTGCTATTCAATGTGTTGTTTTTAATTGTTCCGATCAATTAGATTTTTTGTCTATGGGAAAATTTTTCAAGGGTCTTGCCAGGTATTATATAATCCTCTTATATGAACTGTATAAAAAATATAAATATAAATAATTTTTATTTTATATATTATATTTAATTTACGTCAAATAAGAAAAAAATATTATGTTCTTTTATAGTGCAGGAGCATGGGCATGCTTTGACGAATTTAATAGAATAGATATCGAAGTATTATCTGTAATAGCACAACAAATTATGACTATTCAGAAGGCTCAACAAATTAGAGCTGAAGTGTTAGTACTTATCTTTTTAATGTGATATTTCAATATCTATTCGAAATTCCTCTCACTTGAGGAATCAATACATTTATTTAGATTCATCTTCGAGGGAGTAGAAATTACACTTAAAGCTTCCTGTGCGATTTTCATCACGATGAATCCAGGTTACGCCGGTCGGACAGAATTGCCCGATAATTTGAAAGCTCTTTTCCGTCCAGTTGCTATGATGGTACCAAATTATGCTCTTATCGCAGAGATTTCTTTATTCTCCTACGGATTCTCTAATGCTAAGACTCTCGCCGGAAAGATAACAACTACTTTTAAATTAAGTTCCGAGCAACTCAGTACACAGGTTGTTTTATTTTTCTATTAGAAATAAATTAAGATTTATATCATATTATCATTTTGTCCTCAATAGAGTTTATTTTCGTAGGATCATTATGATTTTGGAATGCGTGCTGTAAAGACTGTTATAGCGGTAGCGGGTAATCTAAAAAGAGAATTGAAAGATGTTGACGAACAACAAATTTGTTTACGCGCTTTAAGAGATGTCAATGTGCCGAAATTTTTAAGCGATGATCTGAAATTATTTAACGGTAATAAGATATCTTATTAATCATTATACGTATTATCGTTTTATTTTTATCATTATTAATTAATTAATTAATTAATCAATTAATTTTAATTCAAATCTTTAATTAGCTTTTATTATATTTTAAAGGGATTGTATCTGATCTCTTTCCGCAATTGACTGAATTACCTGTAGACTATGGAATTCTTGAAGCGGAAATCTGTAAAACTATCTTAGAAAAGGGCTTAGAGAAAGTCGATGGTATCTATAATAATTAGTTAATTGTTTCATAAGTTATATAAACTAAATAGCTGTTAATGAATAAGAAAATTAATTATTATTATATGTTGTAAATTTAGAATTTGTCAAGAAAATTATTCAGCTGTACGAGACCACTTTGGTACGTCACGGATTGATGTTAGTTGGACCAACTGGATCTGGGAAAACAAAGGTAAGATTATTTAATATGTTTCCTTTTTTTTTTTTTTTTTTTTTTTTATAATTACCTAATATAATTCGTTAAAGAAGCTTTTTTGTTTTTTCTGTTAAAATCTTTGGAAACTTTTTATGTGCCTTTTTATAATATGTTAATTCTAACGTTTACTAATGCACAGTCAATGCTTTTATTTGTTTTCTGCATTAAATAAGACTTGAGAAAAAAAAATTGGTATAAAATTCGAGTCATATCAATCATTAATTAATAGAATTTATTAGATATCGATATAGCGTAATTCATTCTTTTTATTAATTAATTTAAACTTAATAATGAATCTCATTTATGTTTATTTATTTATTTATTATTTATTTATTATCTGTTATTAATTATTTCAATGATAAAGATATCATGTCTAAATTTTGGGATCACTTCACACTTTGTTGGTAATTCTAATTATCAATGCTATCATTTTATATCATATATCACACATTTATTTATACCCCTCTGATAGGCAACATACTATACAAACTTATATAAAGACATTATCTATCATGGGAATTCAAAATAGTTTTGTATTGGTAGATGGTATTGAATAATAACAATCATTGCGTAACAAAGTAAAACGTGATGTCTATTTTCATGTCATTGTCATTCAATATTCGTATAAATAATAACAAGGCAGAAAATTTTCATTTAATTTATTTCAATTAATTTTAGAGATATTCATCTGTTGTAAATTTAACAATGATTTTATTATTGTCGATTAGAGCCAATTAATAGATATATCTCATTTTGAGATATATTATTTAATCTGAAAAAAAAGAATATATATATATATATATATATATATATATATATATATAGATGTGTAATTAAAGTTATCTAATACTCTTTCGTAAAACAAGATGTTATAAGCAATGATTGATGAAGAAAGTATGTCTTCAGATATTTAAACTTTTTTATTGGGAGTACGCCGATCAATCGTTCATAAGAATAATTCCTTCTATAACTCAAGGGATTCCAATGGATTTTATATCTTAGTTCCTTTTTTAATTCGTCAGAGAGTAGAAATATTTTTGAGTAGGCGGATCGATCCGCATATTTTCATCGTGAATTCACCGAAACGATAAATTGCTTTTCGTATTTCTGCCAAAGCTTATCTTCTCTTAATTCGCATAGAAAATGTTGTCTGTAATTTGCGATACGATTTTTATGTTTATGGGTTCATCGATCTATAATAATGAGAAAGAATATATAATATCATTAGATCGTATTATGATTATGATAGTAATTAAGTGATGTATCAAATTTTTTAGTAAATATTCACATAGATAAAGATCATAATTTTCATGATTAGAAATTCATTCTTCTTTCGTTGCAATTAGGTAATTAAATATAATATCATTTGTTATCTTAACTTATGTATTTATCAAAAAATAATTCGATCGTTTAGGATATTTTTATTTCTCTTGTTAATATAGATTCATTTGAGGAGGAATAAAAAAAAAAGGAACAAAAAAATGTTTTGTGATTTTGTATACTGTATATTAAATGACCATACGAGGATAATTTAATAATTATAGAGGGTAATAATATTAACATTTATCTATTTGGACATTTGATATTTCATTTTCTTAAAATACTATATCTTTTTTTTATTTTTTTATTTTATCTGGAAGGAAAATCGTTGAAATGCTGGGTCATCCGATGATCCACGTTAATTAACGAAGGTAACAAAATAGATTTAAATTTAAAACGGAAACCCGAATTTGAAATAGTCGCATCTGCAAAACACGTGCGGTCAATAACCGTTTCTATGAACGTTTCTATATTTATGGTTATCGTATTATAAAAATAGGTGTCAGTATAATATCTGAAGATTTTTTAAAATTATGAAGATTTATTTAAAGTTATGAAGATTTTTTAATATTAACTATCATAAGAAAGAGGAAAACTGAAAGTTAATACATATTTGAAAAATAACATTAATTTATTTATACAAATAAATAATAAATTAATGAAAAAAAAAAAAAAATATATATATATATATATAAAATGTACATTTTCAAAATTAATCATGGTATACAATTTATACTTGTATACGTATGTGTGTTTTCGTGTTTACATTATACGGTAACTTAAGAAATAATTGAAGAAAATTACATAAGGAAATAAATAAGAGAAGTAGTGTTGTACTATATCGTACAACTTATATCCGATAAATACTTCTAATTTGTTGTTTACAAATGTATATAATAATTTTATTATAAGAACTTAAGTAAATTTATTTACTATAATTATATTGCATACACATGTATATACTATGTAAATATATACGACAGTAAAATGATACTTCTAATTGGGCACTTTTATCAATAAGAAGCTTCTTCTGCTATTACACTTTTTGACACTTAAAATGTAGTTTATACTTTCATTGAAATCGATTTACATGTGTTTAACATAGCTTTATGCTTATATGTTAATTTAACTTAGTATTTCAGATATTAAAAAGTAGATATATTATTTTTTTTGTAACAAAATATTAAATTATATACTCGACGTATATTCAATATCTAAACTTAATAAATTAATTGTTAATATTAACTGTTAATATAATAAATAATTATATAATAACATTATGTGCATCCTATGAATATTTAAAAATTCTTTTAATTGCACATAAATCTGTAAATCGATTCCATTTTATTTATTTATACATACATATATCGTTTTCTGTATGTACACATTTACAGGAATGGATTAGATAGATTTATTTTATTTAATGTAAACCTATTTACACAGTATTTGCGAGAAATCCTAAATATTACATCACATAGAAACATTTAATAAGTTAAAAACTTGTTCTCCGTTTGTTGTTTATAATTATTGATAAATACGATACGTGTATTTTTTTTCTCCTGATTTAAGGATATCAGAACAGGTACGTGATTATTTCACTTCCATTATTTCTCACAATATCAATTATTATGTCTTTTAATATTAACATTCTTTTATAATAATGTTAAATATTAAATATTTTTGCAGATTATATGCTAATAAAAGGATTCATGCTTGTACAAATATTGGTATGCATTTATTAAATGCCCAATATTAAAAATTTTCGAAGAAAAGTAAAACTGTGAGATAATAATTATTTAATGAAAATTCAGACGTGAATATTATAAATTAGGTTCTTTTATTTTTTTTTTTTTAATATATTCATGATTTAATTGTTAACTTTATAACTATAATTTTGCGAAATTAATTAACACCAGTACAGACCATCAATATTTAGCCAACCTTCACGTGAGTATAATATATCTAGTATAAACAAATTCTGTGCAAAAGCGATGAAAAAAGTGAGAAAAGTAAATTTGTCACTTTTTTATTTATACTTTTTTTTATTTTTTATTTTTTAAGAAAATTCTCATTTCAATGTGTCATGAATGAGTCATAACAGAGTAATTTAAATCCTCATGGGATATTTGCAATGATAAATTTCGAAGAGGTTTAATAAAATTTCATACGAGCCATGAAACGATATATATCCCCTCTGTTTTAAGTGCAACACAAAATTCCGGGCTTTCAGATGTCGCCCATAAATTTCATACCTTTATCGTCGTATCTACGTAAAAGTAGGCAGTAATAGTTTATGTTACCTTCGAAAAGGATGATGTTAAACTTTCTTTATTTCCTGTTATTAGATCTTTTAATAATAAGCTTTGGATATGATATCTTGATAACGATATCACTCGAAGAGAATATTTTTCTCGATTCGAATATAATTATACGTATAATATATTGATACAGAGTTATAGTATAATGTAAGATAAATAATGTTTCAATATAAAATATTGTATTAAATTTGACGATCGAGGGATGCATCATCGAGGGATATTAAAGTTAAAATAAAATTCAAAAAAGAATTCTATGAGATTCAACGTTATCATGATTATTAATATTCTCGTCGTCTATATTTCATGTATATTCTACATAATCTTATAAAGTATACTCAAATAATCTTGTTTATCATAAGCCGTTGCAACAGACGAGTAGCTTTATCTTTAAGTAACTATCGATCAGCATGTACACAGAGATAGTAATAATGTAGTGCATATCACTACCCTGTTACCACTCGACAACACCCCTGATATCCCATATCGATGACATTGCAATTCAAGTACCAGATGTGTCCCATCGACATTAATTTAAACCGTGAATAGACGATGTATATCGAAAGTTACGATAGAAATAATTTCATTAATGTCTATTATTTTTGCAGTTGTCATGGCTATCCATTTGTGGAGCGTCAATAATCTCGAGGAACCATCGAGAGGTTTTGATATTGATCGTGAATTATGGTCAAACATTTTATTTTCCTTTTTCAGTCTTTGATAAATTGAGCAAATTTATAGACGTTACCCTGATGAGGGCGTCGATGATCGCATTTCAACTATCATTCATGAATTAGCCGGTTTTCTAACGTTCATCATAATGATCGTTTCTGTCCGGCTCCTTCTGGATCGATAATGATGGAATATCTATATGTATCTCTGAGGATTACAGTGATACCTGGTCATGCTTTTTAAAACTTTACGCAACAGTTGTTCCAAACAGCGTCGAAACGTGATACCGCACATGGCATATAGGAGAAAATTGATACTGAAGTTAGTGTAGTAAAGAAGCATGAAAAACTGTTGAAGACACCAAAGTAGAGCGGGTGTATCTCTTCGTGCAAGAGTAAAGAAGAAGACGCATAAGCGTATCACGTAGCTGAGACAAATAAATATGTTTGTTTCAATTAAAACAATTGTTATTTATTAGAAAATTTTTTTTCTTGTATATTGTTGCATCACGAAGTAATTATTCAATTATTTCTGATAATAATCTTTAAATATGACTTTAGTTTTTAATATTTTATGTATTATTTTAGAAAGAAGAATCAACTGTGTTAAACTTTTGTTAAAGTGCTTCATTTCTCTGTTTTACGTTTTATTTTAATCGACGATAATGATATTACTTGTCAAAGATATCGACGTAACTCAATACTTTTCGATTATAGAAAATAATTTGTTCTTCATTGATTTGAAAATATTATAAATATTATTTTAGAAATATAGAAATATATAAGAAACGATTAATATGTTAATATGTTACACTCACCTCGGAGAATTGAGAATGATAAAAACAGTACTGATCAATAAGAGCATTTTTGTAATACTTTGTTGATTTCTAGTCGATACGAGATTTCGCGAGGATGATCGTACATCTGTAAGATAAAAAACAATTAGATATAAATGGATTTTACGTTATAATTTATAGAATTGATTTAATTATTTTTTATAAATAATTATATATGTATAAAGTTTAAAAATAATTTATTGATTTCATAGAAAAACAAAATTCTACTCACGTATACATCGAGCCGCTATTTCGGGTAGTTGACAAGCATTTCTTGGTGTAGACGGTGGTACTGCGATCGATGTAGGCTGATGCCTTGAATTTTGAGAATGGTTGGTTTTCGAAGAGTGAAAAGATTGTTGAGAGGGTGGCCTACGTCCCTCAATGATCGCATCCATATTGATACCGCCAGCACCATTGTGACTGCTACTGGCACTCTGTAATGTATATTGAATATAGCATGAATTTCAGTGCACGTGCACGATCGAGGATTCTTGATAATTAAGTGATGTCAGCTGAAAAGTATTGATTTATGAACCCTAGGACAGTAATGAATTAAGAAAATGTTCGTATTAAATGTAATCGATTTTTCTATTATAGTAAATTCTCTATCAATTAAGTTTTATTAATTCGTTAATATTATCTTATAGTTTTGTTGATTTATTTCGTTATTAGTACTTTATTTAAATTCGTTAAAAACTTTTTGCTTCATTCTAAGCCAACATCCACAAGAATAAGATATGTTGACATATATATCCATAAATAATAATATTATAAATTTTCAATGATCATTTATTTTATCTTACATATCCTTTTTCTTGTAAATATAATTCTATAGTAATTTTGATCGTCAAATATGTTCATCAATATCTTATTTACTTTGATTAAGTGTGAAAATAATATAATAGCTTACTATAGAAAAGCATACAGTAAATCTGATGCGTTCAAATCATGTCACGTATTTCATTAAAGAAGCTTCATCTGACAAATGCAATAAATTCAAAGACTTTAATTTCTTTTTTTTTTTTTTTTTGAAGCGTAGTTCATTATTTATTGTGATATAATCAATAAGTTTGTTTTTTTTTTCTTTACGAATAGACGCAAAACTCAGTTATATATATATACTTTTTGTTATTGTGGTATTGTATTTCATGATTACGCTTAAAATGGGTTCGTTTTTATATTAATGAAAAATGCACTTGTTGTTCACGTGTAGGTAGATATCGATGTATCTATCTACGTTCAACGATTAACTGATGGAGTATTGTTACAATTCCCTGATTAATAGACGACTTCTCAGGGTGCCAATCAGCTTTCGATACTATACAAATTGGTTGCGTATCCTTTGCGCAAGTATTCGTTTTGACGAACAGTATCTTCTGATGAAACGTCGATACTTTATTTTCGTTTGTTTTCAATTGCAATAGGTTAATATCATTTTTATTACAATTTATATTTCATTGTTTCATTTTTCATTTCATTTTTTAAGAGACAAAAACGCTTTGACTATGTCATAATTTATTTAAGTATGAATTGAAAATGGATCTATACAATTAATATTTAAATAATACTAGACATCAAAGGGAAAACATAAATAGTCACATTTAAAATTTATATATAATTATAATTATAATTTCATACATCGGTATATATTTTATTTAATTGATTGCATATCTTTGATTTCATTTACTTCTTTTTGTATTATCTTGAACAATATTTACATTTTTAAATTATTATTTAAAAATGCCGTATGAAAAATACGATTGTTTAAACAAGATAAAAAGAACATATAAAAAAATTGTTATCATATTAGTCTCGTTATCTCACTTTATCTTGTTATCTCAGGAAAATATCTTTTTGTTATAATTTTAGAATGTATTATTTATGATCAGATAATGATTATACTATTCAGATCATTTGTATTTTTGTTGTTATGCCCTTATCTATATCTAAAACATGATTGATCATGCATGTCCTTGGTACTGAATACCAAATGATTTAAAACAGGCAAGATCTGTTTCACTATTAATTTCAATAGATGATTCACAGAATCATAGGTCAGAGGTTACTATCTTGATTGATTTTCTAAATAAAAAAAAAATATCACTATACTATTCAAATATTTCGTTGAGTTTGATATACATGTGCAGAACATATAACGGTTATATGTGAAAAAATAAAAAAGTGATTGGCATGGCCGATGTGCTGTTGTTATAAAAAGTAAAACATGTTTTATACCTGTACTGTAACGAAGCAACAAAACTTCAATATATCCGAGTTTAATCGATGAAGAGAACTGAACCGAATAAATCAAATTTGAAGAGGGAATCGTTATAAATCACAGATTAATAAATTTAAGTATTTCATCGTAGATTCAAAAATGAATAATAATTTTGAAATTCTCACGATGATTAAAAAAAAAAAGAAAAAAAAAAAAACAACGATATGCGTGATCAAGTTCGTTCGAACGAATTTCAATGAATTTATTTTATCAATATTGTTATCGAACAAATGAAATAAATTTACTATGAACGATATTATATAAGTGGTATGTAAATTCCAATTGATTACCTTCGTTTATTGAGAAGTAAAGCATACAATGCTTATAATTATTTGTAATGTGAAAATATTTCTTTACAGATTTTCGTATTATTTCACGCGTACAATCGTCAATTGACTCACGTAAACGTTTGCCAATTAACTAGGAGTTTAAATGTATGTAAAAATTTAAATATATGTAGGAGTTTTACATATATGTAGGAGTTTAGATATATTGTATAAACGCCTTCTTTTGGAATTTTACATTGAAAAATGTGAAATATGTTATTTTTATCTTTTATGGATTACCATTTGACATTATATGCATTGTAAACAATACGATTATAAATATCTTCTTAGAGTATCATCGAAAAACAAACGTATAGAGTATTATTATTAAAAAATTCTTTTTGATTTTTATCTAAATTAGTGACAATTAAGAGATTTGTTATTAAATATATCTAAAACGTAACGATATATATATTGAATTACAAGAACAGAACCAAGATAACGCTGCATTTATCATATAACGTTTATTATGCTACAATGACTTGCACCGTGAGTTGTTATCGTATCCTCCTACTAATTGTCATGTTGCGTAATCAATGTTAAATCACATACTAAAATCTTCACATTTATACAAATGAATTTTGTTGGACAATTAAAACATAATGCCGGAATGGTAGAAATATGTCGATGGTTGAGTTCTGTAAAGATGAATGGCAAAGCTTACATAAGCCACGGGATATTTATACGCACGGTTCGAAAATAGTCGACAAACCGCAATCTCTGTAGAGTCGTTTCACTAATACGAGCAAAGGCGCTTCGATAAAGCATGAAAAACTCAAAATTCTTTAAGCTGTGCAACTTGAAAGATATTTTGTAACATTTGATGAAATCTATATTCTTCTACTATGATGATTAAGCAGGAAACATAATATGAATTTTAACGAGACTATTTCTTTTTCATGTGAATTTTTTTTTTCTTCGCTATTATTCGATATATTATAATAAAATTGTCTTATGTCGTAGAATCAGTTTTTTTTTTCTTTTTTTTTTTTTTAAGTGGACACATTAGTACACGTTATTCTTATTTATTGTATTAATTATATTTATCGATTTTACAAAAGCAAGATTATTACTATTTATTATTATCTTTAGATTTTATTATCTATTTCTTCATTTCTTTCCGTTCAACGTTATTATTTATTTTATCATTTGTTATCGTTTCCGTTGATTGTATTAGTAGCATTAGTGGATTTTCGAGCATTAATTTCCAACCAAAAACCGTTTTCAGCTGTCATGATCATACTTTTTTTACTAAATTTTATTGGTATCGAAGTTTTAGAACATATCTTAAGTTCACAACGGGCTAAGAGATTGAAAAATACAACTTTACAAATCATAAGAGCGTATCTATTGCCTATACAAATCCTGGGCCCAATACCAAAAGGAAAATAAATTAATGAATCAATGTCTCCATTAATAAATCTACTTGGATCGAACTTATCTGGATTTGGAAAATATTTTGGATCACGGTGTATAGCATATGGTAAAAACCAAACACTTGTCCCAGGTTTTAACATATATGATTTCCCTCCAGGTATTGCCGGTGGTAATTCCAAACTTTTTGAACAATATCTGTCCACAAACGATGTCAAAGGGTATAGCCTTAAAGTTTCATTGATTACAGCGTCTAAATATTTCAAATTCATAATAACATCATACGTAGCCCGACCATTTGTCATTTTCAGACTTTGATTGATTTCCTCTCGTAGTTTGATTTGAACTTCATTGTTTACAGCTATTTCGTGAGCAAGAAAACACATAAAGGTCGCAGTAGAATCCGATCCGGCAAGGAAAAACACAAAGGCTTGTGACGTCATATCATCATAAGATATTTGCATTTTCTCTCTTGATTCCATCATCAATTGAATCATGTCAGGTCGAATAATACCTTTCTCTTCTCTTGTTTTAATAGTATCGATGATTACATTGCGGAAAAAGTTACGTACTTTGTCACCAAATAGTTTAATGTCAAACGTTTTAAATAACCAAGGAAAATTTCTACCCAGAAGTAATTTCATAGAAAGAATACTGTCAAAATTTAAAATCGTCTTAGTCAGCGTAATGAAATTGTTATCCGGATCCTTTATAGAATCAATAGCAATACCAAAAGCAGTTGTCGCTACTGCGTCACTCGTATAATTTGTAAAAATGTCTTTCATTTCGATTGTCCAACCTTTTTCAGATTTTATCGCGATATGATTAACAAAGTTTTCAGCACATTCTTGTACCAATCCAAACATCATCTTCATTTTGCTGGAGGTGAATGTAGGACTTAATATTTTTCTCATTTCACGCCAAGTATCACCTCGTAGTTGAAAAAGATTCTTTGCCATTAAGGGTTCGTTTTCAGCAACGAAACTAGTATGATCGCAAAAATTATCAAAGTTTTTGATCCCAATTAAATTGATTATTTCAGGATCACGAAGTATTATAACCGGGCTCATGAAGTCGTAAAATCCAAAGTACTTTGTTTGTGAATATTTGTTGTATAAATCTCCCAATAATAAATGTACAGGTTTTCGTCGAAAAAAGTAAGGTGCCATATTGCCGAATATAGGTAATGGAGTATCATGTAGTAATTCTTTTTCCTTAAAGTAAGATGTACTACGGAAACAGAAATGATAAAGACCCAAGCCAATGGCGAGAATCGTTAATACAGTCATAAAAATCTCCATCGATTGAAAGTGTTTTCAAATTCTTCTTCAATCAAAATACAAATCTTCAAACTCTTGAAGAAATAGAAAGTACCGACAGAGATGTTATGAGACTTGTTATCGACTCGAGTAACTGCGAGTGACTAACAGCGGTAGATGATTTTATACCACTTGAAGTATTTGAAGCAATGATTATCTGACAATCAATGATTTAAGAGCATCAAGGATCCATATATAACTAAAGATGACGTCTTCTATATCAAGAGAATTAACTTGGAGATTGTTTTCATTTCTTATTCAATGAAGTATCATTTAATTTAAATGTAATAAATAATTAAATAATTAAAATTTTGAATATTTTTAGATACTATGTTAAGCTATTATATGTATATAAATTTTCAGCTTTATATATCGAAAACAAGTTATATCAGAAATATTTATATTATTCTGATAATGCAAAAATGAAGTGTTGATTAATCGAATTTATATTAATTAATATGAAGAGAATAAGTATAAACGAATTTATATCTTATCTGTTAATAAATATTTTTTTTTAAATATCAAATTTACGACGCTTTTGCTAATGCAAATTAAATTAATACTAAGTAATAAGACATCATTCTCTCTCTCTCTCTCTCTCTCTCTCCCTTTTTTTATATTATTGATTATGATCTCGGTATGATATTACAAGCATTAATTAAAATTCGACGTTTATTCTGTTAATAATTAATTGTAATTACCGAATGTATCTTATTTTATGTATTATTTTGTTTTTTTTTGTTTTTTTTTTTTTAGAGAAAGAATTATAAACGATATTATATTATTTTTTTAAACGAAAGAATGTTCGCACATTTATAAAAGTTAACTTTTATTATTTTTGCTCTCTATTAATTAGCAATGATTAATATAGTGACGAATTTTCTTTTTACTGTCCTAATAAGAATATCAGATGAAAAGTTTATGAGTAACAATAACACAAAAACATGCACATTTATCGCGCCTGTTATTAATTTTTCAAATTAAAGGCGTTTCAAATTCTTCGTCCACTACGTTTTTCTCTTCATACCGCAATAACATATATGAGGCAGCTGTGCCATATCCAAGTTTGTTGATGTTTCAATAAACATATATACATACCGGTATTCTTCCACATGACTGGAATGTGTAGGAAGGTAATACTGCGTTTTACTAAGTACGTATCTTTATTTTCGTAGATGTTTACTAGTTAGAATTATGAAGACACCTAAACGCAAAGTGTTTAAGCATAAAACGTTACGGGAAAGTGAAAAGATAAGATTGTGTATTTGTGAACATCATGCAAGATAGAATCATGCAGACTCCCGATATTGTCTTTATCTACGTAGATATTTACCAGGAAGCACATACGTTACGATAAGAAAGGAAGTTCACAAAACGAGGGATAACATTACTCACCGGAATTTGGTTTAGATTAATTTCGGATCTTTCTCTGCTTTGACAGGTGGTGGATACACTCGGTGCTTGTTTGAATCTTCTAGTAAATCTAAGAAGATTTCTCATTATCATTGTATTCATAATGATGATAAGTACAAGCGGTGCTATCAAACTGGCTATGCTATCGATGATACTGATGATCCTCATAGTTTCAAGATATTCTATCTTGAGATCGCATAATTCATAGCCATCGTGAATCTTGACGACGCCGGCGGTAACAAAAGCGTAAGAATGACTTGCTAGAGCAAGTATAACTAGTATCAAGACGATAGCCTTTGCCCGTGCTATTGTGCACATGTGAGGCCGATGCAATGGGTATTGCACGGCTATGAATCTTTCTACGGTAAAGGCGACGATCAGCCAAACGCTAAGAGAGCTACAAACAGCACTGACGTAGACCAAAGACTCGCACCAGCCGTCTTTGTTGAATACCATCCAGCCAACGGTGTTATTGAGCCAAACCAGAAGAAGGGAGACCAAAAATCCAAAATCAGCCGTAGCCAGTGCCGCTAAATAATAACTCGAACTTCGCATTTTTAGATGGGTATTCAGAAAGACAACGCATGATAAAAGATTTCCAACCAGTCCTAAAAGGATTATGGCCGGAATGTAGTACATGTGGAACAATTCAAGCAGAAAGTACACAGAACTACAAGCTTCGAAGGATTCTTCTTCAAATTCAATCGATGTCTCGTAACTGACGTTTCTATGAATGTACGTGTTTGTTACATTCGTCCAAGTAACAACAGAACTCGCTGATCTTCGTACACGTGGTAAAGCACTAATCGTAGCTGATATTTGAATACACTTTGAGTTAGTTGCAACATTAGACGTTCTCCAAAACATGATGTGTATACGATCGTTCTTATGTTATGATAAATATTTACTTATGATCAATCGTATATCAGTGAATCCTTTTTATGCAAAAGTAAAAAAAAAACAGACGACTATACACGGCTTTATTTGAGGTCACCTCGTGACAAGGTTTATAAGAATCCTTTGTAGGGGCGAACGATTTCCGTCACTTGTCGTCTTATTGATTCAGGATGATGTGCAGATTGCTTCTCTTACTGTTAGCTACGTTGTTTGAATTTTAGATTTCTCGTTATATGTTTCTTCGATATCTTCGTTTACAGATACTCTTTAGTTCTTGTACGTTAATCACAATGATTAATGATCTATTCGATAAGTTTTACTCGATATATATTTATAGATTTTCCTTTTTCAAGGATCTTCAAATTTTCTTTCTAATTTTGTAATACTATAGTAAGCACAATGTTTACGGGAAGTTAGGCCCTCGTTCATTCATAATTGCACGCTAACATAAATGCTCGATATAAATACTCTCTCAGAATTATCGAATGAGATGATGATGCAATGCAAATGAAATGTGAACAGCGGCTTGTTTATAGTGAAAATAATAGATGTTTAAATAAATCTAAGGATAATGGAAGAAGCGATATATATATATATATAATATAATAAGTTCTTATTCGTCTACGAAAGAAACTAATGAGAATGTCCGTCGTGTATTTAAGTTTAATCGTCGTTTTGTTCTACTATTTATTTTATATTAATTACTTTTATTCTATTTTTCTACTAGCTATGTACGATGTAATGAAGATTAAAATAAAAAGCTGGAATGTTTTTACGGCTATTTTTTTATGTTAAAATTTATCAACTTCCTACGTTGAACCAAAACATTTATTTTCTTTCGATCGAAGAACGTATATTTTATAACTTTTGTATTTATATATATCTATAGTAAATTTGCTCAATCCTTTTTTGTTTATTCGCATCGATCTCTTTCGTATTAGTCAGGTGGGAGAAAAACTATCGATTTATCTATCGCGCTTTTAAGAAACCTGTTCCTTTGATGAAGATAAACAGATAGGTCTGATTTATCGGTTTAGCGGTTATCCATCAAGAAAAGAGACAAATGTAGAGCAGATTTAAGATATGGTTTTAAAAATATTCCTTTTCGTAAATATGAAGGACTTTCATGAGTATCTAAAATTTCAAATATTATAAATTTAGAACGTCGTTATCTTACGAATTGAACGGAAGTATGATATTTTTATTTAATATATTAGTATTTATTTTCAATTCTTTCTTTTCTTTTTTTTTTCTTTTTTTTTTTTTTTAAACCAAACTGTATCGATAATCTGGAATTAGATATTTAATTGATTGATTACACAAAGATGATAGTAACACCTGTTACGATCTCTGGTAAATGCACTTTCAAGAACCATTAATCAAGATTAAGCTAACATCCACGTAACATAAATTATTATATGAGCTTCTTGAACTATATATCACTTACGTGTCCGCGTTAGGACAAATAAATCTAAACACGTTTGATCCGTTATATGCTTTCTTAAAATCGATATCACAATTTTCCATCTTTTCAGAGACAATCCTTTTATCTCAAAATTAAAATGTATGTCTCTGGGAAAGCTCCTTGGTGGTAGTTCAAAATGAAAATATTAACGTAGGAATTCTTAAGTTAGGTAAATGGTTTGAATAGTATATAGCACCAATCGTGATCTCCGGATGAGTTCACTGACTCTAGTAATTTGTATGTATAACGTGCCAAGTATTTTTCGCTCTCTTTATCTTTTCTCACAATGAAATATATATGTATATATGTATATATACACATATATATATATATATATATACACATGTATCTTCTTGAAAGGATCCTTCTAATATATAAGAAAAATCCCTTAGGGATGGTTTGCTACCTGCTTTGTTTCTTTGTTATCTATTTACACAAATCTTTCAACCAAAATCCGAATTTCTTTTCTTTCCGAATAAATCCTCAATCCATTCACTTGTAACATTTTTTCATAAATATATATGTATATATATATTTTTTTTCATCTTTTCCTCTTCCTCTTCCTCTTCCTCTTTTTCTTTTTCTTCTTCTTCTTCTTTTTCTTTTTTTTTCTTTTTTCTTTTTTCTTTTTTTTTTTTTTATCTTTTAACACTAACCTTTTTAAATCGCTCGATAGAAAAAAAGCCAATGGGAAAGTTGAAAAACGAGGAGCGTCGTGAGGTTCAGCGCGACGTAAGATAAACTGGACGCGCCGTGGACGATCTCGACGCGTTTGCCGGCCGAAAAGTTCTCCCGCATGCGCCATGCAATTTATACTGCGATGACGACTATGTTCCTTTGGTTCGAGATTTTCATGTTGGATATTTCATCATAACTTCCTCTCTCAATTTTCTTTCAGGAATCGTCTATGGTCATCATCGTCATTTCTTTTTCTATGATATTTATGAGAAAAACGTAAGCAATGGAATGATTATTAAAATTGTTCTAATTGAAGAAAAAACAAGCAAATAAGTTAGAATAATAGTCAATATTAGGTCGTAAAAATTTCTTCAATTATTTTCTTAAAGTACTAACTATTTGTTATTTCAATTGATTAAACAATTCTTTTTTTTTTGTTTTTGTTTTTTTTTTTGTTTTTTTTTTCCCCTTAAAACGATAAACTCCGAGATTTTAAAAGAGGAAAGAAAAAAGATACGTCGCTTAAGCTTATCGATGATTATACTTTTTAACTTAGCTGACATCCTATTTCTCAATGTCAATTCCAATGTTTGGGTGTGACAAAGCGTTTCCATCGAGTTTGTATTTTGTGGAATATGAATAATCGTCTAAATATTTTCTATTGCACGAAAAGAAATAATAAAAATAAAGGTTATCGATCGTGTCTATGAATGACACAAATAAGATATTTTATCGTAGTAAATAATTCTGAATGGATACAAGTGGAGTAAACCAAACTATGGTCAGACAAGATATTTCTTATATTCGTCTAAATTTACGTTTGAAAGGAATAGGATGTAAATTCGTTATAATCATAAATTTTCCGCATGAAAGAAAACGTATCTTCTTAATAAAATTCTCAATAATCGACTGGACTGATCCCTGCTGTTAGTTCTACCATTCTTTCCGGCATTTAGGCACCCTCTCTGTAATTTATTGATTCTCTCTTCCCCATTCGTCGTCATTTTATTTGTCTTACTACTTATACACTTTTTCTACGTATTAAAGTAACACCTTTCCGTTATGATTTCATTCGGCAAAAGATGATTCGTTCTATAATCAAATAAATTCGATCTATATGTAACAATAAATAATGTTTTAATGTTCTTTCAGAAAAAAATTTATATAAATACGTATATATCTACTTTAAATAAAGTAAATTAGATTGGAGTTATACTTTTTTATTTTTTCTTCCAATTTGCTCGCCGTCGGAAAAACGATTTTATTTGCATGAACTTTAAATTATCACGTCATAATATTATTACCGTTTGTTGTATTTTACGATTGATTGAAAGAAGAACCTTTTCTCTTGCATAACCATTTTAATTGTTTATCAATCGTAAATGAGATTTCTTTTTGAATACTTTAATTATCATTCATAGAGATTAAATAAATCAGTACAATTTTGCGAAATTCGACAAAATTTATCTTTTTTACTTTGTTTACGCTCATTCAATGTTCTTTATTTTTTTTTTCTTTTTTTTTTTTTTTTTTTTTAGATTACTAAACCTACCGTGAAATATTTATGTTGAATAATAAATCCATTTATGGAACGCTATATATAAATTCACAATGACTTTCCCTTCGTATAATATAAGAATTAGCATACAGGGAATATTTCAATTGTATATCATTAATGCGTTGGTTAAAATATGTATTGATCATTCAAAGAGATTCAATGTTAGATGTTCGTTAAAATATTTATCAATACGATCATGGAAAATTTTCTCGTTAGAAAATTTTTTCATAAAAAATAAGAAATATATTCGAACAAAGGGTAAACATAATCTCAAAAACAAATATGAACCAGAACAATTGGAATTCGTTATTGGTAGAAGACTATATCTGTACATGACGTAAACGAAATGAGAGAACTATTGTTTTATAATAGAATAACGTTACAATACGATGGATTATTTATAGTAATGCAACGTAAATGTTTAGTATATATATATATATATATATATATATATATACTATATGTAAATCATATAAAAATTCGTTGTTTATTTACATATTCGGTAGAATAGAATGACAATATATACGAAATCACTACAGATTCTCATTATGCAATTTCGCTTTATTATATTCAATTGTATAGTATAAATAGTCGTGAAGTTCTCTTCTTGGAAACATACAAAATTGCTGTTTACCATTAACAGCGTCGACTAAAACATAAAATAATGAGAACAAGGACGGTTTATTCGGAAAGTAAATCTGTTCCACATTTTATTCCTTAACTCTGTCTGGTATTTAAAATTATAAAACATTATAAAGTAAATATTTATACGCTTTTCTATAAATATATATTGCAGAAGATTTACAAATAAAAATTCAGGTGTGAAAATCTCGTAACAATAAACTATGTTTACAATTTTATTGTTTACCCTTACTCTTACTATTTACCATTACTGTTTACAATTTTTTGTTTACATCTTATACGTTGAAGTTTATATCCAAAAATTCATATCACTCGTATTAAGTACAATCAATGATTTCATCTCATTAATAGAACTTTATTACAATGCATTGAATTTTTTTTTTTTACTTGCGATCATTAGAAATTAACTTTACAATAGCGCATAACGATAAGTAGTAATTTTTTTTTTTTTTACAAAATTCTCGTTACAGTGTTATCAAATTCTAAGAGACGCTTGTACCACTTTAAAAGGACAATTACAGCCAAATGGAAAATTCTTTATGCCAGTTTTCACATACGTGCTTAATCCAAAAGCTATAACAATGGGTCAACTTTATGGCGAGTATGACCTTGATACACATGAGTGGTATGTAATAAAAAGTATTTTTATAATCACATTATCTCGGTCTTTACTAAGTTGAATTTTAAACATCGACTTTTAGAACTTCTCTCTCTCTCTCTCTCTCTCTCTCTCTCTCTCTCTTTCTCATTCTCACTTTCAAATATAACTTATTATACCCATTATTCTATCGAGCTATTTAAACTATAATTCTGTATCGTAGGATATAAGTTGCGAACAATGTCGGAAATGTTTAACCGATAAAACGTATATTAGTATTACAATTAATCGTTTATATCTAGGGTAATTTTCAAATCAATTCGAATCGTATAATCGTTATCGTAACTAATTACTCGTATTAAATTATAAATATATCGGATAAGATTTATAAATTTTATAAATCAAAGATAAGCGATATATTTGTTTGAATACATATAATTAAATATATTAAATATATTAAATATCATTAAGATATATTACATTTTTTTTCTCATACATAAACTTTCTTAGTAACAAGCCAGATTATTACTAGAAAAACCTTGTTATCAGAAGAAGGTATTGTTAAAGGCGAAATATATCGAGCTTGAAATGCGAATGTAAACGATCGATAACGTAAGGTTGCGATAACGCTTTCCCTGACAGTCGACCATTCATTTATTTTATTCAGTCCCTCGCATATTCGAACGATTTGTTTCAGAAGTACACTCAATATGCCGAATCTTTCTCGCAAGGGGCATAAATTTTTGGCAACAAATATCCCTGTAAAAAATAAATCACTCGTGTCACGTATCACCATATATATATATATATATGGAATATAATTTAAATGTTTTTGTTTAGAATTTCTATTAAATAAAAAAAAGAAAAAAAACTAAAAAAATAAAAAAATAAAAGAACAGAAAGAAAAAGAAACGAAACACGTAGTACCTTTAATGTTGGGGAATTAAAGAACATTTTTTTTTTATAATCTCTTTTAAATAAATAAATAAGTTAAAAATAAATAAATAAATAAAAAAAGGGAAGCTCGCAATAAGTTTCACGAGTTTTATTATGTTTTCGTATCTCTTCTTTAGGACCGATGGAATTTTGTCGACTTTAATCCGTACAGGAACCGAAGCGACGGACGAAAATAAACGTTGGTACGTCTTTGACGGACCAGTTGATGCAGTTTGGATAGAAAACATGAATACTGTATTAGACGACAATAAGAAACTTTGTTTGACTTCTGGAGAAATTATGAAGTTACAACCAACGCAGACAATGATATTCGAAGTTGCTGATCTTAGAGTCGCTTCTCCGGCTACCGTATCAAGGTATATGATCATTCTTAAATATTATTTTAATGGATAATCGTTATATAACGAAATATTATATCTATAAAATTATGTTATATCCAACAATAAAAGTGCACGATTTAAAGTTCACGCTTGTATCGAATTACGAGTAAACAACAATGAAACGTACATCAATCATCGCGTATACTGTAAGATTTTTTTTTTTTTAACGAACAGAAGAGAAGATTTATGGTAAAGCATTAAACAAAATGGATGATAAATTTAACTGGTTATTAAAGTGATAGGTGAAAGTTGATAATTGATAACATTTTTTTTCAAGCGTAGGTGTGGTATGGTATACATGGAACCGGCGGGTCTTGGATTAAAGCCTTTTGTTAATTGCTGGATCAAGTCTTTACCGACGGTAATTCTCTTTTCTTCTCTTTTTTTTTTTGCACTTTCACTTAATATGTATATATATATATATATTTTTTTTTTCTTTTTGTAAAAACTTGAAAGAGAGTATCAATAAAAGTATGTTTTTTTATCGCACAATAGAAGATGCAAGATAACGTGGAAACAATAAAAAAATTGACAAATGAATTATTATTCCCTGGTATAAAAATTCTACGCGAACAACTAAAAGAAATCGTAAGCACTGTGGATTCAGCAATAATTCAGTCTTACATAAATCTCATGAACTATAGAATTGGTCCTATGGCTGGTAGAGAAGGCAAACCACCGCCGCCTTTGGTTTTTCAAAAAACAATACGTAAGCCAGTATTTAAATAATAAAAAGACAATAATCTGTTATGAAAAAAAATAAATAAATAAATAAATAAAATAAATAAATAAATAAATTTTGAAATTGATCTTACAAGGGTTTCCTCTTTTCTTACGATAGCTGATTTATTATCTCCATGGACAGCTTTTGCTACAGTTTGGAGTTTAGGTGCTACTTGCAGTTACGATGGTCGTTATATATTTAGTACGTGGCTTCGAGATGTACAAAATAATTTTCAACACAAAATGCCATTCCCTGAAGACGGTTTGGTATATGATTATAGGTCCTGTAAATATTGATATCTTGTAAATACATAGAATCATGAAATTTTTAACTATTTATCGTGTAGTATTTATTTTTAAATGAATTACGTAAATTTTTTGAAAAAAAAAAATCATATCTTTTTGATCGAATTGGATTTATATATTTTAGATTACACGATGGTGGTTTCACTGATCCGATCGAAGGACAAGATCCAATTCCACCGCAATGGATTAAATGGTCAGACGATATTCCGATCATTAACATAACTTCAGAAACTAAATATGCTGGTAATTAATTAAATATAAATTTTTTAATCATTTTCACATAATTTTAAGACTTAAACGTTGATATTATCGTCGTTATAAAACTGTAATATATCTTAATTGAATAATTACAATATTCTTTTTAGACATTGAAATTCCCACGATGGATAATATTCGACATGCGACTTTGATCGAATATTTATTTATAAACAACAATAATGTATTGTGCATTGGACCAACTGGAAGTGGAAAGACTATGACGATTTCAACGAAATTATCTAGAAATATGCCAAAAAAATTTATTTGTGATTTTATAATATTTTCTGCAAGAACTACTGCTAATCAAACTCAAGTAGAGAAATACTTCTTATTTATTGAGATTATTATTTTAATATAATAATTATTCTATTGGAATTATATATTTTTTCTAGGATCTGATTGATGGAAAATTAGATAAAAGACGTAGAGATGTATATGGTCCACCATTATTAAAGAAACAAATATTTTTCATTGATGACTTCAATATGCCAGCTCTAGAAACATTTGGAGCTCAACCACCTATTGAATTAATTCGACAATTTATGGATTTCAGCGGTGAGATTTATTAAATAATATAAGAAATCAAATTCATGATAATAAAAAATATTATAGCTTTTCGTGTTTTTTATTGGATTTTTATTTTATATATTATAATAAATATCATTCATCATTATACTCTATTAAATAATATCAAGCGACTAAAACGTAAAACTTAAAATTATATTAAAACTTTATAATTTTTAAATATCATATCTTATATCGAAACTTTTATAAAATTAAAATACTTCAATTTTGTATCTATTACAATTAAAAATTTTAAGAAATTGATAAGATCAAATTCTATATTAATTGCATAATATATAATACATGCATAATTTTACTGTAACCTTATAAAGTAACCTCCAGTAGTCTTTCGAAGCAGAATGATTTATGTCCAATTACTTTCTCGAGATTGTGAGTTGTCGATACGATTATATAAGTATAGGAAAAATGCAATATTCTGCCTTCTAGGATAAACAAACTGAGTATGTGTGAAAGATAAATGACCACAATTTTTTCAGGATGGTACGACAGAAAGGAAATCGGTAGCTTTAGACTGATCGAAGACGTAAATTTTATTGGTGCCATGGGACCACCTGGAGGTGGAAGAAACCCAGTAACCCCTCGACTCTTACGACATTTCCATTTCATTGCATTTCCAGAAATGGAGGACAGTGCCAAGGTAAATTTCCTATTACATGTATTGATGAATGGGTTATAAATTACGTGAAAAATACTTTTTAAATAGGATTAATATCTTACGATATTATTTATTAAACGATTCTGATTATATTAATATAAAATTAAACGAAAAATTTAATAGTTTAGAGAATACCATGAGTTTTTTTCCGTCCAATGGAGTTTTATTCCGTTCCACCAAATTATCATCCACACCCATACGACATAATTGCAGATCATGCAAGATTTGACCAACGTTAAAGAAACTGTTCACTAGTTCTTAACCATAGTATTCTTCGTACTCATTATAATTAGTCCTCATAAATTGTGCTCTCTATGGTCATAATTTATCTTAATCACTTGGTTGGTCAATAGTAGATCTTATGATTATTTTGCCACCCCTCTATAACTATAATGGATTTCTCCGTATACGTATACGTTTGAGCGAGGTCACCATAGCATATATTTATTTAAGGTTCCTTAAAGAAATAATATTAATAATACTTTTAATCAATAATTATTTAAAGAAAAATTTTTAATATTTATATTTATTAGTATAAATGACAAACAAATCTTTTTAAAAAGTTTAATTAATTTTTTTGCAAAGTATACGTCAAATAACTTTAATATTTTGCTTTGATTATTAACAATATTGCTTTGATGAGAATGGCTTGGATTGCAAAGGATTTTATGTTACGAGAGTCATAAACTAGAGAAGGGGTACTTTTACTTAGCGAGATAATTTAAATGTATTCAAGATTATCCCACGTTGAAGGGAAGGATTTGTCCGGTGATTCAATCCATACTGCACACTTTTCATCCCCTTACATTGTCTTGTATAAGTAATGAATTTTAAAACTTTTATTTAACATTGTACTTTTCGTTTCTTCCTTAGGCGAGCATCTTTGGGATTATTTTAAATTCTTGGCTCTCGAAAACACCAACTTATATAGTTTTATTAAAGCCGATAGTAAATATTACACTTAATGTATTTGCCACAATATGCAGGGAACTATTGCCAACACCTGACAAATCTCATTACACTTACAACCTTCGAGATCTTAGTAAAGTATTTCAAGGTATTCTCATGGCAGATCCAACGAAAATTAATGTAAATAATTTAATCTGTAAAGAAACAAAATTTGATTACAATAATTCTTAAATTTTTATTGATCTTTATTGTAGAGTTATGAACATTTATTTTTATTGTGGTATCATGAAAACACGCGTGTATTTAGCGATCGTTTGATCAATCAAGATGATAGAAATTGGTTCAGCAAACTTTTAAATGATACTTTAAAGGAACAATTCGATTACGATATAACCGATCTTACAAAAGATAAAGTTTTATTTTATAGTGATTTTTGTGGTGTTTCTGGAAAATACGAACGAATTACCAACTTTCGAAAGGTAATTATTAAAAGAAAGAAAGGAAAAGAAAAGAAATGGAAAAGAAAACTTACGTCTACAATATATTTTATAAATTTCTTATTATAGATAGAACACGTTCTTCTCGAATTTTTAGAAGATTATAACAACATAACAACTGCTCCAATGAAATTAGTATTATTTCAAGATGCTGTAGATCATATTTGTAGAATTATACGTATCCTTCGACAACCTCGAGGAAATGGACTTTTATTAGGAATGGGTGGATCAGGTATTAAGATAGAAATTACTAATATTAGGTTGGAAACTATAAAACAGACGTTTTTGTTTAGTTATTTATTCTCATTCAATGCCCGTTTCATAGTTTCCAACCTAATATATAAGTATTATGTTGGAAACCATGAAACGGGCGTTTTTGTTTAGTTATTTATTCTCATTCAATGCCCGTTTCATAGTTTCCAACCTAATATATAAGTATTATGTTGGAAACCATGAAACGGGCGTTTTTGTTTAATTATTTATTTTCATTCAACGCCCGTTTCATAGTTTCCAATCTAATACTTATAAAAATCAAAGATTACATGGATTTTATGATTATATCTTTATTATGCAGGTCGACAAAGTTTAACGAAGCTTTCTTGTCATATACGAGAGTATAATTACTTTCAGATAGAACTCAGTAAAGCTTATTCAAATCATGATTGGCGTGATGATATAAAAAATATGATGTTAAAATCAGGTTTAGAAAATCAAATAATGGTTTTCTTATTTTCGGATACTCAGGTAATGTCTTTATCGATCTAACGGAGAAAAAATAATGTATCATTTTTTACTTCATCATATTTCATGGGTTGCAGATAAAAGGTGACTACATGTTGGAAGATTTAAACAATATATTAAACAATGGCGACGTACCAAATATATATAGTTCCGAGGAAATAGAAAAAATATTTCAAGCGATGCGTGGCCCGGTTCAAGAGGCTGGATTACAAATCAATAGAAGTAATCTCTTTTCGACGTATCTGAAAGTGATCAGAAACAATTTGCATACTATGATTACGATGAGGTATGTATTTTTTTTTTTTTTTTTCTAAAGTAAAAAAAATATCATTAAACATCATCGAATAACTTTATCGTTCATTTTTAAAGACTTCGAAAGAAAGTATATTTTTTTGCTTAACGATCATTATATGGACATATAAGTTTCCTTGCTATAGATAGATAAAGTTGAATACGATATAATGTGACCTACAAGTATGAATGAGAAACGATACAAAAATTGAATAGAGATAGTTTGATTAGAACGCATATTGATTTTCTCGAGTATATGTTCACCCTCGAATTAGTTCGCTTTACTCTTTAATATATCTACGCATGTATTTGCGGAAGTATTTGCCTTGTAGTATACTCCTTTTATTTGTACGATTAGGTCGTTTTATAGCTTGACCATAGGACCAGAGAAATTTTTTACTTGTTATTACTCATCGTTCGTAATAACGAATACGTTTATTATTCCCGATATTTTCTATTACTTGGAAAAAAGGAAAAAGATGAATATTTACATTACTTTTTATTTTTCGGTTAATTAATTCTATCATGCTCATTTGATAACTTGTAGCCCCATCGGTGAGTTATTCCGGGCTCGCATTAGGCAATTTCCTGCTCTCGTGAATTGCTGTACGATCGATTGGTTTTTTCCGTGGCCGGATGCCGCTCTACAGGTTTGTATTGCTCCTTCCGTGTTATCCTAATATGAATCAAAATTATGATAGTTAATTCATACAAAATAAGTAAGATGTAACCCATGTTACCAAAAAGTATCGGGTATTATCTTGACATAACAAATTCATAATAAATGAGAAGCATTGTGTTTATCGTTCTTTTTACTGATGGGTCCCTTTTAAGTATATATTCAGTCATAATAATCCTTACAAATTTATTTACCCAAAGTTAAATTGGTCTGACTAATTTTTATTACAATAAGTGTAAAAAATATTCGTATACAGATTATTGTCAACTAAGATTTTTCATAATTTTATTTAATAATGAATATTTAATGAGATTGACAACATAAATTTATATATATATATATTTTTTAACAGTCAGATATCTACAGAATAAATAATTAAAAAATGGTAGGAAATGTACAAATTTTTAGTAAGCCTAAATCGCAACGTATGATTCGATTGCATCATATTTCATCAAAAAAAAAAAATAATAATAAAAACCATATTTGTTGATGAATGAGAAAAAGATTTCGAGTAATATAACCATTAATTTGATGAAAATATAAATACCATCAGGCTTAAAGTTATTGTAAAATTAAAGAAAAAGTCAACGAAAGATTTATTATCAAAGACATTAATTTTGTTAATTAATTTTTGTTGATATACTGTTGTAACGCAATTTCATCTCTTTGATATATCAAATGTCTTGGGGATTACTGAGAAGATTGGCACTTTATTTTACAACTTTATTTTGTTCAAAAAGTTTGTAAGATATTTTATGTAACATATGGAAGATTAAAAGTATACTTCGAAATAAAAGTAAAACCTAATGTCAAATGTATGGCAATAAATTCTTCTGTTTCTTTTATTTATCCCAAAAGTTACGAAAGATATATTAAATGAGTATATTGATTTTTGTTAAATTTCTTTGGCAGTCTATCCGTTAAAATCAAGGTCAATTAATTGTTTTACATTTACGATTTATTATTTACGCTTAGAAAGAGTTCTTAAATATTTTCTTTCATTTCTTTTTTTTTTTTTTTTTTTTTTTTTTTTTTAAATCTATTCTACAGATGTCTAAGTATATGCGTAGATATTAAATCTCATAAATATTCACAAATAAATAAAATTATAAAGTTTTAATTGAAATTAATTATTGTACGAATATATCCATTGCAAATGCGTGATTCGAAATTTCGCAAAAGGCTTACAAACCTCAAGAATGAGTTAATCTTTCAACGAATATCGAGCAATTTTTTTTAAGTGTATAAGTCTCGATACGAAGAGAATACTAATTCGTACGTGATAGAAAGTTCGGTTCTGAATGATTTATGTCGGAGTTTTTTTTAGGATTATATAAATTGCTCTTTAGACATATAAAAAAAAAAAAGAAAAAAAAAAGAAAAAAAAGAACGATCTTACGAACTGAAAGAAAAAGTAGCATAAAATGAATTTTCAGTAAGACTGGTATTACTTACGCATATACATTATGAAAACTTTTTTATACTTCACTGGAAAGTCTTGTATATAATCAAATTTTAATACATACACACAGACATACACACAGGCATACACACACACACACACATATATACACTTAATGATGGTTTAAAATAATAGAAATATTTATACAATTCTTTCATGTTTATTAAAATGTTAATGAGAAAAGTTCGAAATAAAGATCGTCGTGTCGTTTTAATATTTCCATCTTAATAAATATTCGATAACTCTCTTTCACTTTAGGCTGTTGCAATGTATTTCCTTGCGGATATTAAAGATGAATCCATTAATGAAACTGTCCTAAAGTCAATTGTAAAGACTTGTCAATTTATGCATTCTAGCGTGATAAAAGCGAGTGATCGTTTTTTGATGGTAAGTTTTAAAAATATAAAATAAAATTGTATCATACAAGGTGTGACATTTAAATAGGAACGCCTACAGTGTATCTTATGTTATTTATTATTAAGGGAGATATGTCAATAGGAAAAAATTAATCAGATCGATAAATTTTTTTTATCGTTGTACTTTTTTCTTTCTTTTTTTTCTATTCAAAAGCAAAATTCAATTTATTTGTAATAAATAACTCATCGTGTATCTGTTTTATAAGAAAATTAAAATATTCAAATGTTCCTATTAAAATTCTCGGCTCAGTATTATCTCTCAATTTTTTTCAATTAAATAGATTCATTCAATTTAATAGATCGTTTTGTAAATCATGAAATATTTTGTCTCAGGAATTGAATCGACATAATTATGTAACGCCTACCTCTTATTTACAATTACTATCCGGTTACGGTGGTCTCTTATCTAAAAAGAAACAGGACTTACATTCTGGAATGACTCGCCTATCAACGGGTAAGCAATCAAAAGTAATTGTTTTTTTTTTTCTTTTTTGTTTTCTTTTTTCTACAGTTTTATTATGTACCAACTATTTGTGAGTAATGGCAGGACACAAATAGTACGTTGAAAAAAATTGTTTTGATTATATCAGAAGCGGATAATGATGCAACGTTCGCTAAGGATAAACAACGTGGCGACGAATTATATGAGCGTAATTTAACTTTGAAAATATTTGATCATTTGTCTGATACACAAAATGTATCATTTTAATTTTTTTTTTGTCCAAGGTATATCCTTAAAAAATTCTCTTAGACAGGGATATATCTTTTAATCCGTTTGCAATATTTTTTATGACTATGCGAATTGTTTTCACGACAAAATATCTTGCTTAATTAACTTGCTAATGAAACATTACTAATTAAAATGAAAACACGAAGTTATTCCGTGGCATGAATATACTCCAACGTTAACTTATTTATTTGGTAATTAAATTTGGAAATAAACGCAATAAGTACTTACACATGGTTTATATACATTAAATGAGTATATGTTCGATTAAAATAAATAAATTTTAATTGAGGATATAAAATAAAATTTTAATTGAGGATAAATTCTAAAATAATATTATATTTAATAATTTTGCGTTATAATTGTTAGAAATATTGCTTAAAATTTATTGATAAACGTGTACGCTTTTCTTACGACGAATCAATTTAAAACGGATCATTTTATGTTTAAAGATTTATGAACTTAATTAATCGCATCTCGAAAAGGGTCATAGGTGAAAGACCGGTAACAATGATTAAATAATCCAGAAATTAAATATACCCCGTCTGATGGCTGCTGGAAACACGTTCTAAGTTTGTCCTATCGATTTCGGTTACGATGGAGACGGTAGAAATAGTTATACAAAATTTATTCGAATGAGCTATACGAATACAGACATATATATATACATAGAAAAATCTAAGATTCAAAATTGTAATATTTAACGTTGTCTCATATACGAAAGACATAAAGATGAATTACTAATTAAAGTCGTAAATAAATTTATTTTTTAAAATCTCGACACAGTCTGTTCCATTACATCTCAAAGTTCTCAAGTTTTATTTTAACTTTTTGAAAAAACTTGAGAAATAATTGTAAGACTTATCATAAATCTTAAACAAGTTAATACAGTTAAATTTTATTTAAAAATATTTCGTTGGAACATTAGTGTATCTCGAATAACTTAGTACTCGAATTATGAAATAAGTTACAAAATGTAATTGAACAATGAAAAACAGAGAATCAATTTCTCGTTTATTTTCCCCTTTAAGAGATAAGCTCGTATCAATTTGTATATATTAGCATAACGTTATTCTAAATAGACGTTACCTTTATGGATAGGCTTAAATAAGCTTATAAGCACGGAGGCAGAAGTAAAGGAGATGCAAGGTATTCTCAAGGCAATGAAACCTGATCTGGAACAAGCAGCAGTGGCAACTGCAAAGATGATTGTACAAATTACAAAAGATACTGTGAGTATTCAATAATACAAATAATTATTCATTTATGTTTTCTCACTTTTTTTTTTCTCTTTTCTTTCTGTCATTTCATCGTTTTATCTTCGATGAAATCTAATCTATATAATTGTCGTGTGAATTATGAAAGGCTTTATTGTAAAAAAAAAAAAAAAAAAAAAAAAAAAAGAAAAAAAAAAGAAAAAAAAAAGAAAAAGAAGAAGAAAACACAAATTTCTTTTAGGCTGAGGCTGAGCAAACAAAAGCAGAGGCGATGAAACAGGAGGAGGTTGCTACGAAATTAAAAAACGAGAACCAATTGATCAGAGATGAAGCTGAAACTGACTTAAGTACGTGATTTTTAATGTGAAATCTATCGTAGAATACATTACTATTGAAATATTTCTCTGGAAACGGGTTAAGGACATTTTAATCGATTTTTATTCTACGTAGGTGAAGCCAAACCAATGCTTGATGCTGCTGAAGCAAGCTTAAAAGCATTGAACAAGGGTGATATTACTGAGGTGAAAGCTATGAAAAGACCACCAGTTGGAGTACTTCTCGTTATCGAAGCTATGTGTATCGTGAATAACGTGAAACCTAATAGGGTTAATTTTATATAATAATTAAATTTTTAATAATATAATAGAATTATAATTGATATATAATCCTTTTATAATTTCTTGATTATAGTTACCAGGTAAACAACCTGGTGAAAAGATATTAGATTATTGGACACCCGGTAGTCAAATGCTGGCAGATGCTGGACATTTTTTAAATATGATGGTAAATTTCAATAAAGAAAACATAACCGAAGAGATGATTAATAAACTGAAGCATTATATTGAGGATCCAAATTTTCAACCTTCAAAGGTATAATTTAATAAATATATATATATATATATATATATATATATATATATATATATATACATACATGTGTACTTATACACACACGCACACACGTTAAAGTTTTCTTTTTTATATCGATATAATGATATATATATATATATATATATATATATATATATATATATGCGTTAAATAATAATAACTATTATTTTAAAGATTCTTCAAGTTTCTAAAGCCTGTCACTCACTTTGTCTCTGGATACACGCTATGTATAACTATTACTTTGTGAATCTAAAAGTTAAGCCTAAAATGGAGACATTAGCAAAGGCCGAAGAAGTATTGGCAGAAACGGAGAAAGCTTTGGTTGCTGCTATGAATAGATTGCAGGAAGTAGAGAGAAGAGTACAAAATCTTAAAGATACCTTGCAAGATAAGGAAAATAAAAAAGCAGAATTAGAGAGGCAAAAGCAGCTTTGTGAGGAAAGAATGGCAAGGGCGGTTAAACTTGTTAGTGGGCTTGCGGAAGAACAAATACGATGGACGTTAACTCTCTCTGAAATGAAAATATCGTTAAAAAATGTCGTAGGAGATATTTTATTATCCTCTGGTATTTTATATTATCTTTTACTATTTTTTATTTTAACGTTATATATCATATCTGATATTACTGATCTTTGATTTGTAATTAAGATCTAACTTATAAATCTTATTCTCAATGTTTTACGATGATTAGGTGCGATAGCATATCTGACACCCTTTACCGATGTTTATCGGAAAACTCTTTTGACATCTTGGTATGAAGTTATAGGCGAGGGAGTACCTCATACACCGAATTGCACACCCATATCGACGTTAGGTGATCAAGTACTGATTAGAAGATGGCAATTGGACGGTTTACCAAGAGACCTTGTTTCTGTTGAAAACGCTGTACTGGTAGTGCATTCAGAACGATGGCCACTTTTTATCGATCCACAAGGACAAGCCAATAAATGGATTCGTAGAACGGTACGTTTTAATATTTTAATATTAACATTATATATTTTTAATTAATTTTAACGAAATTTTAATCGTCTAAATCGATATATATTAACATAGAAATTAATTCTTTTTTAATTTATTTTACAATAATTATAGTACAAAGATGTTGGTTTATCTATTACAAAAATGATGAGCAAGGATATTTTACATGTACTTGAAAGTTGTATTCGCTTTGGTAAACCGTGCTTGATAGAAAACGTTGGTGTCGAATTTGAATCCGTTTTAGATCCTATTCTTATGCGATCGTATTTCAAGCACGCTGGGCAAATAAGTATTAAAGTAGGTGATAACGTTGTTCCATATAATTCAGAGTTTCGTCTGTTTCTGACGACGAAATTACCAAATCCTCATTATATGCCGGAAGTATTAGTAAAGGTGTTGTTGGTAAATTTTGCATTAACCGCTAGGTAAACATGTTTACTAATTATTCCATTTGAATCGATATTAAATTCATCAATTAATATTTAATTCGTTTATATATGTAACAGCGGTCTTCTCGATCAAATGATGAGTTTAGTGACGATACAAGAACGTCCAGATCTCGAACAAATTCGAAATTCTCTTATAGTATCTAATGCGGAAATGAAGAAAGATTTGAAGGAGCTCGAAGATAGAATTCTATATAAGTTAACAACTTCCGAGGGTTCAACGGTTGACGATATTGATTTAATCCTGACGTTGGACGCTTCTAAAGCAAAGAGCGAAGAGATAAAGGTTATTTTCATTACATTTAATAGAGAAATTTTTTATATGTTCACTTTTTCAATGAATTAAACAAACAAAAAATCGTATTCATAATTCAGACGAAAGTTAAAGCAGCGGAAGAAACTCAATTGGATATAGAATCTACGAGATCATTATATATTCCTGTTGCGGATAGAGCACAAATATTATTTTTTTGCCTTTATGATTTACAATATATAGATACGATGTATCAATATTCTTTAGAATGGTTTATCTCAATATTTAATAACAGTATACTTTCTGTCGAGAAAACTAGTTAGTAAACAATCTTATAGTAATAATTAATAGAGATTTATACGTTCAAATATTTATTATTCGTATTTGCAGGTAACCTTGACGAACGAATAGCTAACATTCTGAAACGTTTTACTTTTGACTTGTTTTGTAACGTTTGTCGAAGCCTATTCGAAAAACACAAATTGCACTTCGCATTCCTTGTTTGCGCTCGCATTCGTATTAATGCAAAATTAATAGATTCCGTTGAATGGAGACATTTCTTATCTGAAGTTATCCCTATTTTGGTAAAAATTGTGATATTTTTTTAAGGTCCATTTATAAACAACCGTGGGAGTTTCATATTCGAATATTTATATACAATTAAAGACTGTCCAGGTATTATTGATATCTAAAAATTGATGCGAATAAAAATTAATAGGATTACATGGACAAGATACGTTCATATATGTTTATTCGAATTCATGTTGCGGCCATGTCTCTCCATGGTCAAACCTGAAAACAAAAAAAAATAACATTGGCTACTAACTAGTATTGAAGGACGCCTAAGCTATGAATGATAACGAACACGGTGCAGATAATGTATAATCTGTTACATATAAAATTATGATAATTCATTCAAATTTGGTGAACCACCGTGACACAGAATGGCCACGGCACAGTTGTATATAAATGGATCTTTATCATTTCATTATCATTTTATTTTTCTTTTATTGTCGCATTATATTTAAATCAGTATCATCATACGAAATCAATCATTTATTTTTGTTCTTATGAAATATCAAGTTAAATGATGGAATAACAGTTTTAAAGTAAAAATTTACTTTCATCCAACTATTACGATGCAAGTGAAAAACTTTTTTCCATTTGTCAGAATTTACCAAATCCAGATCCAAAATGGATATCTGCGCGATGCTGGAAAGAGATTCAGGCTTTAGAAATTCTTCCAAATTTCAAAGAATTTGTTATATCCTTTCAGCAATTATTGGTTCCATTCAAATATATATTTGATACTCAAGAAGCACATTTGTAAGAAAAGATACTTATATAAAACATTAGTTCGTTATATTGATGATTTGATAATATTTATTAAGTTGTCTTATGGTTAAAACAAAACAAAAAAAAACTACATTTAAGTATGTTATATTATATTAAGAATTGCATTCCCTGAACCTTGGCAAACAAAACTGGATGATTTTGAAAAAATGTTAGTCCTGAAGTGTCTTCGTCCTGATAAAATTATCAATGCTATACAAATGTACTTGAGTAAATATTTGGGTAAAGAATTCGTGGAACCACAAACAACGGAAATCAGTGCACTTTACAAGGAATCAACTCCAATTACACCTTTGGTATTTGTGCTATCTACTGGTACAGATCCAGCTGTTCAGTTATACACATTTGCGGAAAAGCAAAAGATGGATAAAAGATTATTTTCCATATCCCTTGGACAAGGGCAAGGTCCAAGAGCGGAAGCTATGTTAAAGCAGTCCGCAGAACTTGGAAATTGGGTATTTTTTCAGGTAAAAAGGAAATCATATTTCATTGCATAAGTTGAGTAATAGATATTAATCAGACCTATTTATAATTTGTAAATGTAAAATATTCTAAAGTAAATGATATGAACTTATTTTTATTTTTATATCTCTAGAATTGTTATTTTTATATCTATAGAATTTTATGTCTCTAGAATTGTCATTTAGCACCAAGCTGGATGCCGCAATTGGAAGCATTAGTTGAAATTTTAACAGAAAAGACGCATCGTGATTTTCGTTTATGGTTGACCTCAGCTCCGTCGCCAGATTTTCCTGTAAGCATTTTACAGAATGGTCACAAAATGACGATGGAACCTCCAAGAGGTGTAAAGGTAGGAATCGATAAATAGCAAATATTGTTATAAAGGATAATGTATTCATTGTATTCGTTTGTAATTTAGGCTAATTTGTTTCGAGCATATTTGACACAAGTCATCGAAATGAAAAATTTTCTTGAATCGGAGCATCCAAAAGTAGAACCGTTTAAATATCTTGTTTTTTCCTTATGCTTGTTTCATTCACTTTTATTAGAAAGACGTAAATTCGGTTCTCTTGGTTTTAACATACCATATGAATTTACAAGCGGAGATTTAGCTATTTGTTTGTCACAATTACATATGTTCCTCATGGAATATACAATTATACCATTTAAGGTATTTCTTTTCTTTCCTTTTTTTTTTTTATCAAATATTCAAATCGATTGATCAATAATAAATTTATTACATTTTTAATGAATCATTTAGGTTCTCATTTATACCGCTGGACACATCAATTATGGTGGACGAATAACGGACGATTGGGATCGCAGATGCGTTTTAACGATATTGGAGGATTATTATAAAGTCGAAGTAGTTTCAAGCTATTTTCGTTTCGATGATAAAGGGATTTATTATCAAGTATATTTATATATTTTTATACGACATATATATATATATATATATATATATATATATATATATATATATTTATTTATTCATTTTGTTATGAAGAATTTATCGTGAAAAAAATTTTAAAGAAATGAAAAAGATCAGATATATATATATATATATATATATATATAATTATTTATTCATTTTGTTATGAAGAATTTATCGTGAAAAAAATTTTAAAGAAATGAAAAAGATCAGATATATATATATATATATATATATATATATATTTATTTATTCATTTTGTTATGAAGAATTTATCGTGAAAAAAATTTTGAAGAAATGAAAAGATCAGATATATATATATATATATATATATATATATATATATATATATATTAAATACAATGAGAAATTCGTATATATAATGAAAAACATTTTTAATATATTTATATATATATACATAGTTACCGGCTGTCAGCACATTCAACGAATACATAGAATACATTACAACTCTTCCTCTCAATGACGATCCAATGCTTTTCGGAATGCATTCAAATGCAGATATAAGTTTTGCACAAGCTGAAGCATATATATGTCTCGAAACTCTATTTAATTTACAACCAAAAGAGATTAGTAGTATAGAAGTAAGCGTTGAAGATATCGCTACTCGTCAAGCGCAAGAAATGTTAAACACGTTACCCGAATCTTTTGATTTGATTGCTATACAAAAGAAGTATTGTTAAGAACATAAATGATAACTGTTAATTATATTTATTTGATTATTTATTCATGATAAAAAATTGTAATATTAGGTATCCTGTTCTATATCAAGAATCATTTAATACGGTATTACTGCAGGAAGCCAAAAGATACAATGGATTATTAAAAGTGATAAGATCATCTTTAGATGATCTATTGAAAGCATTAAAGGGTTCAGTTGTAATGTCTGAAATTTTGGAAACAATGAATAAAAATATTTCCAATAACAAGATACCAATAATTTGGCAAGATAAAGGTTATCCTTCTTTGAAGCCACTTGGTACGTATGATTAATTTTTTCATTGAATTTATAACTAGTTTTTTCTTTTTTTTTTTTCTTTTTTTTTTTTTTTTTTTTTAATCCGTATTATTTGAATTAGGAGCTTGGTTTCTTGATTTGAAAGAGCGCATCAAATTTATTAACGCATGGTACGACAATGGTATACCATCGGCTTTTTGGATTTCGGGATTTTATTTTCCACAAGCATTTTTAACGGCGACATTACAAAATTATGCGAGAAAATATGTTATTTCCATCGATACGATTGACTTTAATTATGTGGTAACAAATAAAAACAATGCCATTAGTTATTGACAAAATTATTCTTTTAATTATCTTTATCTAATGAAAAGAGAATAATGAAAAGTATAATTAATACATTGAAATGTTATTTTTAATATAAAAGGTATTATCTTCAAAGCCAATGCATAAACCAGAGGATGGTTGTGTAGTATACGGTTTGTTCCTTGAGGGTTGCCGATGGGGAGGAACCTATTTAGAAGAATCACATCCAAAGGAATTATATACAGGTAAATATAAAGCGTAATAGTTATACAGGATGTTTCAAAATAAGCATTTCTAATTTTCAAATGTGATAAATTTAATTAAACATCTTTTCGTAATAAAATAGTGTCCTCCGTATCGAAATAATACGATATTAAAGAAATGAGAATTTGTAATAAATTCAATGTTTTATTCAATTTACTTAGCTGAAAATTGTAATATTATTGAATATTCATTAAAGAAATGAATGTCATTAAGACGTCATTTCGTGGTTGTTTTAACGTCATATGATTGAACGATAAATTATTCGAAATATTTGCGGATGATTACGAAGATCATCAAAAGAAAGAATAATTCAATTAATTAACTCTTTTGTTATTTCTCTCTCTCCCTTTCTCTCTCTTTCTCTCTCTTTCTCTCTCATCAACGATTGTTTCAATGTAACTCCAGATATGAAAATCAATTGAACGTTTAGGTCAAGCATATTTTTTCGATCATGTTATCCCAATCCAACGATTTGGAAAAAGGTTCATTGAAATTTATTTAAATTAAAGGAAAAAAGAAAAGAAAGAAAAAAAAAAAAACTTAAAATAACAAAAAAATTTGTTAAATATATTAAATTTAAAAAGAATAATGACGATAAGTTCAATGAAATGTTTCAATTTGTATCTCGATATTGGAAAAACTCTTTTGACCAGTATTACGAAAAAATGTTTAACTATATCTCTTTCGTTATATTTGAAAAATATTCCGAAATATTTTTTATGTCAATTTTAATAAATCTTATTGAACTTAAATAATTTTTGTAGAGATGTCTCCTATACTTTTACTCCCAGAAATAAATCATGAAGTTTTCGAGGATAAGATTTATATATGTCCCGTATATAAGACGATTGCACGAGCTGGTACTTTAAGTACGACGGGACATTCGACAAATTTTGTTTTAGCCATGGAAATACCAAGCAAAAATCCACAAGCACATTGGATAAAACGAGGCGTAGCAATGATATGTGCGTTAAATTATTAGAAAAATTTTTCTATATAATTATGCATGTTTTTATTAATAATAAAAAAAAGAAAAAAAAATATTTCGATATGAACTTTCATTTATGATAAACACGAATGATAAGTATTTTTCTTTTTTTTTTTTTTTTCTTTTTTTGAATGTATTGTTAACGATATCAAGCATTACCATTTTTTGATAATATAGAATTCGATAATTCCGTTATCGATAACGTAGAGTCCATTTTTTCTATTTACATACGTCGATAAGATAAAATTAGACTTAAAATTATCAACCAAAGAAAGTTTAAACACATTACCGATCTCTTTACTTTTTACGTATTATTATTTTTCATAATTCGTTGATTTTTATTGATGCAACTAACGTCGATAAATATTTTTCAGAATATCATTTGAACGTAAATAAAATTTTCTTTTCCAACGTTATCTCACTATTGTAAAATATTGTCAGATCTATTTCAATCTCATTAATATAAATCTATTTTAAATGATTATATTATCATGAAAAATATTGGATATCATTTTAATTATATAATTATCTTTAATTAAAGAAGAAGAAGAAGAAAAAAGAAAGGAAAAGAAAAGAAAAGAAAAGAAAAAAAAAACCTAAAAGTATTCTAGATTTGTCAATGATATTTCTATAAGATAATAATTTATTTTGAACGCTATGGATATACGTTTAATGTCAAGTAAATATAGCAACATAAAGGTATATGCGCGCGCTTGGCTAGAAGGAAACTCAGACGAATCGGCATAGAATACTTCGAAAACCGTCTTTACAGACGCGTAAGATAATCAAACAGTAGTGATATTAGATCTGACGGTTTAGAACTCGTATATAAGAAGTGATGTTATCTCGTTCAAAGAGTCATTCCATCGTCCGTTACTCGAAGAAGCAACAAAGTGCCTTTTATTACGAAAGAATTCATCTCTAGTTTGAAGAAAAATTTATTAAACTACAAGACCGAAATCATGGCCAAGGATAATCTCACTGCCATACTTTACGGCATCAATGACATTCGTCTGGTAAGTAAAAACAATTTAATATCGTATTTTGGATACAAATACTTTTTACAATATTTATTTTCATAGAAAATTTTTTCGAATTTATATCGCTTTTATATTTATTAATTAATTTATATGAATCTCGTTATGTAATAAAAGAAATTATTATAATGTAATAATTAAAAAGAAATATTAATACGTGTTAAAGTTTTGAAATATTTTTCGTAATAAGAATCTTGAAATTCTATCATGAAAATAATTTCTATTATATTTTATTGATTAAAATAATATTTAAGGTGTTTAGCATTAAATAATCATCTCATTTCGAATTTATATAATGCGTGTTTGTGATATTGATATTTTTGATTTATTTAACAAAATATATTTTTATACGTTATCTCATAAAATACAGTAACAATATTTCATTGGATATGATTTTGATTGAAATAAAAAGAATGAAGATCCGAAAATAAATCCATTAAAAAAAAAAAAAAAAAAAAAAAAAAAAAAAAAAAAAAAAAAAAAGGAAAAAAAAATCAAAGAAAAAAAAAACAAAGAAAAAAACAATTATATCCTCTTTCATAGTTCGAAAAAAATTACGAGTGAAAAAAATATTTTTTTACATGTTTATTATAGCTGATGCAGAGTCGTAAAAATTTATTACTTAATTCTTATATATTACAAATTTCTTAATAAACATTCTTATAACTTTAATGAGCTACAAAATATTTGCTTAGGTATCAATAGACAGATATTCTCTATATATTATCTATTTGATTAATAAAAAAATATTTATATTATGTAATTGTATTTATTTAAAGTAGATGTTTAAATCAAACGATAAAATATATATATCTATTTGTTGAATTTATCCCTGACCCTTGCGACACACACATACTTACAGTCGATCGATAATTTCTATGACGTATGCAACTATCTCTATATTATCACTTCTTGAATATATCAATTGAATTAATATAAATAAAATCTCTGAGATTGATTAAAAAGAAGAAAATAAGAAATAAATTTTTTATTGTTTATTAACATGTAGATTATATTGAACTTGAATATTTATCTTATCGTATTGTTAGATAATAAAAATTTAATATTTTAGATGAAAATTTTTTCTCACGTATACATGATAAAACTAAATAAAAATACATTTAATAATAATAATAACAATAACAATAAAAATAATCTTTAATCGTGATATAATTTAAATACATTTACATGCATAAATGTGCTAACTATGTTTAATGACAAGCATTGCAAAAGAAGTAATGAGTCTAGTGCATCGACAGCCTTGAACCTTGAATAGAGTACTTGACGTTGCAGTTAAATAAATTATTGAATGCCATGTGCATATGGTTCTTAGTTGAGCTAATTAAGAAAGTTTTATTATTCTACGCGTTTAATGACTTCAATGTTAAAACGGAGTAATTAACTTATGTAATATTTAAACAAATACTTATTATCAGAATGAAAACACTCATGTATGTGATAACAAATAAGCAAGAAATGGTTTCAAATCAAAAGCTCACTCAAGATTGTTATATATTTTATAATAAAATAAAATATATATATATCTACACTTTACATGTATATGTTATATAATATATATAATAAAAAAAAAAATATATATATATATATATCTATCTATATACATCATATTTTATTCATAATAATTTGTAAATATTTTTTTATTTATTATAGGAACAAACGCCTATTGAGGAACCAGAAGCCAATGGTTAGTAAAAATGAAAAATCATGATTAGTGATAATTGTAATTAAGTTTCAATTTTGTTTTCAATTGTCATTATTATTTTTAGAAGTGTTAATAGAAATGAGTTGTGTTGGAATTTGTGGATCGGACGTTCATTATCTTGAAAAGGGTAGAATAGGTGATTTTATTTTACGTAAACCAATGATTATCGGTCATGAATCATCTGGAGTAATTGCTAAACTTGGAAAAAATGTGACGAATTTGAAGGTAAAAATACTTTCATTGAACTATTGAATTAAATAAGATTATTGTATAAATTATTGTTTCATTTGTTTTAAAAATAGGTCGGTGATCGTGTAGCCATTGAACCTGGTGTGCCTTGTAGATTATGTAGTTTCTGTAAAAACGGCCGTTATAATTTATGTAAAGATATGGTATTTTGTGCTACTCCTCCTGTACACGGCAGTTTAAGACGCTTTTACAAACACGCAGCTGATTTTTGTTTCAAGTAAGTCTTTTGAAATATATTATTAATCTATACATGCATATATAATTAGATTAATTATTAAAAGGTAAAGGACAGTAACGAGATTTTTTTTTTATTATTAAATATTAAGAGAAATACAAAATCTATTATTTTATATAAAAAGGAAACATTTAATTTATTTAACTGCGTATTTTGGCTTTGCATATAATATTGTTTCTTATTTTATATTATTTGCAATTTCATTGATATGATAAAAAACAGATGGATATAAAATGTGTATTTCGCTTATATCTTAATTACGTATTAAAACATTATAGATAATGATTTCTCAAATAAAATATTGTTTTATACGAAAATATTTTGACAAATTAATATTATAAATTTGCATTATATTTCTGAGCTTGAACTAGATGATAAATTAGTATTTGATATATTTGGTAACGCAGTTCGAACTCTTTTAACATTTATTTTACAATTATTCACATTACTGGCAAATCTTAAGGAATTCAATGTTTCGTTATAACATTCATCTAAAGGAGATATATTAAGCAACATAAGGGTTTTTGAATTACCTCCTAAAGATGGCATCAATAAATGTGTCAATTTTGAATTTCTATATGGCACATGTTCTTGCTTCTTTAAAAGTGCAAGAATAACGTTACCAAGATTAGCTAACGATTTATTAATATTCTTTGTTTCTGCGGTTCTAGCTGCTTCTTCGCCTTTTAATCTTTCAGAACCTGCTAAGTCAACTAAATTAAGATTTCCTATACAGATTTCTTCTTTTGTTTTATGTTCACCAATTAGTCGTATACGTGCTACTGAATGAGATCTAGATGATCTAAAAAATTACATTTCCCTTTAATATTTTAAAGAAATTAATAATTTGTAATCCAAATAATATTAAACATACCGTTCATTTGAATTAGTAGCTGCAACAGCTCTATTACGCTGCGCGGTCAATAAACATTCCTGTAATTCTTCAGCATTATGTATTTCTTCAACTTTGAGATTGCTCACATAAAGATCATGACCTCTATTATCTCTCATACGTATTTCATGAATTTTATTACATTGGGAGTCAAGAAGATCAACTATATGTTCATTATAAATCTCCAAGAAACTTGCTTCTATCCGGTATTCCCATCCAAGAAGTTCTAATTCTTTCATCTCTTTAAATATGTGTCGGACCTATAAGCATTATGACAATAAATAGAAATTTATTAAGATTAAAATTTATTAAGATAATTAACAAAGTTTAAATCAATCTTAAAAAAAAAAAAAATTAGTCGAGTATGTATTGTTTACCGTTCTGGGTATCATGCCTTCTGTATCAAATCCAGGCTCTCCTTCCATTGTGTATGTTTTACCAGAACCAGTTTGACCATACGCAAATACACAAACATTATATCCTTCAAGAGCAGATTGAACTAGAAGAGATAATTCTTCGAAAATATCAGCCTGTGATGCATTATGTGGAAATACTTTGTCAAAGGAGAATTCTTGCCGTAAATTTCTTACTTTTCCACTGCAACTAGCCATGTCTGAACCATCTGATTTTCCTATTTCTATAGTACATTCATCAACGAATTTTATAAAACATAATCTGTGAAAACATATAAAATATAATATATATATTTAAATAATAATGAATTAATAATAAAGATTTCATGAATATAAAGTAACTTACGATTTTGAAGATTCTTTTGGAGTTCGTGGACGTACACGACAAAATACTCTTATATTACCCTTCATTTCTTGTATAGTATTATGAAGGATTCTACGTTCTTTATCCATCTGATGGACAAGAGATTGTAATTCTTCTTTGTGAATAGTTAAATCTTTAATAAGATTTTCATCATGTTCCAATTTAGTTTTAACTCTTTCAGTTTCAATTGTTTGTTCTTGTAATTTTGCTTGTTGATCTGCAAATTGATCTTGGAGTTCTTTTAATTCTTTAGTTACATTCTTATATGCTTCTTCTGCCTTTGTCCAGCGTTTAACAAAGTCTTCCTTTTCATTTTGTATCTGCTTAAATTCATCCTTTGTCGTTTCAAGTTCTTCAGATAATGCTGCTTTTAAAGTTTCACATTCCTGTAATTTTAATTTGTACGTATTCCCATTATCTCTTAAGTCATCTATCATTTTTTGCAATTCTGCATTTTTGCTTGATATTTCTTTATAATTTCCACGCAATTTGATTAATTCGCCATTAACAATTGCAAAACGACCTTTATAATCCCATTTATTGACAGTAGTAGTAGCAGTAGTCTTATTGTTAGTATTATTTTCTGTAGGTCGATTTATACCATTTCTTGTATTCAATGCAGTTTTCAATGTTTTTCTTGGTGTTATAACCTTAACTTTTGGTTTCTTTGTATTAGCACTTGTCACAATTGTTCCTGGCCTTTTCATGGCTTTGATTGCCTCATTAGATCTTGTAATTGCAGCAATATTTTTTGTACGTGTAGTTTGAGGTAAAGATTCATTTTCATTATTAGATTTTCCATCATTATTTAACAGATTTTTATCTTTCTTTGTATCATCTGTAAGTTTTGCACTGCTCACTGCACGTGATAAGCCAGTTTGAGTTTTTGTCATGTTAGGATTTTTTTTTTTTAAATCTATATCTATCAAGGTTGTAGCTTTTTTATAGAAATGGTTAGGTTTTGGTAATCGAGATTCCATCTGTTAAGTGTAGAAGAAAACAAAAAACAAAAAAGAATATATATATATATTAATTTCTAATTATAAAAATTACATGTCCGTTCGCACGTTCTTTTATACAAAAATTATGTGCGTCTTTTTAAATTCATCACATAAATCATGCTTTAATAATAAATATAATGAAATATTACTAAATTTTATTCTTAAATATTACTATATTATCGTAATTTATTATTAATATATTTCAAATGCATCACACAAAACTTCTATAAAGTTCTCATCTAAAAGAGATCTAATGAATAGTCAAAAAGAAAAAAAAGAGAAAACAACAAAAAAAAAAAAACAATAAAACAATACAAAATAAGCAATGAATATTACGTTAAGTCGAATAAAGACTTTACGTTCTCTAATATTTCATATAAATGTAATCATTAAGAAATAATTCTAAATAATATAAAGCAAACCTTGTCCTTTACAACAGTCCTTCGTTGTAAAACGCTTTTTACAATTACTTTCAATTATATAAATCTATTAAACTTCCTCACAAATATACATTCCATTTGCTATTAAAGTATAAAATGTCTCAAATAACTGCTCTGAAACTACCAATATATATTGTATATCAAACTTTACAATGATAAACATGCAGACTATTTTATTATGTTATTTCTTCGTACCTGAAGAACGACGGTTAGACACACGCTTCTTATTTGAATCTGTGCCTTATCATGCAACGACCAATAAGAATACATGTAAACGATATAAGTATACTCATTGATAATATTTAAAAGAGATACGATATTTCATTTATTTTTGAGACGACAAGCTTTCGAGACGACATCTATCGAGAAATTCAATAAGTTATAAAAACATCGTAACAAGTATTGTTACGTACAATAATAAATATTAATTATTATTTATTTTATTAATATTCGGATTAATCAATAAAAAATTATTTCCTCGTTATTACCTTTTACAAGGATAAATAATGTAATAAAGTTTGTATGTAAATTGCGATCAATTATTTTGACACAAATGTGTCATAATTATGTATGTTAATAAATTCGGAATAATTTCGAACGCGCGCAATGTTTAAAAATCATTATGAAGATTGAACTAATAAAATATTAATGATAATTATTTGAAATTTATTATTGACAGTTTAAGTTTTTAGATTCATTTATTATATTGTTTAATAATTTGTATGATAGAAAAATTTGAATATTCTTATAATATGTTTCAATTTATTATATTTTATAGATTGCCAGATCATATAACATTAGAAGAAGGAGCTCTTATGGAGCCTTTATCGGTTGGTGTTCACGCTTGCAAACGTGCTGATGTAAGAATTGGTTCCAAAGTATTAATTTTAGGAGCTGGACCAATTGGTTTAGTAACATTATTAGTTGCTAAAGCTATGGGTGCTAGTAAAGTTATTATTACTGGTATGTTATTTGTCAGTAGTGAATTTTTATAAAAATTTTACTTTTAATTTTAATCTACTAAGACGTTTTGTATAAATCTTGTGTAAAATAAAATAAATATTATTTTTAGATATAAAGCAAGATAAATTAGATGTAGCTAAGAAACTTGGAGCTGATGAGACATATTTAATGGAACGTGAGGTTTCTGAAAATGAAAATGTAAAAAAAATTCATGAACTATTTGGTGATGATCCTGATAAGACAATTGATGCATCTGGTGCTCAGGCATCAATACGTTTAGCTATACTAGTGAGCATGATATTTATATTAAACAAAATTATTAAACAAAATCATACATTATAATAATTTCTTTCAGGTAACTAAATCAGGTGGTGTAATTGTTTTGGTTGGTTGTGGTTCTCCTGAAGTACAAATTCCTCTTATGAATGCATTAATAAGAGAAGTTGACATTAGAGGTGTTTTTAGATATGCTAATGAGTAAGTATTATCTATTAGAAAAATAATGTTTTAGTTTAACTTTATAATTATACATTTACATATTATATACATATTATGTGTATACATATTAATAAAATTAATTTTCAGCTATGGTGATGCGTTAGAACTGTTGTCTTCCAAAAAAATAGATGTGAAACCACTTATAACTCATAACTACAAAATAGAGGATACTGTTGCAGCATTTGCGCAAACAAAATCAGAAAGTGGTGTAATTAAAGTTATGATTCACTGCAAATAAGGAAATAATAGCTTAATTCAAAATTAAGCTAAAGTAAAATATTAAAGTAAAGTAAAGTAAGATATTAAAAAACAAAAAAAAAAAAAAAAAAAGAAAAAAGAAAAATAAATAAAAAAAAATAGAATATATGTTTTCATTTACATATTTTTACATGAAAAAATTACAGACTTGTAGTCTTAAAACTGAAAACAGATTTTATCTGATATGTATAATAATATTACAGATTTAAAGTATATATTTTATAAATAACTGCAAATATAGTTGTTGATTGATGATAAATTATAGAAATTGCGACTTATAAAAAATGTTTTTATATTTTTGACAATATACATTTGTTTGTACAAATATATGTTTTAAAATTTAATCTAAAATTATAACTTATAATATTACAAACGTAACAAACTCTTAATACATGAAAATCAGAAATTGAATATACTTATTGAAAATCAACACAAAAATATATATATTATTAAATTTTGATAATATATATATATCTATATATGTTATTGTAGTTTAAAATACGTATATATGATTTACAAAATGAGAACTGTGTTTCAGTTTTCATAACTTTTATTGTAAATTAATACTGTAGTTGAAATGAAAAAATTATATTATTGGTTAAATTAAAATAAAAATTGTTATTTTTTATTGGCTTATTGATTTTTATGTAATCCATATATGTATAATTATAACAATTTAAATAACAAAATTTTGTAACAAATTTTCTTAAAAATTTAGAAATTATTTATTCTTTTTATTTTAGATTGTAATTTTATAAAATTGTGTAAAACACAACTGTTCTTTTGCTCGCGAATAATATCAAAGAGAAAAATTAGATTTCAATATTTCTTTAGTAAAGTATCGATAATTTTTCGATATTATTTCATTAATCGAATTGCATTTGGCGCCATTGTTGATTTACGATGTCACTTCGAAATATCGTTCGAAAAACAGGTATTAATGTTTATGGATGTTTTCCTCAATGTTTCGGCGTAATAAATGCAGTTAAGTATATTTTTTCTATTTTTATCGAAAAACTACATTATTATATTATATTTTAAATATTAATTATATGAAGATTATTAACTTTATTATTCTTTATAAAATAATAAGGTTATATTGTAATAAAGTAATAAAATGTTTTGAACTATATTTGCATTGAATATTATTATATTAATTTTATTCAGTTGTTAGGCATGACTACGATGGCTTGTTCTAACTTTCCAAAGTCTCTCAATGAATTTGGATATGATTTTGATGCAGGTATGCTCAATGCTCATTGTTATATACCTATACATATATATATATATTTGTATGTACATATATGTATGTACATATATGTATATGTATTTTTGTATTTGTATAATATATATATTGTTTGTTCTATATATAAATCATATACATACATAATCAATACATAAAATATATATAAATGTTTGAAAGATATCAATTTGACATTAAACATTTTTATTTTAATAATAGATGGAAGATTAAAGAAATTAAATACAGAAACAGGTTTATTGATTAATGAAGGTTTTGAGTTTAATGTAAGCGAAAATCCACAATACAACCAAAAACGTTATGAAGCATTAGGTGAAGTAAGTTGTATTGATTTAATGATGCTTATATATTAATAATCATTGTATATATATATATATATATATATATATATATATATATATATATCATTACTTTACAATGTATATAATCCTTAAATTACAGGTTATTAATGAATATGTATATGATTTGTTGGAAAAAGAAGGTTTAAATAGATTGCCATTACCAAAACAAAGTTCTGTTACAATAGACAAAAGGTCTTTTATATTTGCATCAAATGATGCTTTAGAAAATGAAAAAATATTAATTTTGATTCATGGTAGTGGTGTTGTCAGAGCTGGACAATGGGCTAGACGTTTAATTATAAATGATAGCCTTTTTACTGGAACTCAAATACCATATATTAGAAAAGCTAAAGATTTGGGTTATGGATTGTTTGTATTAAATACCAATGATAACATCAGAATAATTAAAGGGAAACCAAATAAAATTAAGGTTTCTATTAAAGTTTATTTTAACAGAGTTATGTATTTTATATGAATAATATATTTTATAAGGAATATAAAAAATTTATGAACAGGGTAGTGGAGATCCACATGAACATTTGAAAACAGTATGGAATGACTATATTGGACCATCAAATTCCAAATATGTTGCTGTAGTAGCACACAGCTATGGTGGAGAGTGCATAGTTAAATTTGCAAGTTATTTGATATTATTATTTTATTATTTACATTTATAATTAAAATAAAATTTATTAATTCAATGATTATTATTTTCTATTTATAGGCAATGGATCATGCTGAGGAATTTAAACGAAAAGTTTTTGCAGTTGGGTTAACAGATTCTGTACATATTGTACCATCTAAAGGATTTGAACATGTAGTGAAGGTACGTTATCAACATTGTCAAATTGATAATCTATTATTACGATAATATAACGACTGAGACTGAATCAATAGAAGAAAATGGATGTAGGGAGATGATTTGACCATCTGCGGCTTGCCGATCGACAAAAGCTCCGCGTGGTTCTCTTTATTAGCGTTCTACGTTACCGAGTGGTACTTCAGCTTCTCTTTTCACTCGGTATGTGGTATATTTACTCATGGAGATTGCAATTGAATATTGTCTGTTGAGAAGAGCGGAAACATACTTAATCGATTTTATAGAAAAAAATTTAAGCGTATATAAAAAATATTTATAAAAATTTATTCTTAAATAGAAATTAAGATAAAACGTTCATTAAAATGGTAAATTAACTTCGCCAGATGATAGTATATTCATTCATATGAATGACATTTATTCAGTCATCGATTTGTAGATTTTGCAATGATAGTGAGACGCACAGTATGACTTCTTGTATTAGCTCTATAGAGTCCATAGCGTTTAAGTGGTATTGAATTGTACTTATATCCTCGGTCGGTGGTCGTACTTCGAAATCTATTTGATATCCTATTTTTTTTTTTTTTGTATTTCGACTATGACGAAAAAAGAAAAGGGGACCGATCATCTGTTATAAATGTACATATGTACATACGAACAACTCTTTGATCTACTATTGCCTAGAATGATCATAGAATGAAACGTATAAATATTAAAGTTTAATATTTTAATACATTTAAATCGATTTAAAAGTACATTTTAAATGGATTGATAGGAACAAGTTAAAAAAAATCTATTCTAAAAAAAGAAAAAAAAAAAACAAGGCAAATTATAATGGCATACGTTACTTCATATTTCTAATTTAAAAAAAAAAAAATATCTTTAACACCTGTTTATTTTGCAATTCGTTCCATTGCAAAATCAGTCCCATTCCATAGTGTACATAGTAAACTGGTAAGAGAATGGTAGAGCGACCATCGCATTATCAGAGACGTCAAATAATCAATTAGAGTGCCGGTGCAAACAGAAGTACCAACCGTGGTTTGTACCAATGCGTTCTCTCTCTCTCTCTCTCTCTCTCTCTCTCTCTCTCTCTCTCTCTCTCTCTCTCTCTCTCTCTCTCTCTCTCTCTCTCTCTCTTTTTCTATCCACAACTTCGGTACTTCGAGCAAATATAATCGACGACATTTCCCCCGAGGATGCGGTCTAACTCGATTCAACTTAACTTAGGCTCAACTTGGTTCGATTAGTTGCTGGGATTCGAGGACTTCGCGAAGCACAGGTAAAGAGAATCGATGGCACGTTCTCGTGCTTACTACGACGATCGTTTTACTTAAAAGGAACGTAGAATGTCCTTTATTACGGTAATAATCACGATGGTTATTTGCACGATGTTAATCAAACAAGCAAGCATATCGATATATATATATATATATATACGTTTATCAGGTGTACGGATAATGTGATAGCTTCATGTTCGAGTGATCGACTGTGTTTACGTAACGCTAGCCGCTTTTGAGTAAACAGTAAATGGAATTGATTCGGTCGGACGACAATCGAGGATAGTTCCCTAAAGCGTTCCTCGTCTGGATGAGCCGCGTATATTCGATTTCATGTTGCGGTTTCCTTCTCGATAGCACGTGCCGTAGTTTCTTGCGAGTAAGGATATACCAATGAAATAAAAAGAACATATTATCGTATTTTCGTTACGGAAACGTCATCTTCTAGTTTCGTTTTTGCGGTTGCAGATGGTCAGAAATCGAATGTTTCTTTGGAAGCCTTAAAAAACGAAAGTGCGTTGTAACTTCCGACGATATTCTATATCCTTTTTTACGATCGAGTAATGTTAGGTGGGATTTTATTTCTTCTTCTTTTTCTTTCTTTTTTTTTTCTTTTTTTCTTCTAATTTTTTTTCTTTTTACGTTTCTGTTTTCTCTTTCTTAAAATTTTATTTCGTTTCTTTGTAATTATAGATATCCAAAAACTGGGTATGTTCGGATAAGCCTTTGGATACATCAGTGCTTTGTCCGAGTGGAGATATAGAGCGAGTTTCTGCTGGTAAGATTTTTTTTCTTTTCTTTTTTTTTTTTTTTTAAATTTATTTTTGACAAAAGAACGACATTAATACACATATACCGATAATACTTTTGATTTATATAGGTCATACCGTTCATGAGATGTCATCATCTTCGTGCATCGATTCTCTCTTTCGTTTTATAGAAGATCGTTATAGAAATATACATGATATTACAAAGGCTTGAAAAAAGAGGACTTATTTTTTAGAGGCATAGTTATAAATTGTATTATTATTTATTATACTACGTCATTATTCTATTTTATTTCTATTAATATAGGTTTAATAAATTTTGTATTTTATTGATTAAAAATATCGACAATTATATACTATATATATATTATATATATTATATATATATATATATATGTATGTATGTATATTCATCCTAATTAATCTTAATCCTTTTTAGATCTTCAAGTAAAATCCAATGTTCATCGAAAATAGTTAGCTAGTAATCTAGATTAACTTAGCACAGATGCTCCTGATTATGTGGTAAGGTTACTTGGTTGATCTAATCTCTCGTAAGAGCAGCCCGTTTTCCAGAGACAAAAAGCAGAGCATCACGCGTCTCGGCTAATTGCATTACAGTAATTATATTATGTCTCTTAGTTCTCCTACTATACAATAAAGGCGCTTAATGCTACGTGGATATGATCATAGTCGTTTCTGATTACAAGTTTCAGTTTCTTGGATATAAATCGTTTAATTTCAAATTCTTTCATTTATTAATTTATTTATTTTTTTAATAAAGCCAATGTATATTCTTTTTATTTTCGATGACTTTGTCTTAATACGAATATATATTTATCGTAAAATAAATAATCATAGATAAAAACGTTTTCATTATTATGCTCTTCGTATTATTATTTTCTTCCAAATATATATGTATACATATATATATGTATATATATAAAACACTGGAGAAAGGAAAAATAAGGTATCCTTCGATAAGACAAAAGACAATACTTTTATCTATCGACAGTTTTTGATATCAATCGCAATATTATTTTTTATAAGAGAAGACATGAGTCATGTATATATATCATAAAACGTAATGTGCGAATAGAGAGGAGTATATCGGCGAAAGGAAAAGAAAAAGAAAAAGAAAAAAAAAAAAAGAGAAACAACAAGAGCGAGAAGTCAATATCGTAGAAAGCGATAGGACGTAACCCTCGGGCTAGGATGGTCCGATCTTCATGATCTTACGCTAAATTCAGATCGGATCTTTACGCCTCGACGTTTTCACCCTCTGCCGTGTGAGTTCGGCATACGATGCGTCCTCGTCTAATAATAAAGAACTGCGGTAAAAAAAAGAAGCTCCCCATTGGACGTTAATCGCCACGCTTTGCTGCTTGTCAGACACTTGATCGATGGGTTTGCGACATTATCGTGTGCTCTTTTTAGTACTGACTTCTGTCAGAGCGATCCCTCAAATAAAAAAAAAAAAAAAAAAAAAAAAAAAAAAGATCTCCAAAGGGTGATCAGTTGTCTCGAAATAAAACATTTATCGAGACGTTGCAGGATGGTGTATCTTTTAAGAATTTTTATGAATAACAAAAAATATATAAGAAGCATGATCATAGATCAGATTTATATTATTGGTATTAATGTCTTCGAAAAAAATATTTCAAATTGAGGAAAAGGTATTTAATTCTGTTGATTTTCAAAAATAATCTTAAATGACTGTATGAAAGTGACAAATATTCTCTACCTGCGTATGTGTACTCTAATACGTTACGAACGTACGTAGGGGTGGCCTGTGTGTTAGGGTGGAGAAGCGTAGCGATTATCTCGCGGGGTCGCGTGGGAGGTCACGTTGGATTGAGGTAGGTGAGGCGACCCACGACCTTCGACCAATCGCGATGCTAGCTAGAAAACGGGCTGCCAATGAGAATACTGCTTGGGATGACCTTCTGCGCGATACTCCTTACAGTTTATCAGAAAGAAGCCACCCCCTATCAAAGTTGAAAATAGAACGTCCTTTATTTCTTTCTTTCTTTCATTCTTTTTTGATTAATCCAAAAAGAATGATTGAAAAATTGAGATAGATGATCATTAATATCGTTCTATTTCTCATATTAACAATTCAAAAGGGAATAAATGTTCTTTTTTTATATATATATATATATATATATATATATATATATATATATATATTATGTGTTGTAATTAATACGAAAGGGATGTCGTGTATTTCAAAATATTATAAAACATATCCGTTTGTTTTTACAATATTTATAGGACATTGTTATCTGTAGATATATGACTCGCAAGAGATACTATAAAATAAATAAGATTTTTATATGCATACGTAAGCCAGTATGTCAGGCGCGTGTTTACAAACGTGAAAGAGAGAGAGAGAGAGAGAGAGAGCACGTGCACAGTGAAGAGGAAGAGGGAATAGCGTAGTACGTGGAAGGAAGGTGCATTAAAGCTATGGTGCGCACTGTAGATGATAGCGTGTCAGTTATCGAGCGGTGGTGGGTACAGTAATTACTTCCTTCGGGGTTGGAGACGTGCGCGCGCCCCACGAGGGTGGGGTCAGAGGTCACACAGCTAGTGGCAACCGACTCTGGACAGCCAATCACAGTTCCACGCACTTCCTGTCTTTTCTACGACGTGCGTGCACGCCTTCTTCCTTTCTGCGCGAATCTATTCCAAGCTACATCTTCGATCTTCAACGAGTTTCTATTTTTTTCGACATTACTTTTATTTTTTTACTTTTTTGTTTTTTTTTTTTGTTTTTTTTTTGTTTTTTTTTTTTTTTCATTAGAAATATCTTCATACGTTGTCAATTAGAAACAGTTGTGTCTTCGTTTACGATAAATAAGATATTCAATACTAGTAATGGTAATAATTGTCGTTATTTTTCTTTCCTTTTCTTTTTTTTTTCTTTTTTTTCTTCTTTTCTTTTCTTTTCTTTTCCTTGGTTTTTATTCCAGAAAAATTTCTATCAAAGGCATCGACAGGAAAATTAACATCGTTGCAATTTTTGCAATAGGCCAGCTCATCTTCGTGTTTCTCATAAGAAGGCTCAGTCGATTAGCTCTTTAATGTGTCTCGCGTTCCAAGATGGACAGGGACGTAGGTCGCTTTCTTGCTTTGGACCTTTTATCTTCTGCCCGATTCCCCGGCCATGATCGGTAAGGATACGGACGAGTGACTGATGAACCGACCGCTAATTACCGACCCTCTACTTCATAATACCAGTATATTAATAACTCGCATTTATACGCTCGTGAAAAATGAATAGCTTTCTTTCTCGCTCGACTCCGATGTATGGACGGAAGGTAGTACATGCATATATACCTTGAACGAATACATAGCTTGGATGGCAGATAAATAGAAGTGAAACGATAAAAATGAAAGAATGGAAAAAGTTTACTTTTATTGAGCTTTCGGAGTTCAAGGCTTCACGAGTAAAAAACTATGTTCACAGACTATGTATGTAATGTGTTGATGCGGTCTACAACTCAGTTACATATAAATATACGTGTATTTCACGTATATATA